TGTAACACTACAACTTCCTACATACAGGAATATTTATTTAGCCTAAGGAGCACTTACACACCCCGCCTCCGATCTGAAGCAGCCCAGAAACAGGTCTCATTAGGGCCTGGGCTAGCAATCCATGTTTAGCGCAATCTGATGAACTAGCTTACATACCATATAAATCAGAAATCTTCATTTATAAAACCCATTGGTCAGGGTAAAGCAACATGCTAACGCAAAATCAAACCACTGCCACAATGTGTGAGCCAGTCAGAATGCAGTTAACTATAGGAAAAGGGCTGCCACCGTGAACTAAAATTTCTCACTATGAAATCTGGGGGTTCATTAAATAATCTGGGTTCTGAGATTAAAGGCCACTGAAGATACAAAGCTTGATCTTAATTCAAAAGGCTGGGAAATACGTTCCCACGTATCTTTATGTCTTGTGAAGTTTTATTAGTTCATAATATACAATACAATCGAAATACAAAGTAAACAGCAGGAAAGAGGGGGAAGGGAAAAGGGGGTAGAGAAGTGGGGTAAGGGAGAAAAAAAAGGGGGGGAGGCAATGACTTCCTACTTCCTTTAGTGCAATAGAGTATCAACTTCAAACCTCAGCTTTTTACTTTTACAAAATAATATAAAGTAGCCATTTCAATAACATCAAATCTATCTAATTGGCAAAGCCCACAATCAACATTTTATTTTTTTCCACCTCGAGCACAAAATCTAGAAGTGGTTTCCACGCGGCAATAAAAGTATTCGTGGTTTTTTTTTTTTCTTTAACCAGTATAGTCAGTTTAGCCATCTCTGCTAGCTCCATCAGTTTTTGTAACCATTCCTCCATTGTGGGAATCTTTATCTTTATAATCTTAAGGACGAGAAATATTAAGAAAACAGAATGGGTGTGAATTATATGAAATTCTAGTTTTAGTCAGCAAACCACATAACCCTGAAAACAGGCTGTGTCTGCAGACCAGGTGGTGCTTTTACATACCAAGATATCAAAATACAATAAAGAGAGGTGGTGAAGAAGCACAACAGGCAGACAAACTAATTACTTAAAATGCACCAACGAACTCTTTCAACCGAAACCAAGACGGTTGTGGCTCAGCACAATGTAAAACCACTCATTTCCAAATTTCCATGATTCCATGACAGAATGAAAGGCATAAAAAAGGGCTGGTCTAGGGATGTTGCATCTCACAACTTTCCGGACCACCCTTACTTTGAAAGGCTGTTGCCAGCCAGCACAAAGAAGCTAGAGCGGCGTTTCCTAACTTTAGCAGCTTTAAGACGTGCGGGCTGGAGAATGCTGGGAGTTGGTCCATACACTTTAAAAGCTGCCAAAACAGGGAAAAGGAGATGGATAATTTGATACGGCGGGAACACTGACATGATTCTGAGTGGAAGGATTGGCAAACGCCTCCTATTCAAGCATCAAAAGAGGTTTCTGAAAATGTAGTTACAAACGTTAATACCTATTGGTTAGTACTCAAAGCAGCTGCATCTCTTTTCTAAGGATTAGGGGACTTTTATCAAACTTAGTAACTTTTAAGATATGTGGACTTCAACTCCCCATGGCTGGTTGGGGAATTCTGGGAGTTGAAGTCCACAAGTCTTAAAGTGGCCAAGGTTGAGCACCTCTGACATAACACTTCAGATAGGCAAGAAAGAACAGGAAGTTAACAAGTGCTGCCAGGCGGAAAGATAAAACACCAACGTTTTCCTCTGGAGATTGTTTTCACATTGTCCGCACACATGTGAGGGCAGAATAAACCTGCCACTAAATCTGCAACTTTTGAAGCCAAGAAGAAAAGTTGGCAGTTGTGCCAAGCTTCGCACTGCAATCCTTTTCCCCTGCAGAAGTGGACAAACTGGTTCCTGGATTCCAGCAGTAGCCAAGAAGCCAGCTGTGCTACCTTGGCACAACTGTAAGAGGGTCGCGGGGCTTCTCCATAAGGAAGCATATCAGGAGAGACCGTTCTTTCTTAAGTATACTATTCCAGGGGGATAAGAAAGAAAAAAAATGAGGGGTCAGATCTCCGTGCAACAGAATTTCAGAGACGCTGAGGGGAACTTACTGAATTTGAACTGCTCTTCAAATTCCTGCTGCTTCTTGTCCTTCTGTTCTTGAAGCCTTTCATAGAGAGATCGGGGGTCATATACTTCTTCGGGACATTCTAGAAGAAGAAAGAGATTTCTCTGTCAGTATTCAGGAATTGCACCAGTGGAAAATTTACTCCCTCCGTCAAGTTAATAAACCGCAGGAAATGACAAATCTTCCTGCCTTAAAAGCACATCTCACTTTTTATCTCAGGAAAAGAATTGATACCTCAACCTGTTGATTCCATATGCAGTTGAGGAGTTTCTAATTGCGATCAGTGAAGTTAATGCACACTTTCTACAAAACTGGCAGATGATGCTACCGGTCTAAAGTCACAGCAGTTAATTATACCTTATCTTGATGAGACAATGCAATACAGTGGCTGAGATGAGCTGTAGATATAAAAGTTCCCAACTCACTTGTTATAATTTGCTAGGAGCTTTGGGGAAATCGTTAGTCTCCCTCTATCCTGGCATATCATGACTTGTTTCCCATGTTAAAAAAAAAATCCCACAGAAATACTAAAAATGCTAAAAGTTAATAGCTGAGTATGTGATTTCTCCTCTGTCCTCTTCCTAACACTCATATGCCCAGGAGGATTAGAACAAAGAACACAAAATAACAGAATTGGACAGGACCTTGGAAGTCTTCTATTCCAACCCCCCGCTCAAACAGGAGACGCTGTGCCATTTCAGACAAATGGCTATCCAATCTCTTCTCAAAAGCCACCAGTGATGGGAGCACCCACAACTTCTAAAGGCAAGTTGTTCCACTGGGTAATTGTTCTGTCAGGAAATTTCTCTTTGGTTCTAAGTTGCTTCTCTCCTTGATTAGTTTCCATCCATTGCTTCTTGTCCTGCCTTCTGCTGCTTTGGAGAATAGGTTGACCCCTTCTTCTTTGTGGCAGCCCCTCAAATATTGGAACACCGTTATCTGTACTGCATTACCGTACAAACTTTCTTACTTGGCTTCTTTTTCCAGTTACATAAATAGCTAGGAATATTTTCAGGGTGACATTGAACTGGTCTATATGTTTCACCTTGGTTAGTACTTATAACTTTGCTCAACTATCCTTCCAGTTAGGCTTTGTCCATAGCCAGTACTTGGTTGAATGTGCCTTAGATCTGCCCTGAACCTGGCTTGGGATTGTGACTCTTTAGATAATCCCCCAACTGATAGTCAAATACCTTTTGGGTCTTCAGGTTTCCGAACTTTCTCCCATTCCTCTTGCCTTCGCTTGCGACGTTCTTCCAACTCAGCTTCCGAGACAAATCTTCTGTTAATCACAAGGTCCGCACTGCTTTCTCCACCTTCCATTCTGGAGCAGCCTATGCATAGGAAAGAGTTAGAAATAGGCCTGTACCTATAAACTGTGCTTTCTGGCCTAGAATGGTGATTTTTTGCCTTGTAGCTTGACTTAATGACACAGATCTAGCACTTTGCCCACCAAAGGGACAATGAAAGCTGAGGGCACAAAGGACATGTCAGATGTCAATCAAGTCAAAAATTGTAAATATCCACAAAGAAGTCCAGAGGTGTGATGCACCCATGTGGCACACAACAATACTGCTTATTACAATGTAGGAAGATCGAGGAAAGTAGATCAGGCCAAGCAATTAATACCTGGGAATCAGAAGGCTTAGCTTGTCCTTTCAATAGATTAATGGAAGCTGTGTTCTTGTCTCAGCAACAATACTGGTAGTCCTCTACTTACGACTACAACTGAGCCCAAAATTTCTGTGGCTAACCGAAACATTTGTTAAGCGAATCTTGCCCCATTTTACGACCTCTCTTGCCATCGTTAAGTGAATCACCGCTGCTATTAAGTTAGTAACCCGGTTGTTAAGTGAATCTGGCTTCCCCCATTGACTTTGCTTGTCCGAAGGTCGCCAAAGGGGATTACGTGACCTCTGCAACCGTCATAAACCTGAATCAGTTGCCAAGCATCTGAATTTGGATCTCAGGAAGATGCAGCAACAGTCATAAGTGTGAAAAATGGTTTTTTTTCAGTGCCGTGTAACTCTGAATGATCACTAAATGAAGCGATGTAAGTTGAGGACTAGCTGTACAGAAGGGCTCTCCCTGAAATCTCCTGGTGGTCTCCCATCCTACTCCTGGCCGAGCTGTGCTCAAGGTCATTAGAAAGAACCCCAAAGGGCTCTGGAGCCTCGAGATATAACCCCTCCCATTGCCTCCAACAAGCCCATGTGGAACTGGCTATGGCTGGGGATGATGGGAGCAGGAATCCGGAGGGCACCATTTTGGGAAGCCTGCGTTTTGCACGAACGACAGGTAAACGTGATCACAATAATGAATTAAACTCGGATCCTTAACGTCTCCGGCAAACACCCAACGGGGAGCGCTTCGATTCGAATCCCGTTTTGTTCCGCACGGACAGATCCGGATCTCGCTCCGCCTCTCCTGACGCGACCCCTCCCCCCGCGCCTCTCCTCCGAAGCCCGGCCACGGGGCCTCTCAGGTCAAAGGACGCCCCTCAACGCCCATCTCGCCGCAATGGACCGTTTAGATGACCACTTCTTTCCCGCAAACCCACCTCACGGCCAGAGGCCCGGCGTCTCCAGGGTCACGCCTCCCGACCCGCCACACTTCCGCACCGCCTCTTCCGGCCCGCTCTCAGGCCGCTCGACCAACCGCAGTCCAGCCTGGCGGCCGGCCGGCCAATAAGAAAAAAAAAGGATTGGTGACAGGTAGGCGGGGTTACGCCCCGTCAGCCCTCAAAGCTACAGAAAGTTGCCTCCTCCCTCGTCCTCAGAATCCGTCAATCAAATGAAAGGGAGAAGCGATTGGCTCAGCTTCCCTCTAGTTTGGAGTGGGCGGGCCTGAGGAACGGGGCACAGAGAGAGAAAGAGAGAGAGAAGGAAGGGGCGCGGCTCGGTTGCTCGGAGATGCGGCGCTGAGGAGTGGGCGGGGCCGCCGGGCGCGCGCTCCCTTGGCTCGCTCGTGCGCAGGCGCGCGCTGAAGGCGGGTGCGCCGGGCCTTTCCGCCTGGCCGCTGCTGAGGAGAGCTGATGGCGCGAAGAGGCGGGAGAGCTGCCGCCGCCGCTTCTATCGGGCCGCTTGGCTTGAGGCCCTGAGGCGACGCCGGGCTCCATCGCCATCCCTGGACGCCGGCCCGCGCCCGCCAGGAGCCCCGCCGAGCGGCTAGCGGAGGGGGCGCGGAGGAAAGCACCGCCGCGTAGAGAAGGGAGGACCTCGCCTGGGGCGTCTTCGTCTGGGCAGCCCTCGGAGCCCTCCGGGGAGGTAAGGAGGCGCGCCCGGCTGACCCTGGGAGGGAGGTATTTCCCCCCCGCCCCGTTCACACGTTCGCGCAGACCCGTATCGCCGCACACTTTATTGTTCTGCCAGCCTTGTAGGTAGCCTAGCCGCGCTTGCACACCCTTTCGTGTCGTGTTGATGCTCCTGGTCTGCGCAGGGGAGGACTCTCTCTGCAGGCTCGTTCCCGATACGGCATTTCCACTCGCACGTGCAAAAGGGTGTGTGTGTGTGTGTATGGACGCGTTTGCCCGATCTCTGCCGTGTCCACAAATGCGGGCAGGGCGAATGGCCCGTTTGCATGTAGGGTGCAGTGGGGAGGAGGAGGTCCGTGGGGGGTACTTAATCCATGGATTTAAACCCATGCCCGCATTTGGAGATGCGGATACATTTGCAGGTACAACAACCAGTATGGATCTGAAGTGTGTTTTATTTATTCGCTGCCCCAATCCAATAGAAAGGGACCAGTTGATGCAAGCATTGCTTTGTGTTCCAGTTTTCTCTCTTCGGCTTTCTGGCTGTTGGGTTTATACTGGTTTCTTCATTGGTAGTAAATGGTCCTGAGTGACATATTGACATAGCTACCTATGTTCAAGGTAGCTATGTCAATAATCTAAATAAAATTCATACATATTCATGCAGTGCAGATTATGAAGAAGGAAAGGGGGTGGGAAATAGCATTTTGCTCAAAACATCCATTCACAGGTAAGACTGGGGTATGGCACTCTGGTTTACCAAAATAAATAATATCCCTGGTAGGATTTTAAAGTGCATATACTGGCTTATATTTTATTAGGGTGATGTATCTCTCTCTCCCCCCCCTCTCTGAATCAGTTCCGGGCATCTTTCTTTTTTCAATAGTCTTTTCTCTTTATTGATTTGTTCTGCTTTGCCTCCTATTACTGTGGGTGCCTGTCTGTAGGCATGACTAAGTCTTCAGTGAATGCAATTTGCTCCTCACTTCAGCTATATTCCCCTTCTCTCGAACAACCTCCTTGCCTTGGCTTGCCTTAATTGTCTTTTGTCCTCTCACCAGTGGAATTAAAAAGAAAGTACAACACAGGCAATACAGGTAGTCTGCAGCATATGACTGCTCAGTTAGTGACTCTTTGAAGTTACAACAGATCCCAACAAGGATTCAAAATTGGTGTGTGTGTGCCCGCACGTGTGTCCTCCAGTCACATGGCTGCATCTTGGGCGCTCAGCAACCAGCTCGCATTTACAACCATTTGCAATGCCACGAGATCACATGACTGCGATTTATGCCATTTTTGCTGAAAGCTAGCAAAAATGGCATAAATTGCTGTTCTTGTTAGCTTTTTGTTGCTGGCAAAGACCACTCCATAGCAAAAAAATGAGGTAATTTAGCAGTGACAATCACCACAAAAAAGACAGTAAAATTGGGCACAGTCACATAATGGCCCACTTTACGACCGAAATTGTGGATTCAGTTATGGTTGTAAGTTGAAAACTACCTGTATGCTATTCCCTTGGTCTGTACTCAGTGTATAATGGATTGACAGAAAAAGCATAATGGTTCAGCATGAAGCCCATAACTAAGGTGCTTATGAACCTGTACCCAGTACAACCTTGAATGTGGACCCATCCTGATCTTGGGAAGGAAGAAGTGCATTTCCAAAGGTTTGGAAACTAGGGAAAACTGAAACGCTGTGAAGAAAGGGACATTGTCCTGAGAGGAGAGCCAGAGGAAAAGAAAGTTTCACTAGAGATAAACATCTGTTGGGAATAACTGTGAATGTTAATGCCCCCAAAAATGGACAGAAGTGGAATGGTTGACTTTGCTCAATATTTTATTTTTATCACAAACTGGAGTTTCTCGGAGATTGACAGCTATTTCCTCTTTCTTCTTAAGACCAGTAATGCACAGATCACATGTGCTGCTGATAAGTAAGGAAAGAGAGGTTATTAAAAGCCCAAAGTACAAACACAGTGAAAGAGCTGCCTCTGGGTGCTTCAGTGGTTAGCTTTGTGTTTTCCTAGTATTGTAGGCTTCTCAGGATATAGATAATTCTGTTCATGTTACTTTCAAAACAGTAAAATGATCCATCTCTGTTGGGAGAGATTGTCTGTTGCTTCTTTTCTTGAGTTCCTGCCCAAGCAATGGGTGAGGACATTTTTTCTTTTTAGACACCTCTCTTTTTTGTCTTTTTTTAATATATATAATTTTCTCCCCCCTCCAGTAGTATGCTAAAGGGAAAGGAAAAATCTCATCAAAATGATCACTTGCATAAGAGTTAAAGACATTGTGTACTTTCTGTCTAATCCTTCTAAAAGTTGTATCTTTACCTCCTATATAATGATTTCTCTTTCTTCTGACTCTGTTGCTCTGATTTTTCGGGGATCTCAAGGGGTACATCGCTCTTTAGACCCTAAGTCAAGATGGAACTGTTAGTGCCTCCTTAGAGAAGCTGCATTTGAGTTAAAACACCAACAACATGCCCTTGTTTACTTGGAACACTCCTTTGGCTTCAGATATGAAATGCTGCACATTCCTAGATAGCTGCTTTACTTAAGGCTAGCAAAAGTGTCCTTCAAGGTTTTCTTGCAATTTTGCACTTATCAGCTGGGCAGAAAAATAAAACAACCTGCAAATAAAATTGTTGTTTTTGCATAGTTACAGGTCTTTTCATATTTGCAGAAAAATGGACAATAAATTAAAAGGATTTTTAAACATTAAAACTATTCATAAAAAGGGGAAGTTGCTGTGTAAGTAATCTCAGAATAGAAGTTGCAACACTTATTTTGAAGTCATACCACTTCCAGTACCTAAACTCTTGAAATAGCCTGTTTTGAAATCAGAATATTTTGACCATTAAATGTTTTGCATACCTCTACGTGAGGTTTTTTTCTTCAGATTTTTTTTCACTTTCCTCACATAGAATTGGGTCACCCTATTTGCTTAGTTAGCCATTATGGATTTAACAAGGCAGAGTTGATTAGGATCTCACAATATTTAACAGAATATCAGAGTTGGAAGGGATTTTGGAGGTCTTCTAGTCCAACCCCCTGCTCAAGCAGGAAGCCCTATACCATTTCAGACAAGGTTGTCCAGACCTTTCTTAAAAACCTCCCGTTCCACTGGTTAATTGTTCTCACAGTCAGGAAATTTCTCCTTAGTTTAGGTTGCCTCTCGCCTTGATATGTTTCCATCCATTGCTTCTTGTCCTTCCTTCAAATGCTTTGGAGAAATAGATTAACCCCCTCTTCTTTCTGCCAGCTCCTTAGATGTTGGAATTCTGCTGTCATGCCACTCTTAGTCCTTTTCCTTAAACTAGACATACCCAATTCTTGCAACTATTCTTCATATGTGTTCAGTTGTCTGTTAACTGTGCTAAACACAAACCAAAGAATTTACTTTATGATTTAGTATGATTTAAACTAAGTTATTAGAAGTAAAGTTTTGGGTTTAGGGTTGGCTAGCACTATGTCCTAAAATAAAGGATTGGGAAGGCAGAGAAAAAGGTGATCATAGTTAAGTGCAGATATAAGATCCAAACACAGGGCTCCACGCAAAGATCTATTTCAGTTTGAAACTGCAGATACCTCCCGTAAGTCTCGTGTGGATTATTACTTTTCTGTGTTCTAATAGCAAAATCACTAGCCCTATATCTAGTAAAAATACTAAAACACAGCTATCCAATAGATTCCTGGTTACCTTACAGATGAGGGTGAACATTGTAGATTCAAACACAAAAATACCCCATCAGTGCTGATTTTCCTCCATATTGTTGAATAGAGAGTTTGGGCTATGAAGTTGAGTGATTGGGACCCGGAAGCAATTTAGTGATCGCTATTTTCCAATTGGATCTTTGTTTTTTCCAATTTTACAGATGGTACTGCTTGCTACTTTGAGAAAAGTGAAACATGATAAGTAGTCTTGCCGTGAAGAGAATTAAAACTGTCTTCTGCCCTTCAAGTTGGGTGTTCTGGGCTTTATTTTCAGTTGAATGTGATGTAAAGTTTGCTGATCAGTACACTGAGACACATTTCACCTGTCTGAGAATTTCTTATGGCATTCCAACCATTCTTTCCACACATTTTGTCATAAACTAGGCAGAGAATGGAGAATAGTTTAACTACTCAATGACAGCATAGAAACAATTGCGGAATTCTCCTTGATTGCTCTTTTGTGATAAAAATTGAGCTGCTTTTTTGGGGATTAGAAGAAAACTATCTCAAAATTCCCAGGCTATTAGCTAAATTGGTAAATTGAAAAACATCTTATGAGAACATCATGACAACCCATTCCAAATGCTACCAAGAAAAATGCATAGATGCTCTCATCCAGAGCTGAAGTTATAGAAAAGAAAAGGATGTGATGTTGAGAAAATCTATAGGGTATGGACTCAGATGAATAATCTTATAAGTAAGATCTCCAATTAATATTTTCTTATTTTTGACTTATTTTTGTGTAAGGCATGGCTGCTGTTCCATGTATACATATCTGATTAAAGTCAATGCCTGTGGTTTAGTATATTTGCTAGACATGTACTGAAAAAAAAAATGCTAGGACTTTCCAGTAGTAATTGAAAGAAATAAAATGGTTACAGTCCTACAGCTTTTTTCAATAGGATCAGGATGGCTGAGTGGTCTTGGTTCAGCATGTAAAAGCTTACAAAATTTATACTGTATATTTTTTTATTTTTTACATTTATGTATCGCCCATGTCCCTTGAAGAGTGACTCTTTGTATGTACAATTTCATAGCCTGTGGAACTGTGTAGTTTTTAATTACTAGAAAAAAAGGGTGGGAATGCATCATTTTATCATAGTCAGCATAGTATGATTAACTCTGAGCCACGTAGTTCTGTGGCTGTTGCGTGCAACTGTTCAACAGAGCAAAATGTGTCTTAAAAAACAAGGGTTCAAGAGGAAAAAACCAAAACATTTTATGGGAGGATATAGGCTTTTGCTTGGAGCAATTTTATGGATAAAATTCATATCCATATTCTGATGTGGGATATGTTATGGTTCAAAAGACTTGGAGACTAACCGTAAGCCATTTCTTTGGCTTCCTATGTGGTGTGAACACAGCCAATTGTGGCCTGTTCAATAAACTATGGTTAAACAACATTGCATGTTTGATAACAGTTGAATACAATTAACTGACTTTAGTTGTGGCTCAAATATGCCTTGAAAACCAGTCATGCAGATGCTTAAAAATAGTACAGTTGTAGCTCATAAAATCTTTTTTCCCAATTTATCTTCAGAAAATGCCATATGCTCCTTATTATGCCCTTAATTTATCATGATGGAAACTGGAGTGGATGTGAATATATTAATTGTGTGTTTTGTTTTGTTGGTTCTTTGAAAGTGTTGGTTGCTGTACAGTACAGTATTCTCTTATAAACCTTGCTATCAGAATGCTTGATGTAGCCTGTTCATGAATATCTCGCTATTTCAAGTTGGATTAGGACCAAGCCATTAGTAGAAATGAGTGTGTTGATATATTTATTTTGCACTTTGAGAAACGTCAAGCTTTGATTGTAGATGGCCTAATGGCCAGTAAGATATGAACACTTAATTATTTATACGTACTTATTAATGTTCACCATTAATGGCCTGTCAACCTGAAAAGCAGCTTTGAGGTTAATGCCAAATATCCTCCAAACTTTGGGCTGTAGTATTCTGGAAGTTAAAACATGTTTATGATTAAAATAGAGATTTTGTAATGTTTTGTAACAACCAGTGAATTTAACAAAAACAATCAGGACAAACTTATGGTAAGAAAATGTGTTTTTTAAAATAGAAATGTATTGAGCATGAACTTAATAAACAAATTTAATGTTAGAATATAAGGAAAATCTTGATGTGGTGAGATAAGGCATGTCTTCAGTAATTCATCATATTGGAAGTTCTCACATATAGGGATGTTTTGCAAGAGAGACAATAAAATGTTTTTTACTTTTTGGGATCATAACAAAGTTGCTAAATAGCATTTATGGGTAAGCTATCTGAAAGCTATGAGTTTTCATATATTGACAATCAATAAAGAAATTGAAGTAAGCTTGGTGGTTGAAATATTCAAATTTTCTTGGAATAATTATTTTAGAGCAAGGATTTTTTTTCTACACTGATATGGTTATGGTATAAAATTCTTAGAATCTCTGAAATAGTAGTTCTTTTATTACATGTTATAGAAACAAGTGGATTGGTAACCATTTCTATCACTTTTCAGTCATTTGGATTTCTTATGTAAGAGTCCACATCAGCTTTGAAAATATATTTTGCGATTTAAAGCAGTTTTTAAGAGGAAATATGTATTGTGTGAGTACATTGTCTAACAAATTAAATAAGCAAACATTGCATAAATAACGGCAATTGCATGCTTATGTTCATTAAGCTAGGTCATTGGAAGCATGGTGTGCACTTTTTATTCTGATAGAGAAAAGTACTAGAAATGAAAAGATCCTGAAACATGCTGACAATTTTCTGTCTGTGTTGCTCAAAAAATAGAACTTTTGCTCCAAGAATTTATGTCTGATGCAATTGGTTGGCGAATGTTGCTAAAAATACATTTGGCAAAGTAAGATACAACAGCTGAAAGCAACTTGGTAGTTTAAAATCCTAGTGGTTCTTTGCAAGTCTCATTTCATAAGTATTTAGTGCTGCCAGCCACTATTGATGAACGTGGAGTCCTTGGTGCTCTTTGAGCTTGGTGGTTTGCTTACAGACAATGTGTTACTAGACTAGTAATATCTTCAGTACAATAAAGAAAGTATTTGTAGCTGAGGGTTGAAACTAGCAGTTGATGATGTTGCCTAGTTTGGGTAATGAAATGTCTGCAAGAAAACAACCATCATTGGCACACCATAAAATTCAAAAGCCCTGACTACTAGAAGTGTATTTCCAGCATAGGAAGTTTACCTAAGATGCATCTTGCTATGTCTGTCCCAACCTTCGAATGGTAATAAAAGAAAAGAGCTGGGAAAGAAAATATTGTGGCCCATCAGCTTCTGGCAGCAGACTGGATGCTAATACTGGTTTGGCTTAACCTTTATATAAATATACAGTATGCAGCTGCTTAGGTCTGTTTAATACATACACTGTCATAAGAGAGATGAAAGCAGATATTGAGGAAGAATTTGTAGAAGAAAGGCAATAGTGAAAAGAGTATAGATATAAAAACTGTAGCATGATAATGGTTGTGTTAATTTGATCATGGGACACTTCTTACTTCAGCCGCTGTATTTATGCTGTTTGTATATTGTTCTATATGCTTTTGCATAGTCTTTAATTGTTCATAGTCATTATAATTTAAATCCAGATTGATTTGGGTGTGCTTTTTTTTTTATTTCTTCCTTTGCAGGCCTGTTTCAGACAACCAATGAGTATCACCAGTGATGATGTCAGAAAGTAAACCAACCATTTCCTGCCCGTTCCAGTTTTTACAAACTTGTATGATGCAAAGGCTACAATTCAACATCCCAAAAACATTGATTTTAAAACTGTCTAGATGATTGTTGTTGCTTTGGTTGTGCTCTATGCAAGCAGAAACCTTTTCCAAGGTTTACAGCTGACCTTTGAACAGCACATTCTGTGTTTGCTACAAACCTTGGGAGTTAGCAGCATGGGCAATTCCTGTGTTTGTCGAGAAGACAGTGGTGCAGAAGAGAATGCAGAATCCAGGAATCACCAGGCAGAGAACAGCAGAATGCCTGTACCTGAAACAAGGAGCCATCAGAGAGACCCAGTACGGCCCCCCCGGCGGGGGCGGGGGCCACATGAACCCAGAAGGAAAAAGCATAATGTCGATGTGTTAGTCCTTGACACACTGGCAGTAATTCGGACCTTAGTAGACAAGTAAGTGTCTGGAGAGCAATGAGACAGTGCGTGAACCTGAGTGCGACAGATTCTTCAATTGCTATCTGGAGCCATCAGAGGGCTTAAGCTCTAGACTTAATGGGGATAAAAATGGGTGTGTTTGTGGCTTCCACATTTTCAGGATGCTGAATCATTCTATGATAACATTGGAAAGTACCTATTAAAGAGGTAGTTTTGGAGAGAGACTCTTAACTGAACCCTGTCTCTGGTGACAGATTTGTAATTTCTGCTAACTTTTCAAGAAAGATTGAATGAATTAGATCGGGCTCCTAACCAGGGCTGCTCACACCCCCTGGGGGTGCAAGATGATATTCCAGGGGGTACAAAAACTTGGGTTTTCAAAATTATAGTGTATCTGCATAATTCATTGCTGTTATTTGAAATTTTTGTAAGGGGTGTAAGAATATATCAGAAGCGTTCTAGTATAGAAAAGGTTGGGAACCACTGAATTAGCTACTAAATCAGCCACTTTTAGTCTTGCTTCTTGGAAAGTTTGGAAACTATATTTCAGTGGTATAGTGAAGCTATTTATGTGTCTTTTGGTTCAGCCTTAGTTTTAATAGTATCTAGTTCTGCTTTAATAACCCTAGTTCTACTTTATAGCCTTTCATCAGTCAAGGGTGACACAATCCAATTAAGAATAAGTAGAATATAAAAGTTGTTAGTAGGCATTAATCAGAAGCATACGTTGTAGTGAAAGAGGCTAAAGCTGCTTCCACAATCTTTGAAAGCATACACATTCTTGACAGGAAAGAATGTGTGTTACTAATACTTGTAAATACTCTTGGGATCATTGCATAAGCCACATTTTCAGGATGTAGATAGTGAATCATTAGATGAAAGTAATTGGAAAATGTCTGCATAGAAGACAGTTTTGGGAGAAGCCTTTATCTGACTCCTGTTTCTGGAATTTGAGATCATTGCCTTTTATTGCCAAAAAAGGTATAGCTTTGTATGTATCCAGTCACCAAAAGTCAAGCTTAACAAAGAAAACTTTGCTTTTTTAACTACAGAGGTGCAGAGCCAGCAAGCTGTGTCCCTCTACTACACCTCTATTCCACTGGCTTCTAGATGATGTAATAGATAGGTTACAAAAAGAAGAAGTGATAGAAAAGGAAGAGTACAATGTAATTTGGGGTTTTAAAAGAAGACTAGATAAATTCATGGAGGATTGGTTTCTGAGTGTCTCTTATCATGATACATGCTATCACTAAGATTAGAATCATACACCTCAAATACTAGACATTTAGAAAAAGAAGAAAATATGGCTGTTGTTTCCATGAATTGTTGTTGGCATTTGATTGGTCGCTGTAGGAAAAATATGAGTAGTTGTTAAGATGTTGGAGCAGATCCAGCTTCAAGTCTACCCCCTGCTGTTGAAGCTCACTGGTTTACTAATCAGTGCCCATCCAACTCATCGTTTACTATGCAGATTGCCTGAGATGCTGGGAGAATGAAAGAGGCCATTTTAAACAAACTGCAGTGACCCTCTTAACACTTGTGGTAAGAATGGTTGTAAAATGGGGCAAAATTCATTTAACAACTGTCTTGCTTAGCAATTGAAATTTGGGGCTGAATTGTGGTCCTATGTTGAGGACTTTTGTATTCAATGTGGACAGGTAGGAATGTACCAGCTTGGTAATAATTAACAAGGTTTTTACTTTTTTTTTTTTCCTTTTAGTGATCAGGAACCTCCTTATTCGATGATGACCTTGCATGAAATGGCAGAAACAGGTATTTCCTTTCCATTGGGTGGCACTTCAGTTGTCCTTTGCTGAAATAAACTTTTCACTCTGGAAAAAAGTACAGAGCTGCAGTGTGTGTTTATTAAGTGAGGCTGATCAATTATTTAAATGATACCTCTGCCTGACAGCATGCTTGGTAAAATAAAGTAACTGTTTCTTTGATAAGTGTACCTGTTTAATCTGGCTAAATTTCTGAATTATGCTGTTGGAAAAATCAGCCTGCCAAGTGACTTATTTTGTTTCTACTGTGATCGAGCAAAATGGTCTTAGAATCACTAAAGGAGTAGCTACATACTTTACATCGAAATGGAAAAGATCATTGTAATTAAAAACCAAGGAAGACCTCCAGTGTGTACTAATACCTCTAGATTTTCCTTATTGTGTTGAAAACAAAAAAGCAGTTTAAGTCTGAGTAATCTTCACTATGCCTTGATCTGCACTGTGCTTTGCAAAATCTCTATCATTATTTTCTTCCCTTTTTCTCCTAGCAAGGAACTAGGAGACAGGGCCAAATTAAAACATTATCCCTGACTAAAGTGATTACAGCAATTCTTACAGCATATGAGAATTCATCATGACTCAGTGTTCTGTATATGTTGTGGGAAATATGATTGGCTGCCTCCGATATGCTGAGAAAGATAGTCTAGCTGGGTATGACTATAGGGTGCACCCCCCCATCATTTCTACCTCCAACTTAGGGTGAAGCAATGCATTTTTTTTATCTTTGACTCCCGTTAAAATCTCAGACAGAATTTGGGGCTTTCAAAATGAGATTGGGGAGTCAATGTGCTTGAATTTTGTCTCTTGTGTAGGTTCCAATTCCCTCAGCTTTCTTTGGATAATTCACTCTCTCAGCCCAATTTACCATATAGAATTATGGTTGTGGGTAAAAAGGAAGAGGAGAGAGAGCACAATAAAAGTCTCTTTGAGCTCCTAAACAGGAGGATATAAAGGTAGTCCTCGACTTATAACAGTTCGTTTAGTGACTGTTCAAAGTTACAATGGCTTATGACCATTTTTCACAGTTACAATCTTTGTAGCATCCTCATGACCATCTGATCAAAATTCAGAAACTTGGCAACGGGTTCATACGTAAGACCATTCCTGTGTCCCAAGATCATGTGGTCACCTATTGCAACCTTTTGACAAGCAAAGTCAATGGGGAAGCCAGATTCACTTAACATCCGAGTTATTAACTTGTCAACCGCAGTGATTCACTTAACAGCTGTGGCTAGAAAAGTTGTAAAATAGGACAAAACTCATTTAACAAATAGCTCACTTAACAGCAGAACGTTTGGGCTCAAATGTGGCCGTAAGTTGGGGTCTACCTGTGAATCTAACAAACAAGATGGCTTCAGCAGAAAATGGAGATATACTTTCCCATCCCACACAAAGTAAAGAGAGCAGAATCTGACCCTACAGGAATTGTAGAAACTCATAAGTCTTGCATGTAATAAAATGCATTGTCTTCAGTGGAGAATATTTTGCTCCACAACTGATTGTGTGTATCATCTGTGGAAGCTGTCAAGTTCTGTCTCCAGCACCATTTGCCAAAAACATCTTGGGTTCCACAATGTTGTGTAGCTGCATTTTGTGCAAGGGGAAATTTGCCCTGGCATTCTGTTCTGGTATGACGAGTATCTGTCTTGTCTCCAAGAGGCACTAATTTTGTCCTGCCATTCCACTCTGGATCAACAACCGATCATTTATTTTTAACATATGTCTGAGACTATTTATCCCATTGAATTATTCAAATGCTGATGAAATCCTGCTTTTGATTAGTGGTATGTCTCTTTATTTCTTTAAGTTAAGATATTTGCTTTTATTCTTTGGTGGTTGACAGATGAAGGATGGCTGGAAGTTGTCCAGTCCTTAATAAGAGTTATTCCATTAGAAGACCCCTTGGGACCAGCTGTTATAACTTTACTCTTGGATGAGTGCCCATTACCAACCAAAGTAAGTTAAATATATAGATTGGTCAAATAATAACTGATTACATTTATAGCATGTAGTAGCAGCAGTTCTAAAGCAACCACTTTAAAAGTCTGCTTTTTAATCTCTTTGATTTTAATCTCCTTTAGAAGTGTGCTTTTTTTTTTTTTTTTTAAAAAGCAGGTCTCGAATAAAATATCTCAGAGTGGTTGAATGGGAGATGTTTGTCAGTTTTATATCAAAAATATAACTTGGATAAAAATTCAGAAGAAAATTTAAAAAAAATCAGTGATTCAAACCATATGTTCTAACAAAACCAATTTAATATTAATACAATATGTACCTTTCATAATAGGTCACAGTGTAATGTGTCCTTAGAGTAATGCTAAATATATGGATATTATTTATATAACTAATTTTCTAAGTTCTATATTATATTATTCATTTTAATTCATCTATCATCACTATTGTTCATATAAAAAACCCTATAATTTGTGCCTTGTTAATTTTTAGTTGTTTTTGTATCCTATTGCTATAGACCTTATAGATAAGTTTTTTCTCATAATATTAAAATATCAAAAGTATTCGCAGTCCAATAATAGGAATCGAAGAACGTTTGCTTTTAATTTTCTGTTTTTTTTCCTCTGATTTTGAAAAGCTGATAATTCTATTATAAAATGGTCTAAAAAGTTATCTGCTCTGAAAAAATAGGATACCCTATTTTGGAATGGAATTGAATGTTTCTCTCGGTGGTCTGGCATTTCAACAGCCTGCTCCTTTTCCTGTGTAGGATGCATTGCAGAAATTGACGGAAATATTAAATTTAAACGGAGCAGTGGCTCTCCAGGATGCCTGCCATCCCGCCAAGCATCGGAACACCACTGCAGTCCTGGGCTGTTTGGCAGAAAAGCTCGCAGGTAAAGAATCTGGGATGTCTTCCTGTCTCTTTGGGAAGGCTGTAGTTCAGCTCTTTAGGATTCCTCCACGCGCCACTGTTGTTTCTAGGTTTTACAGCTTCACCTAATCTGTAATAAATATATTGTCTATAATTAGACATTGCTCATCGAGCTTCCTTCAGATGACATGACAGTATTTTAATCTCTTCCAATTAATTTATAATTTCTGTTGCTGTTTGCCAGAATGCAGCACAGCCAGTGGTGGGATTCAAATAGGTGAACTTCCGGTTCTCTGTGTGGATGCCGCTTCCAGAAGTCCATTCTGGGCCTGGGCAACAAAAAAATAGCTACTGGTTCTGCCGAAGTGGTACAAATCGGCTGAATCCCACCACTGAGTACAGCTGTTTATGGGTGGTAGGAGTGAGGTGCTTACATATATGTCCTTTATCTACTATTCTTCCTTTGAATCCCTCTTATATGGCAATATCTACAGAGGGGAAGTCTGGAACTTGTTTCGTTGAGAGGAAGGCGGGAAACAGAATGTCACCATTGAATTTAGCCAACTTTTTTAGATGGACAGACAAGACTGGAGGTGTCAGATTATGTAAATCGCTTTGTGTGTTGCTCTGTGTTCTTCTGTGGTAACGAGAGAGAGAAAACATAAAAAAACATGGTCACAGCTATACCTTCTTTGCTGGAGGCTCCTCCCTTCTGTAAAACGAGAGAACTGGAAGGGCAGTGCAGCATCCTAAATGTTTCTGAAGAGACTTCTTGAACAATGTAAAACAGCACCTTCGATGCACGTGTTTCATTTTTAGTGTTTTTACAGGCCCGGCAAGTGTAGGTTTACTCAGCCAAGGAATCTTGGAGTACTTATTGCAGAGCTTGGTGAGTACCAAAATAAATCAGTATTCTAAGTATTGTGTGTCAGCATGGAAGGGATTTCTATGCCCTGATCTCATGTAGTCTTGTGTCACTAAAAAAAAGGAAGCCACCGCATAGTGTCTAGCCCAGGGGTAGGCAACCTTGGCTCTTTTATGACTGGTGGACTTCAACTCCCAGAATTCTGAGCCAGCCAAGTCATAAAAGAGCCAAAGTTGCCTACCCCTGGGCTAGCCGTTGCAGTTATTTTTCAGCGGCATAGTGAAGGTTGACAGGCTTTTGTAAAGAAGAAGACAAGACCCGTAGTTCAGGAGTAGAATGTCTGCTTTGGGGACCGACATCGCTCCAAGCCAGTCTCTACATGGTTACTGCCAAACTTTTCAAAACCTGCTCTTGATGCAGTTAATAATATTTTTGCTAGTTAGATGGACTAGCAGTCCAGCTTTATAGGGCAGTTCGAATGTTATCATTTAGCGAAACAATCACATAACTACTAACATATTTTCTTGGGCAAAACACAGGCGTCATGCTCACTTGATCCACCATCCTATTTTTGCTTTTGGTGAATTTGTATATGGAATTATAAATAAAATCTGAGAATCATGCTAGCTTCAGCTGTAAGAGCAATACAGAAATAACTCCAGCATTTAAATTTAACTACCTTTTATCTTTTAAAGTAGTCAGGCAACATGTCCTTGGAAACTTAAGGGAAAGCATCTATAAAATTATTACTTAAGTGCCACTAAAAATACTTGTGCATCTGCTGCATTCTTTTCTTTAATCATAGATCAACTAACCAAAGCTGTGTATAGCATTGTAATATAAGGATTCTGTCTTTTTACTTTTAGCATTAGCATTGAAGTCACTGTTATTTTGCATCAAATCCATGCTTACTTTTCTTCACTTTAGCAGTATAATTTACATGGGGAATCTCATCATTAGTCACACTAAAGCTTCAGAAGGGACTGTTAAAATGAAAAAGGGTCTTCCTTCAGCCTTGCCTGGAGGCTGCAGAGAGATAGCTAAAGATAGGTGGGCCTGGAATCAAAACCTTAATGGCCCCATTTAATATTTAATTCTTTCCTCAAAGAGATAAATATATCTGAACTGGGGTGAAGGAGGTTTGAGGTGCTACTGACATTCTGGAAGAGGTGCCGAAGACTGCAAATGGGATGGTGTAACTCAGGGGTCCCCAACCCCTAGGCCAGGGGCAGGCAACCTCGGCTCTTTTATGACTTGTGGACATCAACTCCCAGAATTCCTGAGCCGAGGTTGCCTACCCCTGCCCTAGGCCATGTCCCACTGCCGGCCATAGTCCGATCAGAACTGGGTCACATGAGCAGTGGGCAAGTATGTGTCTGTGTGTGTGCGCACGCGCGCTCCATTTGCACAAATTGTGGACACTTGCATAGAACCATTTCCTCTCCCTCCCTCGGGCCACCAAGCCCAAAAGGTTGGGGACCGCTGGTGTAACTTACCTCTGCACAAATTATGGTTCGGATGATGAGGAAGCGGCTTTAGTAGTAGTTCTCTTCTTTGCCATTTCAGTCTTCCCTTTTCTGAGTGAAGAAGGGAATAGGTTGTCCTGTGGCTAGAACTTCTGGCTTTTTCACTTGCTAAACCAGAATAGTTATCTTATTTCCTTTTGTGTAGGAAAACAGTTTGTATTGATGCCTGGATCGCTGAAGCAAGCCTTTGTCTTCAGGCTATTTTTATTGTGTTTAAAGAGTAATTTTTCTCAACTCCCCCCCAAGCTTTTTTTTTCCTGTGTTGAAAAAAATCAACCAGCGCTTGATTGTTGAAGACAACTTTGGGGAATATTGAATGTAATAATTTACCTTCTTTATCTTAGGAGTTCCAGTCCCATCCGACAGTCATGCTTTTTGCACTAATCGCCCTGGAGAAGTTTGCGCAAACAAGTAAGCGTGCTCCTTGGAAATGCAGAGTTAAAAACAAAGCGGATCCTAGGATAGGCTAATATGTGGGATATTTTAGTTACAGTATTTTGAGCATTTATATGGCTGCCAAATCAAACAGCGTGACTTTGGCTAGCATACAAAGAACCCCAAAGATAACAACATGTACCATTGAAAACCAATTAAAATAATAATAACATGCAACCAGGACTAAAATACACTACATTGTAGCTCACCCAGAGAGCCAGTTTAGTGCAGTAATTGAAGCATTGGGTTACAAAATGGGAAGCTACAAGTTGTAGACTTGCATTACACATGAAGCCATCTGAGTGGCCTTGAGCCAGCCAGTCTCTCTTGCCGTAGGAAGGAGGCAATGGCAAACAGTTTCTGAAATCTGCTCTGCTCACCCTGACCCAAAGGCCTTGGGAAAGGACCAGGTCTCAACTGCCTTTTAGAAAGGCTTTGAAAGGGGTTGGATTTATTCCTTTCTTCTAAAATCCTACCTGGCTGTGGTCAAGAATGGTGGCATCATCAGTGTTTTAAGCAAATACCATCAAGTAGCAATTTGTGTGGGTGCCAAGATCTCCTGGCTGCTGCTTCTTTTCACACCACTGGAGATGGCAGTGGAGAAAGCAGGAAGGCTTGTCGAAGGAGAGCACGAGCGTTGAATCCTCAGCCATCCCTCGATGTGGCCTTCAGGGGTGGAGGATGACAAATTCTGTCATTCCTCTGAACACCTTGAGGGTGTTGTTGAAGACTTTTTTCCCAAGTTTCAAACCTGCAAGGGACTAATTCATGGTCAAGAAATGGGGCAGAACTGATGTGCCTCTGGCTTGACCTGCATTGTCTGCGTTCAAAATTTGCATATCTTAAAGAAGAAATGGATAGTAAAATCAAAAGGCCACTGATCTGAACTCGGCTCTGAATGGTGACTCCAGCTGGAGTTGTTTTCTTGGCCTCTGGGCCTGTCTGCTGAAGCTTTAATGGATTAGGGTATAATTTATATAGTGTGAGAACAGGGAATATTTGGGGGGGGGGAGAAAAAAGCACAAAAGCTCTTTTTCCTCGTGGAAATGCTGGGTCTTTAATGATCACCATTTTTTTTCATAACTGTGAACATATTCCAACTCTAGGTGAGAATAAAATGACAGTTTCTGATACCTGCATCAGTGATCAGCTTATTTTGTTAGAGAAATGGACCAATAATCCAGACTACTTAAAACGCCAAGTTGGATTCTGTGCTCAGTGGAGTTTAGACAATCTCTGTAAGTAATAATATTTTCTTACTGTGAAGTGATAATGTTTGAAAACAGCATGGTTATTAGAAGTGTCTAGTGTTTGCAGCAAAAGTAACAACCCTTAAAACTAATATGTTTATAAAATAAACTGGCATATTCGTTTCATCAACTGTTTGCGGTGCAATTCCTGAGTGGTATATAAGCGGCGTGTGTGTACTTACATGTGTAAGACGCAGTAGGAGGAGGAAAACTGAGAGAAGCAGCAGTTAATACAGTTATTTATTTTATTTTATTTTTATTTATTTTTCATATTTTCCAACCAGCCATCTCTGGGTGGTATACAACAAAGTAGTAAAATATAAACGTTTGAAGCTAAAAATTTTTTAGAAAGGGGTATAACACAGATATTCCTGTTTATATTTAATACAGCTATGTCTCTGTTAATCCATTAGTATTAAATCTTTTGATGAACTGTAGTTCTGGAATTTCTGGTTGAAACTGCCTTGATCATACAAGAATGGCAATCTGAAGGGCCAGCTTGGGACAGCTACTACTGGATGGGATAGCCTAAAATACTGAGTCACTCATTTATCAATCTTGAAAACTCTGACGCATCTGAGCTATGCTTCAAATAAAATAAATTCATAATAACTTGGTAAATATTTAGGGTGCCACCTTCTTAGTTTTACACTTAAGCAAGGAAGAGGGTGGGTACCAGATAAGAACAACGCATAGTATGAGAGGCAGGGTAGTATAATAAGTGAAGGTGTTGGACTAGGAGCAGGGGGTTAGGGTTGTGATCTGAACAAAGACAAAAAGTAAGGAAACATACGGATAGAAACATATTTGTTGAATGCTTTTGTTTTTTAAGATTTGCTTTGCTAAAGGCTTCCCTTTAGGAAATTAGCAGCAAGCTGGCCTATTCCTCAAGTTGTTATGAATGCCTCCTTATGCAAACCTATTCATCCAGGAGAAGTAGGAAATGTTACTAGGAACGGTTAGGGAACATTTACAGAACCATCTTGTTCTGGCATACTTAGGAAGCCAGCCCGCGATTATAGGCTTCTTTTATCCTTGACTTCTTTCATTGCCCCTTTTTGAAGTCTTGAATTTATTTTTTGGGGGGACATCTGAAAAGAAGGTGCCCTTTAATCTGCCCTTAAAGATAAGAGTCACTAGGATCAACAGCAGTAGCTCAGTTGCTGGTGGAAGTTGAGTCATGGAGCAGAGGAGGTCCCGTCCTGAAAAAGCTGCATGGACAACCAGAACAGTTCTGGCCAAGTTCTCAAGGGCCAGCTTTAACCTTTTTCAAGCCTTGCATGGTTTAGCTACAGGCCTGTCCACCTCTTTCCTCAGCCTTCCTGGCTCTGCTGTCCTTAAGTGGCACTTGATCCTCCATGGAGATTGAGCCAGTCCATTTAATATTTCCTTTAATTAAATTAATTCTCTCCAGCTGCATTTCTCCAGGTCTTGTAGCTCATCCAAACATTTCACTGACGCACTATTGTTGTGAATTTTAATTCTTCTAAATCCATATTGTTTTTAGCACCTGTGCTTAAAATATAATATTTTTTTGGTTTCAGATCAGACATATTATTAGTAACGGTGATTATTAGGGCACGATATATCATAAATTGGGAAATTAGACAAATAGAAATAATACATTGTTTTGTTGTGGAGCAGGGGGTCTCCAAACTTCGCAACTTTAAAACTTGTAGACTACAAAGCCTAGAATTCTGACAGTTGAAGTCCACAAATCCTAAAGTTGTCAGGCTTGAGTCTCCTGTTGTAGAATATAATCTATCACGATTCTCCATTGCTAAAATGTATGTAAATTAGGCATGTAAATTAGCAAAGATCTTCCTTTTAGTGCCAGCAGGCTTGAGTCTCCTGTTGTAGAATATAATCTATCACGATTCTCCATTGCTAAAATGTATGTAAATTAGGCATGTAAATTAGCAAAGATCTTATTTTAGTGCCAGCGTTTAATGGCAGATACAATTTACAGTATGTTAATCAAGTGTGTTAATAGCCATGAATTTATCTATTTTAACTGGTTTTCCTGACTGGAGAGGTTTTAATTGGAGATTCTAAGATGTTTATTTAGTCTGTAAGCAAGGTTCACTAGACTTTTCTTTTGTAGATTAAATAATGTCAGCCAAAAAGACAAACTGGTTTGAGACCCAGCTGGGGGGAAAAGATACAACATGACATCAGTGCTATATGTCCTGTTTTGAATGCTGTTGGTTTTAGATAATTTAATTCATTTCTAAAACAAATATCATATCAACTTTCCGATGATGAAGTCCTTCACTATCGAGAAGCCATTGAAATTGCATTTCTTAATTGGTAAATTAAAAATAATCTCTTGCCAGCATCTAAATGTAGCTAGTATTAATAGAATGTGTATGCTGGCTTGCTAGAAGCACAGATTCCCTGGTTGTATTATATTCCATCTCTAGTTTAATCAGAGAAATAAGCCTCCTGGAAAAATACTAACTGCATTATCCCTAGCCAATATTTATACCCAGAGCCATCACTCTTAAATTCAATATATAACTGCATTTTGGGGAATGTTGTATATTAGTATCTGCTGTTTGCAGGCTCCTTTTTGGTTCTTCTGGTGGTGGTGAGAATGGATCCTCTCTCTCATCTTGGTTAGAGACATGTAGAAATCACAGTCCCTGGTTTGCTCTTCTTTTGACATGCTAAAATTGTAAGGCAAGCTAACGATTCCAATTTGTTAGAAGAAAAATCAGCTACGGATTCCCATTTGCACATAATGCTAAACACACCACAGATGGAGCAGTTGTGCTTAATTGCTTTTGCTGGCAGAAGACAAGCAGGAAGCATTTTGCATGTGGGCTCATTCCTGTTAAGCCCAAACTCTAAAGAATTCGGGCTTTGGATGCCTGTCATTTAAAGGGATAGTTGCTTATTCAGAAAGGACTTGATTCATTCTTAAAAGGCCGGATTTGAGAAGCTGAATTCAGTTTTCTAGGCTACCATTTCTACACTGCTGGGACAGTCTTTATAATCTTTTCTCTTGTTTCCTGCAGTTTTGAAAGAAGGCAGACAGTTTACCTACGAGAGAGTCGACCTGGCCAATGTGAGGGCTATGCTGAATAGCAATGATGTCAGTGAATATCTGAAGATCTCACCGCACGGGTTGGAGGTAGCCTTGTGTGTGTGTTTTTGTGTATTGATTATGAAATATTGTTGTGCCTTCTCCACTTCCCTGAATAAGTCTAGACTAGAGGGGAGGGAGTTTCCATGAACTAAAAGACATATTGTTTTCATAGCGTATATTTTAATTATTTTGCTTTTAACTCAAATCAAACAGGATTTTTTTAAAAAAAAAGATTTCTGTGTAATTAATGGAGAAAAGTGCAAACTATAAAGGCATGCTGGGTAAGATCTGTAGTTCTTTGGAGACACAAAACAAATACACCTTTCTCGATTGTCTCACCACATGGATCTTAGCTTGAGAAAGGAAGATGGGCCCTCTTTATTAATAAGTGCATGGAGGTATATACATGCAGGGAGGCCTCGGCTTGTTACCATAGTTGGGACCAGAATTAATTGATAACGGGGGGGATGGCTGGGGAAAAGGGAAAGCTAGTTGTATCATTTTACGCACGGAAAAGCCAGATCCAGCTTCACTACTTCTGTAACCACCTAAACTTTAGTAAAGTATACTCTTGGTAAAACAATGGGCCAGGGTCTTTCTTTGCTAGATGACTGAGTGGGACATGTCTCCTGGATATTCTTTGCACATCTTCTTCCTTTCTGTATCAGATGTTTAGTGATCTGCCACACATCAGTGCTGTCCTCTCCAGCTCCAAGCCTCAAGATGAATAATATTACAGCACTCTGGATTCCTAGCCAGCCTGTTGACTGTGCTGGTTGAGGTTTATGAGACCGACAGTTCCCAACAAATATGGGATTAACACCTTGGGAAGCTGAGTGCTTTAATGTGCCCTTGGGCGCTCCCAGTTGTGCCAAGTTTGAACATGGACTTTACTTTTTTTTCTTCCACGTTTTTGTTTGCTAGGCCCGATGCGACGCTTCGTCTTTTGAAAGTGTCCGATGCACCTTCTGTGTAGATTCCGGAGCTTGGTACTATGAAGTCACCGTCATTACTTCCGGAGTGATGCAGATAGGATGGGCTACTAAAGACAGCAAGTTTCTCAATCACGTAAGTGCTGCTTTCTTCAGCGGGAATCTCTCTGCCAAACTGAACTGGCGCCGGACAGATCTCCCTATCCTCTCACATCTTTATCCCACCTCCGAACGTTTGGCTTGAAAGGAACTTACCTGGATAGTAGTCTTTGTGGCATGTCTGCTGAACTGCCTTCCTTAGAATATTTTCCTGGATTTTGCTGTACAAAGCATTTGTAGAAGCCAAGTAATCTTTGACTTCTGGTCATCTCTTGCAGGGGCCATGGTGAGTCATTTGCCCTGCTGGTATTGCTCTTCAGGCCAGCTGATGGCCATTCATAAGGGGGGGAGGGTTCTGGACAGGAACCTGGGGGAGAGCAGTTCAGATCTCTGCTCATCTTCCAGGCTCCTTTGGCAATCCTGAGCTTTTCCGTTTCTTTCAGCTTAATCTTTACTTTGCAGCAGGTCTGATCGAGACACAGTTCTCTTGCTCTGGTTATCTTCCAATAATTGGTTAGATCAGAACACAGGCTGACAGTTAGAACAATTAATCCGTGGAACAACCTGCCTCCAGGAGCTGTGAATGAATGCTGTGAATGTTGAGATTCTCCTGACTGTTAGTCAAATAATTGTGTAGGTGGAGCGTGACACGTCCTTTAAATTCTTAAGAGGTGCAATTAACTTAAATACTGTTTTTAAATTAAAAAAAAGGTTAGAAAAACTCTTTAAATGGCTCTGGCTCAAATGGCTCAAATTCAGAGAACGAAATACTCTATTCTCTATTTCCTGAAGGAAGGTTATGGTATTGGGGATGATGAATACTCCTGTGCTTACGACGGCTGCCGGCAGCTGATCTGGTATAATGCCCGAAGTAAACCACATTCTCACCCATGCTGGAAGGAAGGTATTATATTGTCCCACCTTTTTTTTCTCATTGCTGATGTTGTGTCACCTTGCAGTTGGCCCTTGTTTTCTGGTTAGCCTAGAATGTGGAGCACAGACAATCATCTAATTTTCAATGCTAGGAAAATCTTACCAATGGATGGAACCAATTTCAAATAAGTGGCTTCCTTTTGCTTTAAGTCAGGGGTGTCAAACTCGCAACGCCATGTGACGTGTTGCAATGTACTGCAACTTTTTTTCCATTGCCAGCAATGGGGTGGGCGCAGTTTTAGCATGATGCATCCGGCCTGTGGGCCAGCAGTTTGACACCCCCTGCTCTAAATGTTCAAGCAGAAGGTGGGCAGCCATTTTTCAGGGATACTTTAATTCGGATTGCTGCGTTGAGCAAAGGAGTTGCGCTCAGTGGACCCTTTCTGTCTGTGATTCTAACACAGAGACTTCAAAACGGGGAAAAAAATGTCATGAAATATATTTTTGAACAATGGAGCAAGATACCTGCAGCTGCAGGAGTCTCCCCCAGTAAATCTTTTTAATGGGAATATCTGTACACCTGTTTCCTGTGCTTATTGTTAGTTCAGCACTTCCGCAGTGATCTTGTGAGTTCAGGAGGCCTTCCTCCATGGAAACAGGGTAAATTGCAAATACTGTAGCTAATTAGTAGGCTAATGTTTGGTAGGCAGAATAAAATCAATAGACTGTGTGTTGTGAAGGTGGCAGTGGACTTTGCAGCAAGCCTGAATTTGTCAGCCATTTATAGCACTGCTGCATCTCATGAACATCACATTGATGAGAGCCATACTTCTCTTAATATGTCAAACACATTAAGACAAAAATGTATTAATTCATCTTGGATGGAAATTTGCAGGATCCCTCCATATTACAAATTGTAAATAGTTTTTCCAAAGAAAACATGTACCTGCAGTTAAATTCTGTGTAGCTTTCTAAATCCTTTTTTTTAATGTGATGAAATGCTTTGGATAACAATGCTGCTAGTAATTCAACTAGTAAATCATGGTTGGCATGTCAGAAGCCAACTTCAGAAATAGGTTCATTCTTTCTGTCTCTTATTGTTATCTCCCTGCATTCTACTATTTCTAGAGTAACTGATGTCGGTTCTGGTGCTGATTTAACTTTTATCTTAACCAGGATTTGAACCAGGCTTACAAATCCTGATTAAGATAACTCCTGGTGTTGGTAGTTTTCTTGGCTTTGGTTAGATGGAATAAATATGGTTATAACTGCTAAAAGGAGGAGGACAGCATTTATTCTAAGATACTATCCCTGTTTGCAAGACTGGCTCTTAATTTGCAAACATGTAATTTATAGAGAACAGTCATATATCTCCTCCACGTATCTGAATATTTATTAAAAGATTTTTCTACATAGGGATAGAAACACACAAAAGTGGGGAAGATGGAAACATGAGTCCACAGATTCTTTCAAACCCCTTACACAGCATGACTGGGTGTTATGGGGAACACAAATGTAACCGAACTGAAATGGATTTGGGGCTCTTTCAAGGAATTGTCAGATAAGACCTGAGCTGCCTATTCCTCTTTTGCAAGGCGCGGTGATGGCGTCTTGGTGATATCTGTGTTTCCATAACTTCTTTTCTTATGTTAACTAAGGTGACACTATAGGATTTTTACTGGACTTGCAAGAGAAGAAGATGGTTTTTTATTTAAATGGGCACCAGCTTCCTGCTGAGAAGCAAGTCTTTTCATCAGCTATGTAAGTACATCCTTCCGAGGGTGGTGACCATTTTGCAGTAGATGTCCCTCTTTGCAGAATTAGGAATAAATATTTAGTAAAGTAAGACTTGACCTTGAGGAGGACCAAAACCTGATCTAACCGAAGGAGCCCAGCTGTATATACAGATTGCTCTGATTCATACAAAATGTTAATCCCCAATGAGGATTTATTGGCTTGTGTTTTTACTAAGCATGATGGGTAAACCCACTCATTTTGATTTAATACAGTATTAAATCACTGGGGCTTTTGTAATAAATCATGGATTTTTAAAATTCTTGGATGTGAACACTACGGTAGTATGGCTTTGCTTTGGTCTTTTGAAATAGTTCTTTTATTTTCATGTGCAGCTGACCTAGTTCTTATATTCTTCCTTCCCTTCCTCCACCAGCCTATTCTCCGGGGAGATGCTTGTTTTGTGCTTTCTGTGACTATTTTTCTGTGCCTACTGAGTTTTCTCAAAGCCTATCTCAAGGCTTCTTCCTTAATGGGATATAGCAATTTTGAATTTCCAGTCCCCCGCAGCTAAGAAAAGGAGAGACAACAGCTCAAAGTGGCACGTTAACAACTGTTGCAAAAAAAAAAAAAAAAGATAATAAAATTGGGTCAATCACATGGGTGACCTGATTTACCACCATCACACGTTATGACTGTGATGGGCAGGCTCCATTACAATCATAATTTGTGGACCACCTATATGCTGTCCTCAACTTACAACTCTAATGGGGCCTGCCCATTACAACCATAACTTGTGATGGCTGTAAATTGGGTCACTCTTTTGTGGCTAGGGAATTCTGGGACTTGAACTCTACCCATCTTCAAGTCGCCTGGGTTGAGAAACATTGATGTAGAGCATGTCATTCAACCCATGCTGATAAAAATTACTCCCAGCCACAGAAGTCATCTGTGCCTTCAAAAATAAACACCACACCCCCAGCTGTGAATGCTACTCCCCTGCTGGCATTCTTTCTCTTAAAAGAAGTGTTGGGTGTGATAAAGGTTGGAGTCCAGGCTTTGGAGAGCCACAAAAGACACACAGCCATTGTCTGGCTTTAAAAATCACGGGTATTTCACTATGAAGAACTAACTGCAACAGGTAGCTTGTATTGTTGCACTGATATTTTTTTCCCCTCCATTATTGCACAGTTCCGGCTTCTTTGCTGCAGCTAGTTTCATGTCCTATCAACAGTGTGAGTTCAACTTTGGAGCAAAGCCTTTCAAGTATCCGCCCTCTGCAAAATTTAACACCTTTAACGATTATGCGTTCCTGACAGCGGAAGAGAAAATCATTTTGCCAAGGTAATGTGCGTGGATCTGGAAAGCTGGGATACGCCTTTGTGCTCTGCATTCTACCTTTGTTTGCAGATAGTAAATGATTGTCTTCCTTCAGTGAGGAGTTAATGGGCTGCTTACCTTGGTGTGGATGTGGCTGCCTCATCAGTTATGTGTAGATTTTTCACCTCCTGCTATTTAATCTTCAGACATAGACGCCTGGCCTTGTTAAAGCAAGTGAGCATTCGAGAAAATTGCTGTACGCTTTGCTGCGACGAGATAGCTGACACAGAACTGAGGCCTTGTGGACACAGGTACCTCAAGAAACAGCGACTTTTGATCCGTGTTCCTTATCATTTCAGTCCCAATCTCCCCCCCTCCCCATCCATTGTCCTTGGCAGAGTGAACAGCTGCTGAGCGCATCTGGTCTAGACACATCGATACATTGTGATTTATCACCCCAGTTTAGCCCCACATTTCTGTTGCTAAACAAGCCAGTTGTTAAATGGGTTTTGCCCCATTTTATGACCTTTCTTGCCACAGTTGTTAACCGAAACGGCTTAACAGTTAAATGAACTGTGCAGTTGTTAAGTGAATTTGGCTTCCCCCGTTGACTTTGCTTGTGAGAAGGTTGCAAAAGGTAGTCTCACCTGATCCCGGGACACTGCAACCGTCATGAATACATGCCAGTTGCCAAGTGCCTGAATTTTGATCACGTGACCGAGGAGATGCTGCAACGGTCGCAAGAGTGGAATTTGATCCTAAGTCACTTTTTTTCAACGCTGTTGTAATTTTGAATGGTCATAAATGAACGGGTGTAAGTCAAGGACTACCTGCACACCCCCCAGGCAGTATTCAGCATTGTGTCCAACACTGTGATAGACAGAGTGTTGTGTTGCAAACCCTGCCTGTGCCTCAGTGATGGGTCTTGCCTCACACCACTCCAATCACCATCTTGCTGACACGCAGCTTTTACCGTGCAAGAGAGGAAGGTTGTTTTTGTGTGCTGCTTTCCCTGTGAAGATCTTGCCAGCTGTTGATTAACCTGTTGGGAGCTGTTCTCATTTTTGGAGAGACATCATGTGGGTGACTCACCCTACCTACAGCCTGAGAAGACACGATTCCTTCTCTTCCTCAGGGCTCTATCCCATTTATTGATTGATTTATGTAGCCGCCAATCTCACCAAAGGCACCAGAGTTAAACCAAGAATTATAATCCCTCCCTCTAGCAAATTCAAATATAAAAACCATAATATAGATATCCGAAAAAAACAATATGGAGGGAGAATAAAATGGATCCTTCAGGAATGGAGTCATCAAGAGGAAGCCTCCAGCTGTTCATTTCACTATCCCCAATTATCCCCGGATTAGATCTGCTAAGAGGAAGTAAATGTTGCTTGCTTAAAATCTGTGCCAGTGTTTCTCAACGTTGGCAACGTTTAAAATACATGGACTTCAACTCTCAGAATGTTGCCAATGTTAAGAATCCCTGATCTGTGCATTCCCACTTCCACATAATAAGTTCCTGCCCTAGAATGCGCTGTGTTCCCTAGTTCCTTCTAAATATTTCCTTCATGATGGAGGTGCCCAGCCAGACCCACAATAACCCTCAATATATTTTGCCCCGCTTTAACACTTAAGGTTGCTCACCTTAATAACCTCTCTCGTGTTCTTGCCTCTTTTAGCGATCTGTGCATGGAATGTGCCTTGCAACTGGAAACCTGCCCTTTGTGTCGGCAAGAAATTCAGACCCGCGTCCGACAGATCGCTCACATTTCATGACACGGGGAGAAAGTCTCTTGGGGATTTGCCTCCGGACCATTCCATCCAGCGTCAGAAGAAAGCCAGCTCAAAACGAACTCCATCTCGCTTCCCCCCTTCCCCCCCCCCCCGGCCGAAGCCCAGCCTCATCCCCATAAGGACCAGAGATGGAAGCCTGTTGGATTGCTGCACCGTCTCGTCATCGCGAGATGCTTTCGTTTAGCAGTCATGAAATTTAGTGGTGAAAGCTGACTTAACTGTTTAATTTATCCTCATTCAAGACTGCTAGGGAAGCCTTCTTCATTCCTTTCTCTGGTTAATTTTTGCCTCTCCTTCTCAACTCTTTCCACTTAACACACTGAAGACTTTGCACTGGAAACATTGAATGCATAATCTCCTAAAACGGGGATGTAGCTGTTTCCCAAAGCCTTTGTTTTGGCAGCCATTATGCATTTTTTTTATTACTTTGTCACTATAGTTTCCTGCTGGTCAGAGTACAACCCCTCTCTCTATATTTTGGACTGTTTAGCATAGAAATGTTAAAAGAGACTTGAAATCTACATGAAGAAACTGATTTTTGAGGAAAATTAGTTATTTTCATTTGTAATATTTCTAATTCCTTCAATTTCAGTACCTGCAATTTTGTGAAAAAGAAAAACTAATTTTCAGGAGGAATTCTTATAAATGCAGCCACAGACTGGAGATAGTTTGATATTCTAGGTATTTTTAAGGTACCATTGATCATTGCTTTTTTAAAAAAACAACAACAACCCCAATCTGTTCTCGCAAGTTCTGTACATTTTGAAAATACTGAGCTATGGATCTTAAGATCTGGGAAGAATATGGAGCAAATGTGTTAATATTGTTTTGAAGAAATACATGTTTGAATAGCAAATTGCCTGATTTGGTTAACTCCTATTTAGGATGATTCTGACTAATTTTTACATTATGGTATTTGGCTCCCATTAGTTCTGTAAAACAGTTGCATCGATCTTGTTCCTAGTTCCTTGTGGATTTCTGAAGTAGCTGAAGTTGTAAAATAATGCAAAGCCATATCAAAATGTTCATCCTGAGATGAAATAAGCTGCGCTGGACTTTAAGAAGGGGGAGGATCTCGACTTCACAATTAACTGATTCCTTTCTTAAAATGCATATCATTATAATGTTTCAGATGAGTTTCTGAGACAAGAACAGAATAAAATGTTAGGAAAAGTACTTGGAAAAGACTGAGTAAAAGAAATTGCGTAATTCCCTTTTAAGTTTATGGCTTTGCCACATTTAATGCTAGCATATTTATTTTTACAGAGTCAGGCAAATTGCAACTCTTAAGTGGAATCCAAGTTGCCCCATTTTTGTAATTGCACCATGAAGAGGCCCAGACCCATTCAAAAAAAGACATAGAAGTGGATGGGGAGTGATTTAACGGTTAATGTTTAACACGTGCAGAGCGGTTAGCAGCTCCCTGCCTCAAAATGGATTCCCGGGTTTAAAATTAGTAGTATGTCAGGAACATCTTATAAAAAAAATTTCTCATGTACAAACATCTCAAGAATGGAATGGAATAGAAAGGAATGGAATGGAATAAGAGAAGAGAGGAGAATGTCGCAAATGGTGATCACTTGTCCCCGGACACAGCAACCAGTATAAATATAAACCAGTTGTCAAGCATCTGAATTTTGATCACTAAACCAGCACAATACTTCCAGCTGTTAATCAACAGTGGAAGCTAGTTAATGTACAAACTAAAATTGTTCCTGCAACAATTGCTTTGTGTTAGAAAGATTGCCCACCCCAGAATATTTGCGACTGCCTTGTTCTGCGCTCTGCATTCAGTCATCATTCGTCCTTCATGTAATCAACAGTTTGATCTGATTGATAGCTACGTGGGTGAGGCAGCGTCTCCTGTCTTCAAAATACGGGACTGATTCATTCTGCTTTGGTTTCAACTCTTTCCTACCCTACAGAACTCAAGAGCTGCTTATAATGAATAAGAAAGATAAATACAAATTTCAAAACACAAATAATAAATTTTTAGCACTGCAGTTTAAATGCTAAATATGCTCTTTAAGCAAATCGTTAAAGGAAGTTTCAAAAATTCTAACACGCAGTAGAAAACGGGCAAAAAGGAAGCAGAGGGCTGCCAGTAGCCAAGACAAGAAGCAGCAACCGATGGAAACCGATTAAAGAAACTTCCTAACGGAGAACAATTAACCAGTGGAACGGCTTGCTACCAGAAGTTGTGGGTGCTCCAACACTGGAGGTTTTCAAGAAGAGACCGGACAGCCACCTGTCTGGAATGGTGTAGTAGGGTATCCTGCTTGAGCAGGGGGTTGGACTAGAAGACCTCCAAGGTCCCTTCTAGCTGCCCAAGTGATCATTCGTTTCTTTCCATTGGATTCAGACCGTAATAAAAGGGATGGTGTCTATCCCAAAATGCGGGTGCATTTCATTAGCATACAGCGGACCCCAAATAAGTCTGTAGATAGTTAAACAACCTGCTCGGTAAGTTCGCATGAAATTTCATAAACATCCGGTTTGGCCTCCTCCAACCTCCACGTGTTTTCAGAGCGAGAAGCCCCGCCCCTCCCGCATCTGATTGGCTTCCTCGGAGAACAGGGACGCCCCGCCCTGCTCGCCTCCATTCCTCCCGATTGGTTCTCTGGCTGAACTCCGCGCTACCGGAAATGGCCGTTGCCCGGACGACGAGAGGGGGTAAAGTAGCGGCCCTTTTAACGGACTTGATGGCGGCGGCGGCGGCGCGGCCTTCGCTTCTGCTTTGATCCCGGTGAGCAGCGGGGAGAGGGCCTCTTGCGCCGCCCGGGCCGCAGGTAGACTGCGCTTGGAGCGGGAGGCTCCATCTCCCGGATCAAGAGGGGCGCGCCTCGATGGGAAGAGCCGCTGCGGGGGGGGGCTGCCTGTTTCCCCGGAGCCCCCCCTTTGCTCCAGGAGCAGCCCGTCTCTAACGTGAAATCGGTTTAAATTAAATTATTTCCATTTACTGGGCCGCGTTTCAAAGACTCCCCCAAAGCCGGAGGGTTTGTTTCTTCTGGTTATTTCCATTAATTTAGCTGCAGTATTTCAAAGCTGCCCCAGGCCCAAAGCACTTACTTAGATTTGTTTATTTAATCACGTAGCAGCTTTCCCCAGGCCTGAAGGATTTGTTTATGCTGGTTATTTCTATTGATTTATTCATTTATTTAGCAGCATTTCAAAGCCCAAAGGAAATACTTATTAGTTTTAACTTAATGAGGTTAATGGATTGAGCAGCATTGTAAAACTGCCCCAGCCTAAAGGGCTCTAGGTTGCCTTTTGCATAGGAGGCCTTTTTGACATTTGTTTTATGGCTCTCCCCCTCTGCTGATAAATCATATAAGCCTTGATACAGGATCCCCGTGGGTCAGTCTGGATGCCTTCTTCCAAATGGCCTCTCGGAATTCCCCCTGCTCATGGCTCTCATTACTTGTAGGCTGCCCAGAGTTGCCTTTGCTGAGATGGGCAGCTATATGAATGTGATAAATAAATTCTGGAGCTCTTGCGTTGCTCAGCCCAGTGGCACCCTCCTCGTTCATGGCTATGGCAAGAACACTGCAAAGGATTTCCGAAGGAGCAACGTTAACATCCTGAAGGATTAAGTAAGATGAGCAGATCTGAACTGTGTAAATATAGGTAGTTCTTGATTTGCCTTTTGAATGAAAAGCAGGACTAGGAGTGACATGACAGCAGAGTTCCCATATCTAAGGGGCTGGCACAAAAAAGGGGGTCTGTCTATTCCTCCAAAGCATTTGAAGGAAGGACAAGAAACAATGGATGGAAACTAATCCAGGAGAAGAGCAACCTAGGACCAAGGGTTCTGAGAATGAGTCAACCATATTAAAATCTTTCTTTCGTAAATACAGGTAGCAAAGCAACAATGGAGACTTTAGAAGAAGAAAGTTTTGGTGTATCCATGTAAGTCTATTTCTACTTTTCCCCCACTGCCGGCAATGGGATGGGCGCGGTTTTAGTATGATGCATCTGGCCCGCGGGCCGGCAGTTTGACATGCCTGATCTAAAGACTTCTAATAGAAACCTGGATTAGTTAATGTAATTCTTAATAAATTCACTTTAGGTCCCATTTTACATAATGTGCCTTTCACGTTCCTTGGTTACTGAAATCGAAATTATTCCTCTCTTATTTTAGCTCATCGCCCTCTGATGCTGAATTTGATGCTATTGTAGGATATTTGGAAGATATTGTAATGGGTGAGTTCTGCTTTAATAGTTAATTCTGCCCCCCAAAGGCTTTCCTCACTACTCCAGCCTCACAAACAACAGCTTGTATTTTGATTGACAGGCCTAAAAATATATTTTGCCTAATCTCACAGTTATAAATGTAGTCCAAGCCCAGTTCACCAGGAAGACAGCATGAGGAGGAGAAGGCCTATAAATGTAGTCCAAGCCCAGTTCACCAGGAAGACAGCATGAGGAGGAGAAGGCCGCCAAGTCAAACTTCAATAATCTCCTTGTACCAAGCCATGATCACGCTTGAGTGATGTTGCTGCAGCAGCTATGCCAAGCTAGGCTATTTTCTGCACACTTGGAAGCCTTGCCCTTATCTGAGCATGACCAGCTCTGAGTAGACCTGATTTCTCTGAGTAATCCCAAGTTTCTGAGGATTACTGAGGATTGATTGTTTCTGTGCCTTTCTTTTGACTCTTCTACCCTCAGCTTCTTCTGAGGATACATGAAGGAAGGCTTCTGGTCTAGGCCAGAGCCCGCTGGGTGGGGTGATTGTCTGTTTTTGACTTGGTTTATAAATATTGCTTCTGCCCCAGGATCAGAAGCATCACTTTTGCCCAAAGGATGAGAGGGTGTCCAGAGATATGTCTTCTTCTGGCCCTGCTCGTCACCTGAAGAAGACACTTGAAGCAGAATCATGATCATCGCTAGGTTGCTGGTTAAACCTATTAGTTCCAAGTTTGTGGAAGATTTTAAACACATCTTCAGCCCTGCTCATTTTCATGTCTGCTAGACAGATTTGATCTGTGTTTTGTCATTACACACATTATCTGGAACAGGGCTTTTTCAACCTGCATGCCAAACTTGATGGGGTTCCATGTTCAGACAAGCATTTGGAATGATCAGACAGTCTGCTTAATGCCAATTCGTTCTTCCTGTATAAACCACTATGTTAATCACGATCAAGGGAACCCTGTTGTAGGCCGGTCAAATTCTCTAGAGAATAGATGTCCCTTCTCCAAGGAGACTTCCAAAACACTTTTAGGAGATTTGCTTCTAAGAACTCTGGTCCTACAAGAGCCTTCCTAGCTAGCGAAAAAAAATGGAATTGGTTGCATAGACGGTATCCTCCCCCCCCCCCAAGTTGCAGCTGTGCTGTTGTCATGGCTGATCCAGAGCACAATGTGCTGGATTTCAAGTTGAGTGTAGCAGGCCGAAGAGTGGGGTCACTGTTTCAGCTAAATAGCCACCACACTGAGCAGCTGTTTTGTGATTTCAGATGATGACTTCCAGCTAATACAAAGAAACTTCATGGATAAATACTACCAAGAGTTTGACGACACAGAGGAGAATAAACTGGTCTACACGCCTATCTTTAATGAATATGTAAGTTTGTCGTGGTCTTTTTTTTTTTTTTTTGTCTACACAGATGAGGCCGAATGACTAATTGGCTTGTTTATAAAACTTTGAACTGGGCAAGAATGTGCAAGGTCTACTGGCTTCACTCAGATACGAAATAATTTTATAGTGCTAAATAAGGAGGAATACAGTTCGTTTTAAAAAAGAGTAATGTATGATCTATCCAAATTCTGTTTACCAAACTCCCAGGATTTATTACTTAACCGAAATGTTTCTGCCTGCCTAGTAAGCTCAGATCATTTTTCCTCTCCTGCCAGATATGCATTTGCTTCACTAATTTCTTAACTTGCCTAAAGAGGTGGAGAATTTAGCTGATCTGATTTCAAAGAGTCTAAGCAAAGTTGCACGTGGGTGGAATTTGTTTGGCACGTTGCCAGGAGATCCCAGAGCTGTGGATTTGCTCAGGGCTCAACAAGTGAAACAACATCCAGGAATAAGGCAATGGAAAACCAGGCTCTCATATTGTTGCCAAAAAGACAATCTAGATCAGGGGTAGTCAACCTTGGTTCTTTTATGACTCGTGGACTTCAATTCCCAGAATTCCTGAACCAGCTGGCTCAGGATTCCCCAGCCGGGGAGTTGAAGTCCACATATTTTCAAGTGGCCATGATTGAGAAACACTGTTCTATAGTGTCTGTTTTGATGATTTTAATCTGGTTTACGGCTGCCACAATTGGAGCAGCATAGAAAGGGAAGAAGAAGCCAATAAATAACATTTTCTAATTTTAGATCTGCTTAGTTGAAAAATACATCGAAGCAAAACTCTTGGACAGGATTCCTGGTTTCAACATGTCTGTCTTCACCTTGTCCTTACAGTAAGTCGGCTTTCCATCTTTTCTCGGCTTTTCAGCTTGGTTGAGTTTTTTCCTGCTCTCTGAAGTCACCTGGAGGCCACCAGGCAGGTTCCCTAATGGTGGGAGAACTTTCTTCCTCTTAATCCTTTCTATCCCCTTTTGAATCTTGTGGAAGTGAGATGCTGGGTTTCATGGCATATGGACCTGGGGGTGCCTGGCTGAGGAATTCTGGGAGTTGAAGTCCACACATCATAAAAAGGCCAAGTTTGAAGACCCCTGCTTAAGAGTCTCCTGCTTAGCAACCATTCCAAGTTACAGTGGCACTGAAAAAAAAAACTTTATGACCGGTCCTCACATCTATGGCCATTGCAGCATCCTGCAGTCATGTGATCACCATTTGTCTGCTTCACACCTGGCTTACGATGAGCAGAGCAAGTGGAGAAGCTGACAATTGGAATCACAAGTCACGGCCATGGGATGTTTCACTTAACAATTGTGGCACTCATCAACCAAGTTGCCAGTCCCAACTGTGGCCATTAAGCAAGGACCACCTGTAGTGTTTTCCTCTTCACTGCTCCAGAACAGATTTTTGCAATCCTTTAAAATCTGAAAATACCCCGTCCACATTAATGACCTATCCGAATCCCTCATTTGCAGGCAGCACAAGGATGAAATAGCTGGAGATATTTTCGAGATGCTTCTCACATTTACTGACTTTCTGGCATTTAAAGAGATGTTCCTGGATTATAGAGCTGTAAGTATTTTTAAACTGAGCTGGCGGTGAGCGCTGAATACCAGTATGCTGGTCCCTCTGACCTGGGATCATGTTTTTCCATTAACAGTGGTTCTCCGGGGTCACGGGAAGAGAAAGAGCAGGCAGACGTGCAGGGAGCCAGTGATTGGCTCATGGTCCCTTAGAATTCTCTCTGATCCCCTCCAGCTTCCCCCTCAACAGTGTCCCACCACTAAAATCCTTGCTTTTCTACGTTTTTACAGGCGGGGTTAGAGTGCAGTGGGCTGTCTAGTCCAGCGCTTTGCAGAAAATAAAAGCCCAGTATTTGTAAATTGCTTTCCTTTTTCATCTGCCGGTCTCCTCTTTAGAACTGAACTGAAGTGTTTTTGTGTCTCGCTCTAGGAGAAAGAAGGACGAGGCCTGGACCTGAGTGCCGGGTTGGTGGTCACCCCTTTAAGCAAGCCCTCAAGGTCACCCCCCCAGAACAGCCTGTGGCATTAGTCTTTGGCTCCAGAGGAGGGCTGCCTCCCTTGGGATGTCCCAAATACGAACGAGAGGAATGAAAGCGCTCAGCAGGCATGATCTTCTCTTCAGCTCCTTGTCTGGATGGTCCCCACCACCATCTCCCCATCCCAGCACTTGGACCCTTGCTGTTTCCACCCAACTGGATTTTACATGGTGGAGATCAATCCATGCAATCATTTCTCTGAGGACATTCTAGCTCTCTCTCTCTCTTTCTCTCTCTCTCTCTCTTTTTTGTGGGACAATGGTCATGGAAGACTAGGGTTGGGTGTGAGGGGACCGTGTCTATGGCCCCCTCCCCCCGAGTTTCACAACCACAGGATCTCTGGCAAATTGTCTTTGTGTGGGCTGTGAATGAAACAGGTAATATGCAGTGTGGTGCTTTCTGTCGGCATTTGGACGCAAATGTTTTTTTTTTTTTTTTTTTTTTGTATATGTAGCATGAAAACGGTACAGCGATGTTCTCTACTGATGGTGAACTTGAGTCCTTCTCCAGTCAACAGACTTTTTATTTTTCTTCACTTGAGGGCTTTCACCCCTTTACCTCAAGAGGTCATGATATTTTTGAAAGATACATTTCATCTTTTTTAGGAAAAGTACCATGCAGTGTCCATGCTATGATCTGCAGCTTGTAATATAAGGATACAGCCACCTCCTACAGTGAACCTAGCTATTAACGACTTCCCACAAGGTCTTTGGGAACATTTCTGGTTCTTTCAGTCAAATTCTCCTTCACAAGAGTCTCCATATTGAGCCAAATCAGCTGATCAAGTGCCAGTGATATGAATTGTCCACTCACAGCTGGCTCCTCGTCCAAATTACCTTGGACCCTCTGCATAAGTTTGTCCTTCTGCTGGGAAGCTTGGAGCAGTTGTGGCCATCTTGAGTGCCATCCAGCAGGATTACCAGCCATGACAGTAGGCAGCTGTTCTTTACGCCCTCACTTGCCAGGGACTTGATGGGGCTGAAATATGTTTTGGGTGGGGAAGAGCTTCTGCAGTACAGAATCGGGAACAATGTTTTCAGACAGGAGAGAGTAAAGAGAACATGGTGTTTCTAATAAGCATTTACAATATTTACAGTTGCTGCAGTGTTTTCCTTGTAAATTTCTTTTCTGTAATGTTCTCAGCCTGGAAGTTGGCCTCCGGCAGCGTTTTCGAGATCTTTATCCAGAAGCACACTCTGCTTTGCAAAAGATCATTTATTTTAACTTTTCAGCCAAGAGTATTCATTCTTTCAGCTTCCTGCTTACAAAAATTCAAAATGTAAAGGCATTGAGCATTACCAAGATTGAAGTGTGCAGGTGATGCCTTAACAAACAGGCCTAGTCAAGCATGCTGGAAATATAATCAGTATTAACTTTGGGCCAGTTTGCTTTTTCCTCTCCATCAGTGCAATCAGTACTTGGATAACAAGGATAAGACTGCAGGATCACATCCAGAATTTCTCTTTCCCTTTTGCCCATAATTGCCAATTTAATTGCCAAGGCACTATGTTTCAGCCTCCCAGGGGCCAGAGCTGCATCAGGAAGAGTGATAAGGAAAATGTACGTTTGTTTTCTCTAGCCGTTGCATTTCAGATGCATTAGATGCTTGAATAACAGATGGGCTAGGACAGGGGTAGGCAACCTTGGCTCTTTTATGACTCGTGGACTTCAACTCCCAGAATTCCTGAGCCAGCTATAGCTGGCTCAGGAATTCTGGGGGTTGAAGTCCACGAGTCATAAAAGAGCCAAGGTTGCCTACCCCTGGATTAGGGTAAGGTTGAACCATAAGTCAACACAGAAAGGCTGAGTTAAGGGTGCTGGATTCACAGCGCTGTAGACTAAATGTGTTTTTTGAAGATACTCCCTGTAGTATGGAATAGGCTTGAGAAGTCCTTGGAGCATTGCATAGAAAATGTTCTGAAGGTAGCATCTAGGAAACTTCTGCCTTCCAGAGTCTCATGGCAGCACCATGGTGGTATGTGAACACTTGTTATTTCACTTGTTTCGTGCTAACAATAAAATCTGTGTGCTTGATAAAAGATATCCTGTGGAGTGTGGCATCCTTTGGAGCTGTGTTTTGCTCTCCCAGGTACCCGCGTTCCTCTGTAAATAAGACCAGCTCTTGTATTAATTTTTGCTCCAAAAGATGCATTAGGGCTTTCTTTCTGCTTAGGTCTTATTTTCAGGGAAATAGGGTACCAAATGCATCTGTCTGTCTGATGATCTTAACTGGGACTTGTTTTTGGGCTGGGGTTTATATTACAAGCAGCTTAACAATTAACCAGTGGAACGGCTTGCCTCCAGAAATTGCAGGTGCTCCATCATGGGAAGTTTTCAGGAAGAGACTGGACAGCCATTTGTCCGAAATGGTATTGGGTCTCCTGCTTGAGCAGGGGGTTGGACTAGAAGACCTCCAAGATCCCTTCCAGCTCTGTTATTCTGTTAAAAAAATACCTTATTTTCCTCAAAATAAGACCCAACTGGAAAATAAGCCCTAGCATGATTCTCATGCTGAGAAAAGGCGTTCAGGTAAGACAACGTCCCTTCTCCGCCTCAGCTTGTTTGTTCTGTTTCCACATCCGATGGTGGAGGAGGCTGCTGCTATTCCCCTCGGATTTGAGGTAGAACTAGTGAAGGAAAGAGGTGTGGGAGCCAGACAGCAGGATCATAATTCGGCTTCCTAGAATTTTAAACGTCCCCTCCAGCCAAATTATATTCTGAAGAACCCTCCTTTTGACAAATGAGAACAATGCAGCTGGTCTTTTAAAAATGTATTTAAAACATGGGGTTTTTTTAGAAATGAAACATTTGTTGGGTGTATCACCAGAGGCATTTTCTGTTACTGTACTATATACTATGAAACAAAATGGAATTAATGATTAAACATTATTTACAAGCGCTAGCTGCAAGCAGTGAGCCTACGGTAGCTTTCAGTTTTCTTAGTTTTGGTGAAAAATGCTTGGCCATCTCTAGACACATGCAAACCTCTGGATTACTTCACCCATCTTTGCCGCACTCCTCTGCAAACATCACAGCAGGGGTGTCCAACCTTGGAAACTTTAAGACCTGCAGACTTCAACTCCCGGAATTCTGTAATGCAAGGGTTAAAGATCTGGGGACTTCAGCTCCTAGAAATTGTAATGCAGGGGTGTCCAACTTTGGCATTTTTTTTAAAGACTTGTGGACTTTTAACTCCCAGAATTCCCTAGCCAGCTGGCTGGGGAATTCTGGGAGTTGAAGTCCACAAGTCTTAAAATCGCCAAGGTTGGACACCCCTTCATTAGTGAGAACAGCCAAGTTACCTTAAGTTAAGACAGCCGCTCTCCCTGTGCACCTGAATGGGCCAATGACAGTTAACATGGCAGTTAACAGGCCTGAGAAAGGCCCATTTAAGTCAGAGTCTGCATAAGTTCCACCCAGGGCTATTCTGGCTTTGGTCTGACACTATGCCAATCAATGTTAGTAATCCCATTATTTAGCCAAGAGACATGAAAGGCTGTTTTGTGCCCTTCCACGCAGCTGTAACGTTCAGCTAAGGTGGTCACATCGTCTTTCCCAAGGAGGATAATGTTGAAAGTTAGCATTAGGCACTTTGAAAGGTCTAGCTCTGGGTTAGGGACAAACCAGGAATCATGAAAACCAGCAGGAAGCTGCTTATCTCATCCAGGCCTTAGTCACTCTGTCCAGGATGCCGGTTAGTGCGCAGGAGAGGGAGGAGGTGAGTCCTGTGATCAGATTAGCTCTGTTGAAGCTGTGATGGGACATTTAGTTTCCAAGCCAGGCCACGTCTGGAAAAGAAGGGGCAGAAGCTGCAGTAGCCATCATCTCTGCCCACAAGCCAGCCAGCTTGGCCCCTGTTGATTCAGAAGGATCCACAGTTCTTTAGGCATGATTGGAGATGCTCGCTTGAATGGTGGCTGCGTTGCTTCCGTAACCCCTCCAGGCTCGGATGCTGAGGCAGGAACTGACCCCGTAGCCGATCATCACCAGGCAGGCAAAGAACTGGGAAAGACAAGCCACGAACGGATTAAAGCTACATAGCCAATAGGAGAGGGAGGGGGCTGCAGAGACCCCTGGATCTCCAGTCCATTTCCAGGCGATCTGGAACTTCAAACCTGATAGAGAAGAAGGCTAAGACTACAGATAGTCCTCGGCTTACAGCAGTTCATTTAGCAATTGCTCAAAGTTACAACAGCACTAAATAAAGTGAGTTAAGACCCTTTTTTCAGCATAACTTTGGCAGCATCCCCAGGGTCACGTGATCAAAATTCAGATGTTTGGCAACTGACTCATATTTGTGACGGTTGCGTGTCCCGGGGTCACGTGATCTCCTTTGGCAACCTTTTGACAAGCAAAGTCAATGGAGAAAGCCAGATTCACTTAATAGCCAGGTTACTCATTTAATAACCTCAGTGATTCACTTAAGAACTGTGGCAAGAAAGGTCGTACAATGGGGCAAAACTCACTTAACAAATATCCTCACTTAACAGAAATTTTGGGCTCAATGGTGGTGGTAAGACGAGGACTAACTCTAGCAAGGCAGAGACTTTGATTCTTCCCACTGACTCTGCACAAGCACCCAGCAGCCTGTTCAGCTGAAGACAGTGAAAATATTTCAATTGTAAGAGGAGACAATACTAGAGTTTCTTCTAGATTTCCACAGTAAACAATTGCACAATTCACTATTCAGTTCAAAATGCAAATACAGTTGCGCAGGAGTAGAGAAACTGAAACAGTATCAATAAAAAAAAATCACTCTTGGGTTCTGATCTCTGTTATTCAGACATCAATCCCTGCCCCATCAAAGCAAAAATTGCTGGGGGGGGGGGAAATGGTGGTAACTTTTCAGGAAGCAAACGATGCTAAAGTTTATTTCATCCAAGACAAAGAAGCACAGCTGCTTCAAGAGCTGTTTCTCTCCATCTGGTTCCCTTTCAGATGGGTTGGCCAACGACCAACTGGGGTGGGTGGCAGGTGGGATCCAGGAGCCACCGATGGTGCCAGGTTGAGGACAGCCTGAGTTACATGCTGGTGACTGACACTTGAGTACAAGCGTGCATCTTGGAAAGCAAAAGAGAGCTCTGATGCGTGATGTAGCTCTCAGCTGCTGCTTCATTCATGAGTGGAGATTAGCTCATTGCTGGCATAACAAAACTTGGGGCTTTAAAAGCCAGCCCCGGTTTACAGAAAAAGCACGCTACGTGGTGAGTGAAAGGAGACTAGGAGAACAAGAAATATGGGCAAAATCGTCGTATTTCATATCATCATATGAGAAATCGTATCATCATACAGTTCTACAGAGGAATTAATGAACCTGTCGTTTATGTTATGTCCCGAGCCTTGCAAACGGCTCGGGCGTTTGCAGGCAGTCCCGGGCAGGTGCAAAGCTGCCCGGGACCAGACAGGCTGTCGCCAGCGCCGTGCGCATGCGCGGGTGCTGGCGCGGGAAAAGTAACCCATTTACCCGGGAGTTGCCTATATAAGAGGCTGTGAGGCGTTTGGGCTGAGCTGAAGCCATCTTCCTGTAAGCTGAACGCTGAATAAAAGAACCTGAGAACTCCAGCTGCTTCTCGTGTCTGTTTTCCCGCCAAGGACGCAACACTGGCGACGAAGGTGGGATGCCTTGCACTACCTGGAAAGGAAAAGTGTAAGCTTACCCAAGGAGTCCTGAGCGGCGGAAGAGGAACGGTGTTGACTCGGCAGCTGCCCGCCAATCCAGTGCGCATTCGGGGGTAGGCTGGCTGATAGACCCGTCTCCTGAAGATCCGAAGATGGCGAAAATCGGAAGGCTTGCGGAATTCGACGTCTCACATCCAGAGCGGTGGGAGTCCTACGTATCCAGAATGGAGAACTACTTCAAGGCAAACCAAGTGAGGGAAGATAGCTTGAAGGCTGCCACCCTGCTTTGCGCTTGCGGCCAAGACGCCTTCGAAATCGCAGAAAACCTTGCAGCACCTGTTCCAGTAGAGTCTGTAAGCTACGCAGACCTGAAGAAGCTGCTGAAGGACCACTTCCACCCCAAGGTGTCCGTTATCTCATGGCGCCACACCTTCGAGCAGAGGGATCAACGGTCCGGGGAGTCAGCCAAGGAGTACATCGCCGCGTTACGGAAGGCCGCCAAGCCCTGCGAGTTCAAGGACCTCGAGGAACGACTGAGGGACCGATTCGTGTGCGGGTTGAGGCATCGAGAGCTACAACAGAGACTTTTCGCTAAGGAAGAATTATCCTTCCAAGACGCTTTAAGGGAAGCCACCGCGGAAGAAGCAGCAGGCGGCGCCGTCAAGAACATGCGGCCGATCAGAAGCAGTGCAGAGGGTGCGTCCGTGCACCAAGAAGACGTCCGACGAAACTCCGAGGAGGATCCGGACGAAGAAGTCGACCGTCTACACCCCGCGAAGGGAGAAAATCAGAAGGAAAGCTCTTCAGCTCCGCTCAAGTGCATCGGCTGTGGAGGTCGCCACAGGAGAACCGACTGCAAGTTCCGCTCCGCTACCTGCCGGGCATGCGGCAAACAAGGGCACATTGCAGCTGTGTGTCTGGGCCGACGAAAGGCACAACCTCAAGAAGAACGCCTGAAGGGTACCAGAGTCCCCAGCCAGAATAGGGTAGGTTTTTGCGCTTCGCGTAGAAACATTTGTAGGACAGGCACACACAAGCCCATGAAGAAAAAGCTGTCACTCAACGTGAAGCTACAAGGGGTTCCATTATCTATGGAACTAGACACAGGGTCTGCCCTTTCCATCATTTCATTGCATACATTTAGGAAGATTTGTTCCAGTAGTGGGACTAAGGCCAAGTTAAGGCCTTCTGATATTGTATTAACTGATTTTCAGAACTCAAGAGTGTGTGTTAAGGGGGAGGCCACCCTTAACGTGCAATACAAGAGTTTTGAAGGTCCACTAGACTTGTTAGTAGTAGGGGGTGAAAGAACGAGTCTCATAGGACTCGATTGGTTTGAGGCCCTGGGGATACACGTCACAGGACTCAACAGCTTACAAACACTCGACCTACAGGAAGTCTGCAAGGAATTTGCAGATGTTTTCAGCCCCCAGCTGGGCACATTCAAAGGACCACCTGTGTCCTTAAAGCTAGACCCCACTGTCACTCCCATTAGGATTAAAGCAAGAAGGGTCCCTTTTGCTTTAAAAAGTAAGATTGACACTGAATTAGACAAACTAATCCAACAAGGAATCCTAGAACCTGTTGATTCCAGCCCATGGGAGACCCCCATTGTCACGCCTCTAAAGGCAAATGGGGACATTCGCATTTGTGCTGATTACAAATGCACACTCAATAAGGCATTGCAGCAACATGCCTATCCTGTTCCTGTGGTCAGTCACATCCTGGCCTCTCTCAAGGGGGGGCGTGTTTTTGCAAAGCTTGACCTAGCTCAAGCATATCAACAGCTGCCTGTTGATGATGATGCTGCCATAGCTCAGACCATTGTGACCCACAGGGGAGCCTTTAAAGTAAAAAGGCTACAGTTTGGAGTGAATGTCGCTCCTGGGATTTTCCAAAGCGTAATGGAAAACACACTACGAGGTATACCAGGGGTCTGCCCCTACTTTGACGATGTCTTGATTGCAGGAGACTCCACACACATTCTAGCTGAAAGGCTTAGGGCTGTCCTGTTAAGATTCAGGAAATCAGGCCTTAAGCTCAGAAAAGACAAATGCAAGATTGGGGTGCCTTCTACTGAATTTCTGGGATTCAAAATTGATGCTGCTGGGATTCATCCTGCTGAATCCAAACTAACTGCTATTTTAGAAGCACCCAGGCCAAAGTCTAAGGCCGAACTTCAGGCCTTCCTAGGCCTCCTGAATTTCTACAATTCTTTTCTTCCACATAAAGCTAGTGTAGCTGAGCCTCTTCACAGGCTACTAGACAAACAAGCTGTGTGGCTGTGGTCACAAGCACATGAGGCTTGCTTTAAAGAAGTCAAGGCCTTGCTCACTTCTAACAGTGTTCTTGCACATTTCAACGAGTCTCTTCCTGTGTGCATCGCTTGTGATGCATCCCCCTACGGGGTTGGAGCTGTCCTGAGTCACCTCAGGTCTGATGGAACTCAGGTTCCTATTGCATACTACTCCAGAACATTGTCTTCTGCCGAGCGCAACTACGCTCAGATAGACAGGGAGGCTCTGGCTGTTGTTGCTGGAATTAAAAAATTCCACGATTTTCTATATGGCAGGCATTTCACGGTCTTCACTGACCATATAGCCTCTGCTGGGACTGTTTACCACACGTAAGCAGACTCCCCACATCATTTCCCCTAGAATGCTTAGGTGGTCTATTTTTTGTCTGCATATGATTTTTCATTACTCCACAAGCCTGGGAAAGAAATGGGCCATGCTGATGGCCTCAGTAGGTTGCCTCTGCCAGTAGTAGAAGCTGACCCCGCGCCAGCTGTCAACATTCTATCAATCCAAGCCTTGCCCGAGCTCCCTCTTAGTGCCAGGGATGTTACCGCTGAAACAGGTACAGATCACACACTTTCACGTGTCCGCTCCTGGGTCCTGTCCGGGTGGCCTGAGCACTGCCCTAGTCCTGAGTTTCAGAGTTTCTGGTCCAAAAGAAACGAACTGTCCCTTTCTCAGGGTTGTCTGCTTTGGGGAAACAGAGTTGTCATTCCCACCTCAATGAGGACTAGGGTCTTAGAATCCCTCCACGAGGGTCATCCTGGCATTGTTCGTATGAAGGCTCTTGCACGCAGCCACTTGTGGTGGCCTGGTTTAGATAAAGGTATTGAGGCTAAGGTACACGCATGCCACCTGTGCCAACGATCTCGCCCAGAGATGCCCCAAGCTCCTGTGCATAGATGGGAGGAAACACAGTCCCCATGGTCTAGGGTGCACATTGACTACGCTGGGCCCTTTCAGGGCCAGTTCTTCTTGGTCCTTGTTGACAGCCATTCAAAATGGCTTGAGGTTGTGCCTGTCTCGTCCACCACCACTGCAAAGACTATTCAGGTACTGAGGGGGATTTTTGCTGCACACGGGCTGCCAGATGTCATTGTGTCTGACAACGGCCCTCAATTCACCTCCTCCGAATTCCAAGCTTTCTTACAGGCAAACCTGATTCGTCATGCCACATCTGCGCCTTTTCACCCATCCACCAACGGTATGGCTGAACGCATGGTGCGCATCGCAAAGGACGCCTTGAAGAGACTCACCTACGGGGACTGGCATCACAGGTTGGCTGACTTTCTCCTTTCTTATCGCACCACACCGTCCACTTCTACAGGGAGAAGTCCAGCTGAACTTCGTTGGGGGCGCCAACTTACTACTAGACTTGACCGGTTGCATCCGGACAGACTGCCTTCATCTACCTCACATCCTAGGGCACCTAGACAACTACTTGTGGGTGCCCCGGTTTGGGCTCGCAATTACGGGCCTGGTCATACATGGGTCCCCGCTTCTGTGTCCAGGATCACAGGTCCTCTCTCCTACGAGGTTGCCCTGGACAACGGTCGTGTCCTGCGTCGGCACATCGACCAACTCCGCTCTAGGCGGGACTTTTCTGCTGAAACTCCTGGGTCTTTTCCAGGGGGGGAGGGGGACCCTTTGGAGCAAAGGGAAGGGCAAGAGCTACTGCCCATCGCCACTGAGGGAGCCACAAACGGCTCGTCCCAAGGTTCTGCAATTGCTCCGAAAAGGAAGTCTTGGAGCTTACCCACACAACAGGCACTCACGCCTACTCCAGCCAGGGAGTTACCCCGGGGGCATACTCACTTTCCACACACAGCACACAGCACTCCAGCAACGGAGGATACCCGGGGGCATCCCAACAAATCATTCCCCGCAAGAGAGCTGGCACACAATGCCCAAGGTTGGCCTGACCTTACCCCAAATCCTACAGGGGGTCAAACATACACAGAGCTAGTCGAGGAACCAAGTCCCGACTACAACACCCCTAGCACAAATCAGGGGACACCTGAGTTTTGGGAGAGTACAGAAACCCACACGAGCCCAAACACAGAATGGGGTTCAGGGAATAGACAGCCTCCTGACAGGTCTTGGACTGACCTAGGGGGTTCTACAGAGACGCCCAGCAGTGGCTATCACTTCAAGGGGCCTGAGGGGCTACAGCTAGGTAGGACAACCAGGTCACAAAGCAACAGAAGCCCTGGCCTGACGAGCCCGGTGGGCAAGCAAGCAGGCCAGGCATCGGGGCACAGTCCTTGGAAGACACCAGGGCACAGTAGAGAGAACAGGCTCACGCCTCCCTCCAGTCAGGGGACTTATGCCAGTAACCCAGAGCTAAGAAGGTCACAGAGAGCAAAGAAATCTCCTAAGTACCTAGAAGATTACATAACATTGCTGGCAAGACAAAAGCCAGTAAACAGTGGGAACACTGGGGAGCAAATTGTCGTGTAAAATAAATGTTGTATGTTGATAGTAGTTTTAGCCCGGGGGAAAGGGGTGTTATGTCCCGAGCCTTGCAAACGGCTCGGGCGTTTGCAGGCAGTCCCGGGCAGGTGCAAAGCTGCCCGGGACCAGACAGGCTGTCGCCAGCGCCGTGCGCATGCGCGGGTGCTGGCGCGGGAAAAGTAACCCATTTACCCGGGAGTTGCCTATATAAGAGGCTGTGAGGCGTTTGGGCTGAGCTGAAGCCATCTTCCTGTAAGCTGAACGCTGAATAAAAGAACCTGAGAACTCCAGCTGCTTCTCGTGTCTGTTTTCCCGCCAAGGACGCAACAGTTTACATCTCAACAACTGTCTGGTTTGGCACAGCAACCAAGCAGGTTAGGTACAGACTTCAATGGATAGTTAGGACTGCAGAAAAAAACCATCACAACCAGCCTGCCTTCCATTGAGGACCTGTGTACTGCACAGGCCAGAGAGAGGGCTGTGAAAATATCTACAGACCCCCCACATCCTGGACACACGACTGTTTCAACTTCTCCCCTCAGGATGCCGCTATAGAGCATTGCATGCCAAAACAATTAGACACAAAGACAGTTTTTTCCCCCCTGTGCCATCACACTGCTGAACACCTAATTCCTACAGCACCATCTTAGGCCTAAAGATATTTACCCATGTAGTAGGGCTGTATTGCAATTATCCTTCTCATTTCTCATCTTCTTACCTTTCCTACTATCTTCTCCTATTGGTATCTTATGATTTATCACTTGTTGCTTGTATTTTACGATTCATGATTGTAACTATGATTTATGATCTATGACCTATCCCTTTGTTATGTGTATGTACACTGAGATCTTGTGCACTGGAGACAAATTCCTTGTGTGTCCAATCACACTTGGCCAATAAAGCCTATTCTATTCTATTCTATTCTATTCTATTCTATTCTATTCTATTCTATTCTATTCTATTCTATTCTACTCTACTTTACTCTACTCTATTCCATATTCTGTTCTATGCTATGCTATGCTATGCTATGCTATGCTATGCTATGCTATGCTATGCTATGCTATGCTATGCTATTCTACTCTACTCTACTCTACTCTACTCTACTCTACTCTACTCTACTCTACTCTACTCTACTCTACTCTACTCTACTCTACTCTATTCTGCTATGATTGAGGAGAGGGACAGGAGCTGTCCCATGGCCCAGCCTGAAAAAATAACATGGCTTAATGGTTACCTACCGAGGCTGCAGCCCTTTTGTTGTAGTCCGGGGAATGGGGCCAGGAGTATGGTTCAACCGATGCAGCGCTGGTTATGAAGGCTGTTGCATACATGATGGCGGCTGAGACATTTAACACCACAAGCTGGGGAAAAGAAGAGAGAACCATGGGATTCAGATGTGAAAATCTCTTTTAAGATTCTGGACTGGGTCTTGGCAGGACCTCAAACCACGTTTTAGCCTTCCTAGCCCCCGTTTCTTTTACCTTTTTAAATTATTTTATTTGCAACGTTAAAAATACAAACTAAAGAAAAAAAATATATGAAAATATAACTAAACAAGACATAAAATAAAATAAAAATATAATGCATACAAAAGAGAAAGGAAAAAAACCCATGCGCATAAATCCCCCTGTCCAGTTGAATATTGATAAAATATATTTCCAAAATAGCAGTTCCCCCCCCTTGCAAAACAGGCATACATTTTATGCTTACAATTCTATTTATTCAACCCATTTGCTCTCTCCCCTTCCTTTTTGATAAAAAAATAGGTTGTTCTGACAAATTGACTTTCTTTTTCAGCTCCCTCCATCTAAACAAGATTATATATATCCTTAAGTAAGCCAACATGCTACTTTTGGGGAAAAGGTAAAAACTTTCCTTTGATCGTACAGACACTCGCCAATGGAGACCCATCCTGGCTGGGTTTGCTTTAACCTGTAGGAAATCTTCTTTCTCAAAGAGAGAGGAAACAGGCATTATAGGAGCTATTAAGAGGCAGCTTCATTTTCAGATTAGTGAAGGCCCTTCTGAGTCACTTCTGCCACACATGGAGAAGATGTAAATGCTCCAGGCTGGTGCTTTCTTCCACAGTGCGCTGCTTTCCCATTATTTAAGCATGATAAATGTGGTCGTCCCTGGGCACTCAGCTCCCACTCAAAGAAAGATCTGGATCACTTAACAAAATAACAAAGTTGGAAGGGGCTTGCAGGTCTTCTAGTCCAACCCCTTGCTCTTCAGATACGAACTTAGTTTGATTGGTAGACATACAAACCAAAATAAGTTTGTATCCGAAGAGCAAGGGGCTGGACTAGAACTTCCAACTTTGTTATTCTGTATTCGGCAAGGGAGCCATGCAGAGATGATGGGTCGCATATTTTCATAAATGCCAAATGGCGTTGGCGTGGGATGTTTTCTGGCTGAAACAAGCTTACTTCTCTGACTTGCCTTGAATCCACAGTCAGCGCTGCCCTTTCAGTTTAGGAAAGGATAACAAAAGTAGCACTGTTCCTCTCCTGCACCCAGGGCAAGGCAACCAGAAATGGAGAGGCGGTGGTTGGTTACACTAGGACCAGTGGTGGGATTCAGCCGGTTTGCACCACTTCAGCAGAACCGGTAGCTAATTTTTTGTTGCCCAGGCCCAGAATGAACTTCTGGAAGCGGCATCCACACAGAGAACCGGTGGTTCCCCTATTTGAATCCCACCACTGACTAAGACAGATGAGATGGGACTCTTAACTGCTGGGGGAGAGGGCTCTAAGTTGGAGCTGCTGATGGGGATGTAAGAGGACCACTACTTTTCCTAGCTAGACCTAGTTAGGACAATTCTCTGTGTTGCAAATGCCTAGGGAGATTCTCAACCATCCAGATCATGGTTGTCCCAAAGGTGCTTTTCAAAAGGCAAATAGACTTTCTTGGTTTTTTTTTCTCTTGAAAACGTTTCACTTCTCATCCAAGAAGCTTCTTCAGTTCAGAAGCTCCTTGGATGAGGTTAAATGTTTTCAAGAAAAAGAAAAACAAGGAGTCCAGTTGCCTTTTGAAAAGCACCTTTGGGACAACTGAGTTGGAAGAAAAAATAATGAATGCACGGTCTGGTTACCCTATGAGAAAACCAGATGCTGTTTCAGTACAAGCCCAAAAAGATTCCTTGAGCAGGCAATTCTATAAAATCATAATTAAATCCAAAATGCCACTCACGCCACAGCAAAATAAGTCGTGCCCCAATCCAGGCAGGTTAACCGGCAAGGAAGGGTGCATATTACTAAATCCTAAAAACCAGGTTTCTCACAAGCATTTCTGGTTTGTGAACGTGGTCTGGAGTTCTTCCTTCACTGTACAGGTGTGGGGAGTGCACAGCTGAAATAGTGACCACAAAAGAGCTGGCAATCTCTAGCCTATTGGTTTATTTTTATTGATTAAATGTATATATACTGTCCAACTTATAGGTAAGCGACTGATAAAATCTATTCTTTTGGATGATAGCAGCCAGAAGAATATTTGAATAGTGGATAATTACTCTGCCTAGTTAATCAAGCTAACCTATCTCAAAAGTTCACGATAAAAATGCATCCCCTTGGTCAAATGCCTTAGAGCATAGCTGAAGGCACGATTCTTTTAGGGAACGGCCAAGTCATAAACTTATTTCACCTCACTCAGTACTGGCACTATTTACCCAACTTATTGAAATACGTTACTTAACTAGTGGCTGCACCTGCATCAACTATGAAGCTTTTATTGTGGCTAAGTGGGCAAAGCTGGGCAAAGTCTGCATGGTGAGGTCATGGCTCACAATATGTTGCAAGTGTAGAAAAATGAATCAACGCAGCAACTGAATTCCATGCCTGGTGCACAATGATCTTTGACCAGCAGCATCTCACAGGCTTCAGGGTGAGTCATTCTAGCTACAGAAATCAAAGGATCAGCCTGGACCTCTCCAGATGGCAGGGCTTTGCCATTCAAAGCTGAAGGGGCATTTCAATTCTCAGCAGAGCTTCAAGAGAATGAGATCTTTTGAGAAAGGTTAAGACATGTGCAATTATTACGGATGCTCTCACAAGACGCCCTGTGATAGCACGTAATTTAAGAGTAAAGCAAAGAGGTGGACTGTTCTTCACCATTCTCTTTAGCCTTCTTTTACCCCAGGGGTGTCAAACTCGCCACATCACGTGAAGTGTCGCAACGCCCCATTAGGAGCCAGGGAAAACTTGTAAGAAACTTGGAATTTAAATTCCCAAAGGTAAGGAACATCTTCTTACAGCCAGGAGGCAATCAACTTTTAGTGTAGCTTTATTCTCCGAAATAAACATTTTAAGCTAACCAAGCCACACCGGAGACGTTTTAGCCAAGTCAAGATGAGGAGTGCAGGGTCAGGAGATCTGACACCCCAGAAGGACCTCAAAGTTAACCCAACTCCCATCAGCCCAGCATGATACTATTAGTCAGCAGTGAAAGGTCCTCTAGTTCAATCGAGCTGGTCAAAGGCCAACTGGGAGGAAGCGCAAAGGGCATATTTCCCCAACCTTCCACACTCACCACAATAGGCCAAGGGATCATGTAGAGTTTCAACTGAAGCTGAAACAGATACATCAAAAAGAGAATGACCGTCACCATCCAGAAGAAGATAGCTACAAACATCACCCAGCCATAGGATGGATAGGGTTGGTAGTACGTGTTGGCAATCAGGGCCCACACCAAGCAGCCCAGCACCTGTAAAAAGCACAAGAAGAAGAAAGTCACACTCATCCTGGGATCTGATCACTATCTTCTATATATAATAGTTACCGTATATATTAGGTAGATATGCTGAAGGAGCCGCGTATCTCTTTAATTCTCACTGAAGGAGGCTGCCAAGCAATTGCTGAAACTCAGTGTGTCTCTGGGCATGTCTAGACTAACAAAGAGAAGGGCTAGGAGTGACATGATAGCAGCCCCCTCATATTTGAGGGGCTGTCACAAAGAAGAGGGGTCAACATATTAGATCAGATGAGATGATGAGATGAGATGATAAGCTATAAGATGAGATGAGATATAAGATATAAGGTGATATAAGATATATAAGATAGATATAAGATATTATAAGATAAGATATAGTTGCTGCAATTGGGTCTGTCTAGTTTAATGAAGAGAAGGAGGAGGGGGGACCTGATAACAGTCTTCCAATATTTGAGGGGCTGCTACAAAGAAGAGGCAGTCAAGCTATTCTCCAAAGCACCTAAAGGCAGGACAAGAAGCAATGGATGGAAACTGATCAAGGAGAGAAGCAACCTAGAGCTAAGGAGACATTTCCTGACAGTTAGAACAATTAACAACCTGGAACAACCTGCCTCCAGAAGCGGTGAATGCTTTAACATTGGAAGTTTTAAAGAAGAGGCTGGACAGCCATTTGTCTGAAATGGTGTATATATATATATATATATACCTACGCCCATACATATAAATATTAATCACTGTCCATTTTGAACACATAGCGGAAAGAGGAAACTTGAGAGTTCACTAGGTCCATTCTAAGCCTGGGGAACAAAAAATTAGCTACCGGTTCTGCCGAAGTGGTGCAAACCGGCTGAATCCCACCACTGACCAGAGGGTTGGACTAGAAGACCTCCAAGGTCCCTTCCAGCCCTAGGATCTTATATTCCACAAAGCTTTTAGCTGCAGCCACGAGACAGCCACAGAGCTGCCAAAGAGACATTGTTTGACTCAACACAAACCCTCTGGTTCCTCCAATTCTTTCGGCCTGGACAATGGTGTCCTTTCCTCCCCCCCCCCCTGTCAGCTCCCAGAACAGATGAAGTACAAGCATTTTTTTTTCTTAAAAAAAAAAGACCATTTGTTTAGGAGCTGAAAAGTACAGCAAAAACACAGCTCTTGATTGAGCCAAGGTTCCCACAGTGGCGTAGCCCTAGAGGAGAGATTTTGTCCAGTAGAAAAGAGATTGGGTATCGTTTCATTTTTTTTTCCAGAAAGGGGAAGAAAGAGGGAGATTTATTTTAGAATATTTGTTGCAGTTCCTCCCCCTAATCCCCCCCCCCATTTTTGTTAGGAGCAAAACAAGAGGCAGTCCATCTAAAATAATCAGAGATGGCCTGAAGTAGCATTTCTCAACCTTGGTGACTTGAAGATGGGTCCGCTACTCACGATTTCCACGACCATCAGGATCCCGAAGGGCGACCTTAGGAAGTCCAGGTCCAAGGCGGGGGCGCGCAGGGCCGGCTCCCCGGCGGGGGTGCTGGTGCGGGTGTTGACTTTGGCCGGGAATTCGGCCATCCCGCCGGCGGCGACCCCCGGCCCGGAGGAGACGCGCTGCGCCCGGGGAAGCTGCTGCCAATGGCCGGGGAGGGCAGGGGACGCGGCGGCTCCGGAGCGCAGGCGGGCCGGCCAGCTGGAGCGCTGCTGCCGCCGCCGGGGTGGCGCTGGGGCCGCGGCTGGGAGGGAGGCCGGGGGCGCGGCCGGAGGGGCGCTCCGGTTGCTGGTTGGCGGCGCCGGGAGGCGGAGGAGGAGCGAGCCGGGCGGAGGAGCCGCGTCCCTCGCAGAGCCGCGCAGCCCTGCCCGGAAACCTGCGGGGCGGCCGGCGCTTCTGCCTTAACAGAACGGAATAGCCAGAGTTGGAAGGGACCTGGTAGGTCATCTAGTCCAACCCTCCCTCTTAGGCGGAGGACCCGCAGGAGCCCCCGAAATTGAGGACCAGCCACTTTCCTGCCTTTTCAAACACGGGTTTGTTGCTTTTCCCCAGCCGCCTTCACACGACCACCGTCGCATCCTCCGCTTCCAGGAAGGGCGCTGGCTGAGCGCGCGCCCGCAGCTCAACCTCCTCTAGAACGCGTGCAGAGGAGAGCAACAAAGATGATCAGGGGACTGGAGGCTAAAGCATATGAGGAACCGTTGCTGGAATTGGGTCTGTCTAGTTTAATGAAGAGAAGGACCGGGGGGGGGGCAGGATAGCAGCCTTCCAGTATCTCAGGGGCTGCCCCAAAGAAGAGGGAGTCAAGCGCCGGAAGGCAGGACAAGAAGCAACAGATGGAAACTAACCAAGGAGAGAAGCAACCTGGAACTGAGGAGAAACTTCCTGACAGTTAGAACAATTAACCAGTGGAACAGCCTTCCTCCAGATGCGTGAATGCACCAACACTGGAAGTTTTAAAGAAGAGACAGCCATTTGTCTGAAATGGTATTGGGTTTCCTGCCTGAGCAGGAGGGTGGACAAGATGACCTCCAAGGTCCCTTCCAACTCTGTTTTATGTTATTCATGCTCTTTCTGGTTCGCTCAACCCACCAAAGCATTAACTAGTCCTGCTGTGCAGGTTCTGAGGTTTTGCTTGATAAAAAAAAATACAGGAAACCAGAAGTTGCTTTTAAACTTTACATTTTTATTCAGCTGAACAAAGACGGGCTCCTCTAAAAGAGAGAAGCCCTGAATGACAAGAGATCCTTGTATTTATTCTTTCTGATTACATAAGCAATCCACCCAGCAAAGCTGACACACGTAAGATCAAGATTTCACCCAGTACACTGTAGATAAGAAGGGAGAAAGCAGAAGTTGCTAAAAATGTTCCCTTTGGGGGGTTTCCCTAAAGACATCTTATGTTCCCAGGTGGGTTAGGACATGGGCTGTTTTCCTTGTTCCCCTTTCGTGACCTGTATCCATGACTCTCTGCAAGTGCCCAAAGACAGCAGGGCCATCTGCACATATTCACAATTGATACTTCCTATGCTGTCTCCTAATTCCGGTCCACAATCCCAAGACGTGAGGTGGGCAGCCACTCTCCCCCCCCAAAGGATGGAGGCAGAAACGCAACAGGTCCAAACTAAGTCCGTGTAGTCACACCCAGGTTCACGCAGTGCTTTATTGCTAAAAAAGGGGGGGGGGCTTGGAGTTAACTTTGGTATCTCCTCCTGCAGTGATCCCAGCCTTTGCATCCTTTAAGCAGTGTTTTATATCTTCCTGTGATAATGAACTCCCCTGACTGTGGCTTAATCCGCAGATATGGAGTTCCCCTGGTTACAATCTGTTGCACAAGTACATTAACCGCAAGGGAGTCACTTAGCAGGCTAAGCAAAAAAAGAAAAAAGAAAGAAAGAAAAGTAACTATGATTAAAATGAGTATCTCTTTTAAGAGGTCGGGTTCAGTAAGTTGACTGATACTGCCAGGGCCTGAAACCCAGAAAATAAAATTAACCAGCAGGTATGTCCCAAATTTGAAAGGGGAAGGCCCTGGTGCTCTCTGAGCTTGGTGGTTTTCTTGCAAAAGTTTCGTTACCCAATTAGAAATCAAAACAAAATAAAACAAACTATAGTGGTTTGGGAAGGCTGCAGTCAAGAGCAGTAAGCTGGAAGCCGTAGAAGACAAAGAAAAATCGGATTTGAGGTCCGATTTTCTGCGTTAAGCCTTGTCTAGCCGGACTGGGATCGAACCGCTCACACGGGGACCAGTTGAAGTTTGCGGTGCTTTTCTCTCGCCTTGCGGAGATCTGGGGCGTCGCTGACGGTTGCTTGAAGGACGAACTCGAAGAGAAACCTTCTGCAAAAAAAAAATGCAAAAAAAAAAAAAGGAACTTTGTCAGAAGTGGGATTCGAACCCACGCCTCCAGGGGAGACTGCGACCTGAACGCAGCGCCTTAGACCGCTCGGCCATCCTGACTGCTTAGCTAATAGCTTCTTTTTCCTCCTACAAAATTTCCAAAACAGGCTGCTGACGCACCCTATTTCAGGCGGAAGGGTCTGGCGCAGGCGCAATTGAGCATTCATATTCCTCTGCGGGGTTCTTCTATCTATTCTACGCAGATCGGAGGCAACGGGTTCGCGGCGGCAGGAAAGGAATCGGCGGTGTCCTCTGGATCTTAGCGCCCGTCTGGATTTAATGTGCTCGGAGTCCCTTCGACTCGCGTTTCGCTGGTCGTTTGCAAAGACGCCCGTTAAAAAGAGGGGAGGCTTAGAGACCATCAAGCAACCATCCTTTTAATGTATGCTGATTAAAGTTTCTGTTCTATTCTATTCCTGTTCTATTCTATTTCTTTTCTAATTCTATTCTATTGTATTCTACTTCTATTCTATTCTATTATTTCTTTTCTAATTCTATTCTACTCTACTCTATTCCCGTTGGAAGGACTCAATAGGTAGATAAAAATGCCAAATCCAGTCTGAACATCGGACTATGTGACAAACAAAAAATAAGGAGAATAGCATAGAAGCCACCAAATATCAAAGCAATATAAATGAAAACCTGACAGTTTAGTGGGGATGTTTGCTTTTCATCCAAGAACTGAAGAACTTGGACGAGAAGTGAAACGTCTTCAAGGAATAAAAACCAAGAAAGTCCAGTTCCTTTTTGAAAAAGCTCCTTTGGATCATGAACCATTTGTTTGCTTTGTTGTTTTTCTGCGGAATTCTGAGAATAATGTCAGTATAAGGATGTCTTTCAACCTGCTTCTTCAAAATCCAACTTTCGCTTCCAGAGAATGACACGGTTGCTTGCATTAGTCTGACAGACGTAGCACTAATGACATTGCCACAGGAGGGCAATGCTGGCTGCAGAATTTTACCTCCGCTCATGTAACAGCATTGTGATTTTTCTGCTTAATATAAAGTACGAATCTCCTTGTTGTTCAGACTATATTGGAAGAGGGGCTGCTGGATTGATTGCTCTCCTTTTCCGCTCATGTTCCCTTAAACTAGCATTCCTTAAACGAGGGGTCTTCAAACTTGGCCACTTTAAAATATGAGGACTTCAATTCCCAGAATTCCCCAGCCGGCTATGCTGGCTGGGGAATTCTGGGAGTTGAAATCCACACGTCTTAAAGTGGCCAAGTTTGAGGACCCCTGTCTTAAACTGACCCTGCTGGAAAAATGTATAGTTCCATCCTACTCTTCTGTGCAGACTAAGCTCCATGTCTTAGCCGTTCACTTAAGAATGGATTACTTCATCCATGAATCCAAACCAAGCCAATTAAATTATCCTTCCCTTGGAATGAGAAACAGGATAATACGTAGTCATATCTAAGCAAGATGGCAAATTCTGAATGACATTTTTTTTACAAAGAACCCAATAAAATAGTCTACCCATGCTACATTCTTTATCAGTGTTGTAGACTGGAGATAGATGATGTCGTACCCACACTCATTTGCACTACTCAGGTGACTTTGAGGACACAGACAAATCTCCAAGTGGCCTCAATGACTCTCTAAAAGAAGGCAACTGACCGGCTGTCTGCAAGGAGTATAAATCCTTCCATTCCCCCACCATCCAATCAGAGCTGAGGAAGCTTCTTGGATGTGCAGAAACGCTTCGTTTTCCTGGACAAGAGGATTGTTGTCCCAGAGACCGCTTGAATGCCGGGAAAGAAATGCCAGGTGAAAAACTCAGAACTGGCAACCCAGTCAAGCGTTTGTGGCAGGTTCACTGTATTGTTTAGAGCAATGCTACTAAAAGCAACAAGCACAAAGGGTTGGGTCACTGTGGAGCCAGGAATAATTGAGTTGACTTGCCTGGACAGGCACAAAGTGTCTGGCGTCTCTCAGAGAACCACGGAGACCATAGTCTACTCCCCCATTCCCTTACATCACAACGTGCGAGGTTGGTCCTGCGTTGTGTGAATGTAGCCATTCTGGGTTACAAAATGTAGGTTATAATCTAGTGTTCATGTACACAGGTCGTCCTGGACTTACAACCTTTGTTTAGTGACCTGTTTGAGGTTACAATGGCACTGAAAAATGTGACTTACAATTAGTGGTGGGATTCAAATAGGTGAACCACCGGTTCTCTGTGTGGATGCCGCTTCTGGAAGTCCGTTCTGGGCCTGGGCAGCAAAAAATTAGCTACCGGTTCTGCCAAAGTGGTGCAAACTGGCCGAATCCCATCACTGCTTATGACCATTTTTCAGACTTTCGACCTTTGTAGCATCCCTGTGATCACGTGATCAAAATTTGGCCACTTGGCAACTAACTCACATTTATGACGATCCCAGTGTCCTGACGTCATCTTTTGTGACCTTCTGAGACGCAAAAACAATGGGGAGACAGATTCACTTAAAAGCTGTGTTACTAACAACTGTTGTAATTTCAAACTGTCACTAAATGAACTTGTTGTAAGTCAAGGACCTCCTGGAATCGAGATTAGCAGGCGGAGACCGAAGAGACTCTGTTGACAGATCAGAATGCAATTCTGGAGATTTTGTGAGCTCAAGATCTGACTTTGAAGGGGCTGCTCAGTTGTGTCCTGCAGATAGGTGGAATGTGTTTACCTTCAGGTGGGCCCTTGTGGGGGGGAGGGGCAGGAGGAGGGGGATTCTGGAGTGTTGGGAGGTATTTTTCTTCCCCCCACCACCACCACTGCAGGTCCTCAGCCATTCTTGTTCCAGGAGACTTTGGCCTTTGCCTTTGCCCTTGGCTTTGAGTTTTATTTTATTTCCTGAATCCTTTCTAGACTTGTCACAACTGCTCCCCCCCCACACACCCCTCATTCTTGACACACCTGATTTCTCAAGAAGGAGAAGGCAGAGATTAATTTTTTATGTGGGAAAAAGGTGTGGTGTTTGTTTGTGCAAGCTTTATTAGCTTTTTACAGAAGAAAGATCAATATTTAACGTGGAAGGAAGGAAGGAAGGAAGGAAGGAAGGAAGGAAGGAAGGGTGAGAGGAGGGGAGGAAGAAGGGAAGAAGGGAAGGAAGACAGGAGAGCAGGACGAAGAAAAGGAACGAGAAAGAGAGAAAGAGAAGAAAGAAAGAAAGAAAGAAAGAAAGAAGAGAAGAGAAGAGAAGAGAAGAAAGGAAGGAAGGAAGGAAGGGGTGGGGTTGGTTGTTTTCTTGCAGATGTTTCATTACCCAGCTAGGTAACATCATCAATGCTAGAAGGAGTCATGGAATGGAGGAGGAGGACTGTGGGGTCTTTGGTGCTCTCTGAGTTTGGTGATTTTCTTTGCAGATGTTTCATGCCCCAAACTAGATGATGGTGTTACTTAGTTTCGGTAATGAAATGTCTGCAAGAAAACAACGAAACTCAGAGAGCACCAAGGATTCCTCAACTTTTACCAAGGTGAAAGATCCTGACTCTGATCCAATAGGATAAAAAAGAAAGAAAATCTAATCGATGGTCAAATCTTTCATTAGGTGCCTTCAAAAGCTTCTGCCCTTTTGTGAATTCTGTGGAAGGGTCTGGCTTATTTTACTCCTAATCCTGTCATTTCCTTGCAGAATTATTAATTTATCATCTTACCTTTTCCTAAAAACCAGGGTTGGTTGGCACCTAATGCCAAGACATTTTTTTCCAGCCTCGACATGAACTCCCCCATTATGATTGCACCATAATAAATAAATATACCTGTTTCCTTGCCAGTGAAATAGTTTAAATTGTTCTGGGTTATCAGTATGTATAGCCGGCTTAGATGAAAGCTCTTTTGCTTGCTTCCTTGGAAATGCAAGGTGTGTCTTTTGACAATAAACTGTTGAATGAGCCTGATTCAAGCTTTCCAAGGACATTAGATTTCTCAAACAATTTTTCATTAAGACGAGATTAGCCCAAGAGACCTCATTTGTCTGAATGGGCTTATTGTATCTGCTGGAAATCCAGGGTGGGAATTCTGCTTGTCGATATTTCTACCTGCAACGGTGGGCATGTAAGCTTGTGGCAAAGAGATTGTGACTCAGTTTTTCTGCACAGCCTGGAGCCAGGCCATGTGGTTAAGAATGGGATTTCAGCAAATACCCTCAACTTTGTCAAATGTATACAGATCGGTTTGTCCCTTTCTCTGGTTTTTAAGTTTTGTAGTTGGCCTTTGGTCTTACTACAGGAGTCAGCATATCTTTGGGTGGATTTAAGCACATTTGGAGTTTGGGAGAGAGGGAGGAAGGAAGGAAGGAAGGAAGGAAGGAGAGAAAGAAAAGAGAGGGAAAGAAAAGAGAGAAAGAGAGAAAGAAAGAAAGAAAGAAAGAAAGAAAGAAAGAAAGAAAGAAAGAAAGGAGAATAAGAATAGAAAGAAGCAGGAAGGACACAGAGAAAGACAGAAGAACAATAACAAAGGAAGGAAGAAAGAAAGAAAAAGAAAAAAGAAAAAAAGGGAGGGAGGGAAGGGAAGGAAGGAAGAATAAGAATAGAAAGAAGAAGGACAAAGGAAGACAGAAGGAGAGAAGTAGGAGGAAGGAAGGAAAGAAAAAAGAAAAAGAAAGAAAGAAAGAGAGAAAAAGAAGGGAGGAAGGAAGGAAAGAAAGAAAGAAAAAATAGAAAGGAGGAAGGACAAAGAGAAAGACAGAAGGAGAACAATAAGGAAGGAAGGAAGGAAGGAAAGAAGAAAGAAAAAAGAAAAGAAAAAGGGAGGGAGGGAGGAAAGGGAAGGAAGAATAAGAATAGAAAGAAGGACAAAGAAAAAAGAAAAAGAAAGAAAAAAGGAAGAAAGAAAGAAAGAAAGAGAGAGAGAGAGAAAGAAAGAAAGAAAGAAAGAAAGAAAGAAAGAAAGAAAGAAAGAAAGAAAGAAAGAAAGAAAGAAAGAAAGAAAAAGAAAGAAAGAAAGAAAGAGCACTTTTCTGGAAGGGAAGGAGAATTTAGCAAAAGGGATGCAAACAATGGTGGGGTGAGTCAATCAGCATTGGTGGCCGCATCTGATTCCTAGCTTGTTCTCTACCTTGTGCCCAATGTTCACCTGGGCACTAAGGCATTTTTGTCTGGACGCAAGTCCCTTGTCAGTGGCCGCCCCAGTTTTCTGGAACCTTCTCTCCCAAATACAGGTAGTCCTCCACAACTGAGCCCCAAACTGCTGTTGCTAAGTGAGACATTTGTTAAGTGATTTTATTTTTGCCCCATTTTACCACCTTTCCTGCCGCGGTCGTTAAATGGATAGCTGCAGGTGTGTGTGTGTGTGTGTGTGTGCTTGCCTGTCCCGAACGCCCCCCGTGACGTCAGCGGGGAACACCCAGAGCCGCGCGGAGTCCCCAGCCCGTGTCGGGACCAGCAAAGAGCGGCGGCTGCGGAGCGAGCGGGAGGCGGCTCCGAGCTGGGAAGCCGGGACGCCGCAGCGGCGCAAGACGACCGTGGCCCGCCGGTCTGCCCCGAGGACGCCCCGCTCTGGGCGGCGGGACCATGCGGGATGCCGCGCGGAGCCTGGTGGCGCTGGCGGCGCTGGCGGCGGCCTGCAAGGGGCCCATCCTGGCGGTGGCAGGTGAGGCTGGATTTGGGGGTGGGCGTCGGGGGGGGTCCCCAAACCAGCAGCCGTCGGGGAGAGACGGTGGGAAAGCCATGCGGGAGTGAAGCTACTCTCCAAAGCGCCTGAAGGCAGGACGAGAAGCAACGGATGGAAACTCATCAAGGAGAGAAGCAACCTGGAACTAAGGAGGAATTTCCTGACAGTGAGAACAATTAACCAGTGGAACAACCTGCCTCCAGAAGCTGTGGGTGCTCCAACATTGGAAGTTTTTAAGAAGAGACTGGACAGCCATTTATCCGAAATGGTACAGGGTTTCTTGCCTGTGGGGTTGGACTAGATGACTTCCAAGGTCTCTTCCAACTCTGTTTTTCTATTCTATCCTATCCTATCCTATCCTATCCTATCCTAACCCAGCTTTATTATTTTTCTAGCTAACTCAAGTGGTGAACATATTTAACACTTCTTCCTCCTCCTCTTTGTCCACAACGTGGAGAATAATATTATTATAATAATATTATATTGAAGTATGGATCATCGCACAGTCAGCCAGATGTTCAGACTGGATTTATTATTATTATTATTATTATTATTATTATTATTATTATTATTATTATTATTATTAACCCCTGGTTAGCTGAGTTGCATCCGCACAGCCCGCCGCACCTGGATAGAAATGGGTTCACATGTGGCATCGAACCGAAAGTTCGGGATAGTTTTGCACAGCTGGCTCAAATATCCATCCCAACTAGCCGGGGTCATGAGAATGCAGCCCTTGGGCTTTGGCTGACCCAATTGGGTGGCTTGGGTTGGTTTAGCAACCAGCAAACTGGGTGACAGTCTAACTAATCTGATGAGTTTTTGTTTTATTAATACAACCTGGCCCGCCAAAATGAGCTTCATCTCCTGTTTTCTCTTGCTGAAACTCGAGGTTGTCCCCCAGCAGAATAATTCCAGAGATTTAAATTGCTCACCTACAGAGAGAGAGAGATGGAACATAAGAATCTCCATTACGTTTCACTTTCTTTCACCTTGCACTTATTGCAATGTTAACTTTCCAAATTCTTCCTGGATTTGTTTGTCGTTATTCATGTAATTATGCCCACAGGCTGTGGGGAAAAGGAGAAGAAGGCTCAACTTTCTCTGTTAGTGTGTAGGGATGAACTCTACACACTAGTAGAGGCAGTCTTGTGTAGTGGTTAAAGGTATCTGCTAGAAACTGGGAGGTGGTGAGTTTTACTCCTGCCATAGGCACAAAGCCAGCTGGGTGACTTTGGACCAGTCACTCTGTCTCAGCCCTAAGAAGGAGGCAATGGCAAATTGCTTCTGGAAAACCTTGCCAGGAGAACTGCGGGGACTTATCTGGCCATTTGCCAGCAGTCGAGATGACCTCAAAAGCCCCCTACAAAAAGCCTCCAATGACCCTTGTGTGCAAATCCTAGCTCCTTCCATGTAATTCTGGCTGGGAGGTCTGAGAGTTCGTCCATTCATCATAAAGAATGCTGGGTGGAGGATTCTGGGAACTGAAGATTAGGCAACTTCAAGTTGCCAGGCTTAAGAAATACAGGCACTCCTCAAGTTACAACCGTTTTGTTTAGTGACCGTTCACTAGAACGGTACAGAAAAAAAGTGACTTATGACCGCTTTTCACACTTACGACCTTTGCAGCACCCCCATGGTCATATATTCAAAATTCAGACGCTGGGCAACTGACTTGTATTTATGACGGTTGCAGAGTCCCGGGGTCATGTGATCCCCTTTTGTGGCCTTCCGACAAGCAAAGTCACATGGGGAAGCCAGATTCACTTAACAACCATGTTTCTAACTCCACAACTGCCATGATTCAGTTAACAGCTGTGGCAAGAAAGTTCATAAAACGGGGCAAAACTCAACTTGACAAGTCTCTCACTTAGCAATGGAAATTTTGGGCTCAATTGCAGTCGTAAGTCGAGGACTACCTTTATCGCCCTAGGGAGTTACTACCACACCAGCACCTGCACCCAAGAAGGGCACAGCTTTAGGCAGAGCCTGGAAAATCAAGGCTGTCTCCTTTGCTTGCTGGCTTTCTCTTTGGGTGGGGAGAGCTGAGGCACTAGATCTGGGCGGCTGGTTCCCCCACCCTTTAGTTTCCTTTCTGGAGATATTTGTCATCCGAGAATACTGGAGGAAACGAGGTGGCAGTCTGCCCAGTGGCTGGCGCTGCCTGGAAATTTCCCCAAGGCAGAATCCTGTTGCTTCTTGTCGCAAAAGTCTGCAACTCCTGCAGCCTCCTGGCTTTGTGGATTCATCAGATAGGATCTGGGAAGAAATCTTTCTCTCTTTCGGATGAATTTTCTTCTAGAAAATACGGAAGTGGTTTTGCCCACTTTGGTTTTTCTGTTTTCTGAGAAGGTTGATTGGATTCCCTCCCCCCCCCACACACACACACACTCTATGGGCTAGCCTGCAATCCTGTGATTTCCTAGTGGTCTCCCCTCCACCTAGCAACTAGGTTTCAAGTGGCTAAGCAGTGGTACCCTGCTTTGGTGGGACGTAATTGCCAGAGGTTGTTGAAGTATTAAGCGTCTTTAGAAGTGAACAGTTCTCCCTCCTGCTATTGCTGTGGCCTGATGCAAGCAAAACAGCTGGATCCCTTCACGATTTGACTGAAAGACCAACCAGAAGCCTCTTTTCTCCCTCAAATCTTGGCATCAATCTGCTTCCTGGCTTCCAGTTGGCTGGCTTGAGAAACCACAATGATCCTCTTTCTGTCCTGCAGGGATTTGCAGCTGGGCTGGTTTTAAACATGCTGAGCATGGCTCAGATTCTTCTTCTTTTTTTTCAAAGATAATTTTTATTAAATTTTTAAAATTTTACAAAAACAAAAACAAAACAAAACAATCTTCCCCCCCACCTCCCCGACCCTCCCATTCCCACCCCCGATCTTCCCAGAGCTGAATATAGGCTTAATTAAAATTTGACCAAAAAATTCTTAAGAAAAAAATATAAGCCATAAATGAGTCTAGCATTAGTTAAAAATCTAAATACATTAATTAGAAAAATTATAAAATAATTAACAATAGTATATATTTTTAAAAAAAAGGAAAAAGAAGAACAGAAAGAAGAAAAAAAAGAGAAAAAAAAACAAAATATTCCATTTTAAATATAAATTATTAAAAAATTAAATAATATTTTTTATATCCAACTTATGTTGTATAAAATCTATCCATTTTTTCCATACTGCAACGTACTTCTCTTGCGATTGATCCTTCAAAAAAGCCGAGATCTTTGCCATTTCCGCCAAGTAAGAAACTTTGAGAAACCACTCTTGCAAAGTAGGCAAAGATTCCTTCTTCCAGCATTGCCCTACTAACAACCTTGCGGGCATGGCTCAGATTCTTTTCAAACACCAGTCCTGGATGTTGCAACAGGATACGGAGAAATGGGATGCCTTCGGTGCAAAAGCACACAACTGCTCCCTTTTGCTTTGGAGGGTGCAGTGGGGGCTTGGAGACTGGGCAGAAGGAAAAACAGAGAAATCTTTCCTTCCATTAGCCACGTGGGAAGGCCCGAATAGAAGCAGATAGCTGCAGCGAGGGGATGAGGGTGAAACACACCTGCTCATACTCACACCTTTGCTTAACCCATGGCCTTTTTCTGACTTGTGGACCAACTCCCAGAATTCCTCAGCTTATGATCATTTTTTACACTTTGGTAACATCTGCAGTGCTAGAAAGGAGTAGAGGCGGGGTTGCTCTCTGTTTATAGGTTTTTGTGCAGGAAGAGTAAGTTGGTGAAGGTTTGCCTGCATGCATATTACTCCCATTTCTGTGCTTTCTGAAATCCCTGATGCACATACGTGGTTTCAACAGAAGAGAATCTCTGTAGCTCAGGGTTGGACTGTGGGGTCCTTGGTGCTCTCACCTTGGTGGTTTTCTTCCAGGTGTTTCATGACCCAACTAGGTAAGGTCATCAGTGCCCAACTAGGTAGCATCATCACCACTGGTGATGTTACCTAGGTGGATAGTAAGATATCTGCAAGCAAACCACCAAGCTCAGAGCATCGACCTTCCTCCTCCCCTCCTCCTCCTCCTCCTCCCCCCAAACCCAGCCCTTGTAGCACTGATAATGTTACCTAGTTGGACAGTGAGAGGTTTGCAAGCAAACCATTGAGCTCAAAGAGCACTAAGGACTCCAGAATTAATTTTCTCTTTCTCCACCTTTTGGTCCAGCCATTCCCCACACCAATCCACCTACTGGATTCTCCCTTCACTATTATCATGAGTAGGTTTACTTCCAGAAGCAGGGTTTTAGGAGAGAGGTTCAAAGAAGGTCTGGTTTCCAGAGAATGTTTGGTTTCCAGAGAAATGTTTGGTTTCCTGAGAATGCCCTGGAAAGCAACCAAATAAACAAATGCATCATGAACAAATCAACTCAGAGTTCGAGGCACAAACGATCAGGCTGAAAGTACCGTACTTTGGACACTTTATGGGAAGGCCTAGCAGCTCTCTGGAGAAGATTCTGATGCTGGGAAAGGTGGAAAGAAAGAGAAGAAGGGGGAAGCACGTAGGAAGTGTGGTGATGGGGGCACCAAGGGATAATAGGCTTCTGTAAATGTTTAATTGCTAACATTTGAATCCCATACTGAAGAAACGAAAGGCCGAATGACGAAGTGGGCACATGGGGTGATTGTGCAACAATGGGAATGTCACTGGAAGTCTAATGTTAATATCAGGCGAATGACAAAATAGAAAAAAACGGCTATGAAGTGTTCTTTCATTAGATTATCCTACTAATTGTGATTGTTGAAATGGATCCTGAATATTCCAACATTTGTCAGAAAGGTAATAAAGAAGTGGGAACTTCTGAAGAAAGCCTAATCGTATTTGCCTTCTGAGTTAAGTTTTTATGTGACGGATTCCGCCAGACTAGGAAAACCTGTTGACGACTGGGCTCATCCACATGTTTTAAACCAGGAACATCTGCAGAATATTTTTAAAAGTCAAGATGACAGCCACAAAAAGGAAGAAGAAAAAATGATGGTAGTCATAGTTGTAGTCATAGCAGCCTCAAAAAAAAAGTCACAGACAAAACAATTTCAAAACAGTTAACAAAATCTTCTTGTAAGATCTCTGCCCTTGCTGCCTTGGGAAAAAATTAAATGTGGACTGATGATAAATGTTGACTTTATGTCCAAAAGACATACATTTGTGCACACCAGATGTGGCTTTGAAAGGTGGGTTATAAAAAAGAGTCAAGGTGGCAGGCCTTCTCCCTTCTTTCATATTGTCACCTGTGTGATCCACAATAAAAAGGGAGCAAGGCTTTGATCATATGGTCATGGCAACATCTTGCCTTTTAAAATTCTTCCCCCCAAGGTGTACGCAATCACTACCAAGCAAATAAGACTCAATGGCATGCAACAAAGAAATGTTGCATTGCATTGCATTGCTGCAAAGCAAGTCTAACTCTCTAATTCCAGAGTTGGGTAAGGATTTTTCTGCTCATTCTCCAATGCCTGAAAAATTTGCAGATCTTGCTATCTTGATAAGATTCCAGATATGAAGCCAAATAGCTCAGAAAATGACTTTCTAATGTGATAGTTCTCAAACAAAAAGGCTAAATTCTTCTGCCTCTTTATTTATATTACTCTGTGCTTTGAAAAGATTGACAATAAATAATCAATTCTGTCTGAGCTGGTATCGCATTAAGGGCCTTGAGATACTAAAATGATATCAGTTTTACTGATTAACAGCTAAACCCTTTGATCCTTGGACACCTTCCCTGAGTAAAAGACTGTAAATTTATATTATTCTGCCCTTTGAAAAGACTGGTGTTAAAAAATCTGTTCTGTCTGAACCGAGTATTACAATGTGGGCTTTGAAATACTAAAATGATATAGTTTCTACTGATTAACAGCTAAATCCTTTGATCCTTGGCACCTTCCCTGATTAAAAGGCTCTAAAATGGATTTTCTCTGCCACCCCAGTAGCATTTTTTTCTACAATCGGGTTGTAATTCTCTCTGCCTATTTGTGTCGGTGGATCCCTGTGCTGTTCTCAGTCTTGGTAGCCTGCAGTTCCACTTAAAGATTTATCTTGAGGTGGTGTCAGAAGAAAAAAGTACTTTAATTTCAGTTCAAGTAAAGACAATTGAAATCAAGTGTGTTTCAAACTTGGCAACTTTAAGATGGGTGGACTTCAGCTCCCAGAACTTCCCAGCCAGTATCCTGTTTAAAAAAAAGTATTAATTAAATAAATTCAATAATAAACAATGCTCTGTGTTCTAAGATTCTGTATTTATCCCGGTTTATAGCAGAAAGACACCTTATTTGAAATCTGGCTAATTCTTGCTTCTCGTGGTGCCCAGTTGCATGGATCTTGATGCTCAGGTGAAATAAGCCAACATAGTGGATGTTGGCATGTTGGATACCACAACACCTGGCCTCCCTAGATCAAGGCAGCAATATCTGGGTGGTTTCCTCTTTCCTTTGTACCAACCTCAGAAGACAACGGCAGTGATTTCCGAAAGTTTGAGGAGCAGTAAAAAATAAAAGTAAAAAAATCCAGAAACATTTTTCAAGAGGTGAGACACCCATAATTGCATAGTTCAATATGTATTGAGCCCATAAGGACTAGAAGCAGGGAGCATCCGCTTTGTAAATTGCCAACCCTTCTTCCTTTCCCCTTTTTCCTATTTAAAAATCATGTTTCTAGGGAATTCATTGGTAGAGTGCCTTGAATCCAGTCTATTACACTATTTTATACTGTAGAGAGCTGGCCAAGTGCTAGATCACTTCTGCAGTTTTATCTTCCACAGAGATAAATCTGCAAGTCAGACTGATTTTGAAAGAGGGATTGTGCAGGTGAAACCCCATAGGCATGTATGTGCAAAAGACAGAAAAGAAGAAAAGGCGTGATTCACTCCTGGAGACATGCAAAAAGCGGAAGTTTTTTTTCCAGTTTGTCCTGAAGTAGAGTATCTTTCATCTGAAGATTGCCAAAGCCTGCTAAAATTGCCTGTGCTGAAATGAAAACATGACGTCTAGCTGCTTTTCACATAGAGATGGCTGCAATCTCCACAGCCCCAGGCATCTGCCTTTAAATAATGCTGTTTATTATAGTTCAGGAGGCGAGATCCACGGAGTAGCTGTTATGAACAGCTCCAGAAGCCACTACCCTAATTGCATGGATGTGTTAAGACAAACAGACTCTGCACAAAGGCGCTCAGAGCATTAAAACAAGGCAGGATTGTGCAATTCATGCCTATCCTGGCAGAACTGGATGTATTTGTCACTCAGCTTGGCTCTGGATGGGAAACCCCTTTCAGGGCTGTTTGTCTGGAGGGGCATTTAGCAGCGTGGGGGGTATTTGCAACCAAGGAGAGTTTGAAAGAAAAGAATCCATACACACCATCAATCCCAAGGCTCCTTCTGGTTTTAGATGTGGAAAAATGCAACAGGCAATTTGCGTCTGGCGCTTTGTAGCTAAGCCAATATCTTTCTCCCGAACTGGAATTCCTTACTTTGGCCTGTCCATCATTTATTCCCCTGGCAAACAAGGCAAGTCCTTTTTTTAAAGATGCAATATCTCCAGTCTCTTGAGAAAACAGTCTGTGTGTGTGTGTGTGTGTGTGTGTGATCTTTCTCTCAGGCCCATTCTGGTTTTGAAGTCATTTCTGCATAATCAGTTGCACTGTCTGATTTTTATGAGAGAAATTGATCTGCACTGGTGTGAGAATTGCTTCAGTCTGAGAGCAGATGATAGTCGGTCAGTTTTTTCCAGGAATCTTGCACACCCAGTGCAAAATAACTAGAAGGAGGGGAATGTTGGGGTTTCTTTAAAAGCTGCAAAGGTATCTCTGCTGTGTGACCGTGGACTTCGCCTGTTGGAATGCTGAAGCTGCACAGTTATAAGAAAACTCAAATATTACAAAACAGCTATAAGCTGCTGGCAACTACTGTAGAGAGGAAACCAGATGGAGATAAGATGGGCCCTCATGGAATGTTTGCAATTTAGAGATTTGGGGAAGGTATCGTGCAGCAAGGGAAACAATGAGATCAGGACCAAACTTTTTATAGTAGGTAAACTCAAGGGTTCTCGGAAAATTGATGTCTTCTTGCGGACATATGTCCATCCATCAGAACCCATGTGCTACTTTTACTCCGCAGTCATTTAAATATGGAAAGAAAAATGTAAGTTCTTAGTTGCAGCTTTGACTTCACCTTGCTGTAACCTTTTTCCTTCTAATACTGTACTCTTTATTACTTTCTTTTACAGCCTTACCAAATTATTATTACAACCTATGGTTAGACCAATAAACTCACTCAGTTATCATGAAGTCTGCTCTGAGGTACAAGGTTATTCAGATATTAAGTGGTGGGGAACCTGTGTCCCTAAAATGTTGAACTGCATCCAGTTCCTGAGAAAGAGAAGAGAAGAGAAGAACAAACTTGGAAGGGACCTTGTAGGTCATCTAGTCCAACCCTCCAGCCAAGCAAGAGATCCTACACCATTTCTGACATGGCAGTCCAGTCTCTTCTTGAAAAGCTTCCAGTGATGAAGCTTCCATGATTCTGAAGGCAGTTTGTTCCATTGGTTGATTGTTCTCACTGCCAGAAAATTTCTCCTTATTTCTAGGTTGAATCCTCGGTCAATTTCCATCCATTGTTCCTTCTCTGGCCTTCTGCTTTGGAGAATAGGTGGACCCCCTCGTCTCTGTGGCAGCCCCTCAAATACTGGAACCCTGCTATCCTGTGGTCCTTCTCTTCACTAGACTAGCCATGCCCAGTTCCTGCAACCGTTCTTCATATGTTTAAGCCTCCAGTCCCCTCGTCATCTTTGTTGCTCTTCTTAAATTAAAAATATGAATATTGCTTATTTCTTAATGTTGATTATTAGCATTTTAAAGCTGTTTAAATACTGATTCATTTAAACTTAGAGAAAAGTTATATTTTGTCTCCATATTGGAAAAAGTAAAAAGTCACTTTTAAATATATTTGTTTTGGGGGATTTTGGGGTCACTGTTTAGCTTTATGCTCTTATCGGCTTCCCTTGTTTCCATTATATGTTAGTTTGTATTTTATTGGTTTTTTTGAAATTGAAAAAAGATATTGCATGTCTGGCAGGCTGAGACAATCAGCCCTGATGAAAGGTGTATCAAAAAGATAAAGGAGTTGTTTCATTGGCTCAAGAGGTCATGAAGCTTCCTTGATCAAAGAATGAAGGGCTAGCAAGACTGTTGAGTTTTATGAGTTCTTGTGACTGATTGGAAAAGTAAGATAGTAACATCAGAGGCTTCCTGATGCAACTGTCCACTAAAGTGTTTTTTTTTTTAAAAAAAAGATAGTTTATCTATATATATTGAAAATAACAAATAATGCACAGCTACATTAAGAAGACTCTGGAGGCACTAAAGAATAAAAAAATGGTTTATCAATACATCAGTATATTAAGAATAACAAATGGTATATAAAGATAATTGCTAGAAATATTAAAGATAATAAAATTTTCTATCAATACATTGAAAACAACAAATGGCCTGTAAACAGGATATAAAGACATTTTAAAAATAATAAAAATATTATCTATAAAGATACTAAAATCATAAAAGAACATAAATATGTATACAGTACTAATCTATAAATATATTGAGAATAATAAACTCTTCTTGGATTGTTTCCTTGTTCCAGGAGAACCTGATGCAACCAAAACCTGTGCATTTGAATGCCTCGGGTTTACAAAGAATAAATTTCCTTCAAATATGCTAGAGAGCTACGCAGTTAGCACCTGCAGAGCAAAGACATCAGTCAAGTAAGTGCCTTTTTATCAGAATATTTTTCTCCTTCCAATTCAAAGATTTGGATAAGAATTCTATGCTGGTTTTTCAAAGCCTTTGCACGGAGCTCAAGAAGGGTATTTAGCAACAGCACTTAGACTTTCTATATTATTTTGTGAGTTTATATGATATACCAGTCTAGGTTAAATTGGGATTGCATCAGATGTGGTTTTGCCTATCAAACCCAAGCATTCTTTTCATAGGTTGTGTGAATGTGGTTTATCTGTTTGTTGGAGCAATTCATGCTTTTGGAATCCAGAAATTATATTTTGTTATTCTTGAGTCAGGAGATGGGATAGGAATATCTTTCCCCAATACTTCAAAATTAAAGGCATTCTATTGAACGTTAGAGGGATTTAAAAATGCTGAAATGTCCTGGAATGGTTAATATGTCCATTCCATCTATTCTTACTTGGGTTTTTTTTTCTCCTTTCCTTTCTCTAGGCTGAAAACAAAGAAAAACAGAACTTTTTGTGCCAACGGAGACCATGATTGGGTAAAGAAAGTTATGCAGGACATAGATGCGAGGAGTGCTCCTTCACTTTCCAGATATGGTACCACCACAGAAAATTTCCCTGCAGCTAACAGACATTTAGGAGGAACTGTGCTGGAGGTTGATGGTCAAGTTCAGCCCACAAAAAAAGTTAGCACAACCTCCTACAAGACAGCAATACTTTCTGTGAGAGCCACAGAAGATCCCCAACCATTCATAGAAAGAGGGTTGGCTGGGTTAGAGACCACAATGTCATCTACGTGGTTGACTCCTCAACCAGAAACCGTTGCTGATAAATCCACCCTTCAGTCTGGCTCAATTGCAAATAACAAGTTAAGGTCAGAAACCACTGAGGGGCACCAGAGATTCAGGGAGCTTTTCACACCAACGAAAAAAGGCCTGGAGGATTTCGCTAGAACAACTCAGCGATTGGTGTCGCCTCCGGTGCCTTTTCCAGGAACTGACAAAAGAAGCACCAAGAGTCCTGCGTTTGTTCCAGAAACTCTGACTTCAACAGGTCCTTGGAGGAGCTCTTCCCTCAGCAAGCTTCTCCTGGAATTTGTCAGGAAAGATAAGACGTTGATTACAATACCCACCAAGCTTTCAAACTCTTCACGTTTGTCTTTAAGCAGCTTCAGCACAGACCATAAACCACAGTCAGTTGAGGAGTCTACAGCTCAACTTCCTACCAATTCTAGTAGCCATTCAAGCACACATTCCAGCTCTGATAGGAACAGTCTCAATTCTGTTCGGTTTCGAGGGGTGATTGATGCAGACCGTGAAGGAGACACCACAGAAACATCTTTAATTATCGGAAACGGTACTTCAGATAGAACTTTCTCCAAACCTTCAAACACTCTCCCAATTCCAGGTTATCACCAGGAAACATTTAACGAGAGTACTTTAATATTCAACCCAAACATGCCACCAAACTGCATTTACCCTTCTCAATCCATGGTACAAAATTACATTATCCCTGTGGTTTCTGTTGGGGTTGTTCTCTGTGTCGTCTTGGCAATTGGTGGCTTAGTCTACATTAAACGTAACATATGTACCAAACAGTCACCTAAGAGGCAGGTCCAAGGTCTGTTGTATCATCCATGTGATTCTCAAGCTGAGTCATATCCCATGGCAATTGTTTGACCATCTTTTTGATTGGCCAAAAATCCATCTTATTTTACAAGAGGGATGGACTGGGTTAGTAGTGTAACTGATGGGAGTCCTGTTTGGTCTCCCTCTTCTTCTCTGCCAAAGTCAAGACAGTTTGCAGCTGTTGGTCAAAGGATGCACTAAAGCATAACAACCCATTATCGGTCTTATGGGATGTTGTAGCCCGTTGGGCCATGGGCCAAGGACAGAGTCTTCAACGTGGGAGGCAGGCCTCCATACCAAAGCAAGAACTTTCATTGGAAGAAAAAAGAACTATTTGTCCAGGTACCAATAGTTTGAATATAATTGATGCTTGGCAGTGTTAAGATGAGCCTGAAGGATGAGCAGGGCTGGCCCAGAACATCTACCTGTTTGAGATGAAAGATGTGCCCACAATTTTACTTTTCTAAATTTACTTATGGAGGCTGACCCAATGGGTGGTTAAATTTTCTCCCACAGCTGGTGATGAAAGATCCAGGAGTTGTGCTCTGTTGTAGCAGCTCCCATGCCCTCATAGCTATCTTCCTTAGTCCTCTTAGAAGAGCAACAAGGATGATTAGGGGACTGGAGGCTAAAACATATGAAGAACAGTTGCAGGAACTGGGCATGGCTAGTTTAGTGGAGAGGAGGACCAGGGGAGACATGATAGCAGAGTTCCAATATTTGAGGGGGTCTCACAGAGAGGAGGGGATCAACCTATTTTCCAAAGCACCTGAAGGCCAGACAAGGAATAACAGATGGAAACTGATCAAGGAGAGATTCAACCTGGAAACCAGGAGAAATTTCCTGACAGAACAATCAACCAGTGGAACAGGAGTTGCCTTCAGATGTTGTTGGTGCTTCATCACTGGAGGCTTTCAAGAAGAGACTGGACTGCCATCTGTCGGAAATGGTGTAGGGTCTCCTTGTGCAAGGGGTTGGACTAGATGACCTACAAGGTCCCTTCCAACTCTTTATTCTATTCTCTTGGAAGGTGCTGACTCTTGGTCTTTGATTGTCCAGCAAGAGCCTTTTAGATTATGCCAACATCAGTTGATAGTAGATCCCGTGGGTGCACAGAGCCCAGCATTAAGTGGCCTCTTCCACTTAGAAATGATTGTGTCAGGACTTCTAAGGAAGTGGAAGTTGTTACATCAAAATTGCCATTAAGGGGGAAAAAAAACAACAATAGACAAAGCTATTTCATTTTTCTCAAAGTGCACTTTGGTATTTTAAACCCTGCAGGTTTGGGAAATCTGCTTTAAATCAAATCTGTTTTATATGACCTTTTAAAACAGCAAACTAAATAAAACAATAAAATAAACCAGGGTTGTTTTACATTATCTTCCAGGCTAATAAAATAAATCAGAACTGTTTTTTTAAATGTGATCTTCAAAAATAATAAACGAGACAATCAAACTTGATGCAAGCTGCAGTTCCAGCTTTGCATTATGGTGACCGCTTGGCTTTTAGGAAAAAAATGTGTGGAGACTCAGAGCTTCTGCACTGGAGACAAATTCCTTGTGTGTCCAATCACACTTGGCCAATAAAGAATTCTGTCCTTTCACTACAAATGGAGTTGGGAGTCTTTCCTGGAAGACCAAGCCAGGGCAGGCCCGATATTAAGCTGGAACTGAAGTTTTCACATGTAAAACTCCCTGGATATTTTTTCCCCTCCCTCCTCCTTCCCCTGGTTACCTCCCCTGTTCAATTAATTTAAAATAAACTGTTTTGGTAACAGTCCCTGTCTTGGCCTGTTGCATTCCATGCCTTGACCTTGAAGCAGCCAATGGCTCTCACGGGATGCCACTCTGAGTAGTTCTGATTCTCCCTTCCTAGCAGACTGGCATCTAGTGAGGTTTGGCTGGTGCAGCAGAATGACAGTCCGGACAGACGTTTTGCTCCATGGCTTCAGTGAATTTCTAGGTATAATTCAAGCCATAAAGATAAGATGGGATGAGAAGATAAGAGAGGAGAGGAGAGGGAGGGGGGAGGGAGAGGAGAAGAGGAGAGAAGGGAAGGGAGAGGAGAGGAGAGGAGAAGAGAGGGAGGTGGAGGAGAGGAGAGAGAAGGGAGAAGAGAAGAGAAGAAAACTTTTATTGCCCTTTTTTTTTTACTGTGAGCACACTGGCCCACATTAAAAATGAAATTCTGTTTGCTGCTTTCAAAAAAAAGTATATATGTACCCATACACATAATACATATACACATGCTATATACATACATACATATATATCTACACCCATACATATATATACATATAAATATTAATCTCTGTCTTATACATAGCAGAAAGAGGAAGCTTGAGAGTTCACAAGCTTGAGAGAGTTAATACTGTATGGAACAAAACTGTGACTCAGTCTGGAGGTTGTAGGAGACAATCCTGCTCAAGCATCGCTTATGTTCTGGGTCCTGAATAGAAGGAAATGAAACACCATTAATCTTTTCTGCCATCCTCACCACTCTCTGCACCGCCTTCCTGTCTGAAGCAGTAAAGGACTATGTCTTCAGGAGATAGAACCAACTATTAGCAGAGCCACCTATCCCCATGGATCTGGGCTCACCCCACTAGCTTTCACAGGGATGACCTGCTCTGGGTCTCTTCCATCAAACAACGTCATCAAGAGTCTCCTCGGTGTGATGGACTTTAATGATAAACAAATAAAATCTTATTGGGTCCAGAAAGGGTGATTTCTGAGGAGCAACATCTGTGCTATGAAACAGCAACCCCGGAGATCCAGATGGCCCTGACTCTAATCTTACTGTAGTCTTGTAAGGTGTTTGGGCCAGGATGTTAGGCAGCTGATTAATGTTGTGTTTTATAGGGAGAGATTGATATTTACGGATGTTGAGTTTGGATCGTGAAATGTTTGTTTTAATCGTGTATACCAGCCAGAGTCACCGTTATTGATTAATCACTTTAGGTCAATCTTCAACAAACTGGCCTTCCCTAGAAATGAAAAATTACAGCTCCCAACTGTTTCCAAATAGCCAACCCAAGGGATGTCCAAGCACCATGGCAGTTGTAGTACTTCAAGTCCCACTAGAGGCAGGTCGGGGGACGTTATTTGAAATGCAAAAAGTGAGCCCTAAGTTGTAGTTTTGAAGATGTTGATCTTGTTGAGATGATCGTATTTAACTTCATAAGCCAAGAAGGCTATTTAAATTGCACCAGCCTTGATTAAACCAGGGATTTGAGTCTGAAGGACTTAAAGTCTTTAAACCTCCCAAGGTTGGATACCCTGGTATAGGGTCTCTCGCTTGAGCAGGGGCTTAGAAGATCTCCAAGGTCCTTTCAACCCTATTATTCTATCTTCTAACGACAAAACTAAGCAGTGGTTTCAGTAGAACGATTTAAGGGCAAGGACAGATCATGATGGGATTGTCTAGAGCAGGGGTCCTCAACCTTGGCAACTTTAAGACTTGTGGACTTCAACTTTGCTGGCTGAGGAATTCTGGGAGTTGAAGTCCACAAGTCTTAAAGTTGCCAAGGTTGAGGACACCTGCTCTAGAATAGACCAAGCCTCCCAAAGGAGGAGAAATTCAGAAAAGACCATTTCTTAGTTGCTTCAAGGAACTATAGAGTTTTGCAATGTTTTGTGAATATCCATTTTGTATTGATTCATCTGCAAAGAATCAAGCAGCTGGAAACTGAATTACTGATGAATTCTTGGAACGGTTCCTCTTCGGAAGCAGCAAATATCCTCCGTTTAAAAAACAGAATTCTTACTAAGTCAAGTCAGCGGGCTGTGTTTTAATCTGAAATACAATGTAGATTAAAGTGATGTGAAGAGGGATCATCCTATCATGTCACTCATAGTCTTTCTTCTCACTAGACTAGACATCCCCAATCCCTGCAACTGTTCTTCATATGTTTTAGCCTCCAGAACCCTAATCATCTTTGTTGCTCTTCTCTGCACTCTGCAGGTTCTCAACATGTTTTTTGTATCGTGGTGACCAGGATTGGATTTTGTTGATACATTCGATTTAGATAACTGCCTCTATCACATGCTGGACTCAAAAATTTAAAACAGAAAAAAACAATTTAAAAATAACCAATATCATATAACAAAACCATTAAAAACCATAAGAGTTATGAAAACCATAAAAACAATATGTGAGAGCGCCATCTAACCACATAGCCATTTAGCTGTCTCTATTCCACCACTACCAGATGGTGAGATGGGAGCATCTTCAGGCCCTTCCTAAGAATCAGAAAAGTCGGTGTCAATCTAAGTTCTGGAGGAAGGCATATGTAGTGCTTCATCCTCTCATTCTCCTCAACAATAACTCTATGAAGCAAACTGGGTTAAGAAAAAATCCCATGGGGAGTTTCCACGATTGAGATGAAACTCAAAACTGGATAGTCTCCAGGGGGTTTCTGTGGTTGTAGACTCTTTGCTCTTCACTGTTTCTCCAGGCTGTCTCTTGGGCTGAGAAGGGAGGACTGGCCTCCACGTTTCTGAGACTGAGGATGGGGGACCTAGAACCTGAGTTTCCTTGCTCCTAATCCAGGATTTCTGCTACTGCACCTTATGGGTTCTAGGTTTAGAGAGTGGAACTGTAGGACAAAGGGGTGGCAGAATCTGGGAGCGGAATCAAAAGAGGGATAAGCCTGGGATCCTTGTGTAGCCACAAGCAAGTGATGCCAAACCTCCCTTGAACTCCATTGACTTTTATCTAACAAGAAGGTACTAGCCCTCAGTTAAGAAATTTCCTGTGCACAGGCACGAGTAGCAATAAATCAGTCAAACTGAACCTTCATGTGTGGACCTGATATTTTGTGCCTGATAGAGACTGGCCCAAAGACATTCAGAGAGCTTCCATGAGAAAATATGGACTAAAAGCTAGACTTCCCTTCTCCTAGTCCATCACCTTCATCTACTATATCACCATCATTCCCATTGTATGGATTGTTTTCACCTGACACCCATCCTCTTACGTGCTTACATGTAAAACATAGACAATGTAGACCAGGGGTGTAGACCATGTAGACCACAAACAATTATACCAGAGGTGTCCAACAATGTAGACCAGGGGTGTAGACAACATAGATCAGGAGTGTCCAAACTTGTGTAACTTTAAAACACCTGTAGACTTCAACTCCCACAGTTCCCTAGCCAGCATGTTCAGGTCCACAGGTCTTATAGTTGTCAAGATTGTACACCCACGATGTAGACCTTAAACACCAAACCAGTTATTATGAGAACATTTTTTCTGAAGTGTAGCCCAGATGCATCAAAGCTAAACTTGAAGATTGATGGCCTTAAATCAGTTGCAGGTTATTCCATCCAGTGGTAGTATCCCAAGTTGGCTCTTAAGATAGCCTTTCTTGTACAGAAGGACTACAAAGACTCTAACAAAGGTTCAACTGATCTTCCACACACTTTCCCCAGCTTTCTCTCCTGCTGCTCTTCAAGGCACCCATCCGAAATCCTAATCATCTAAGAGCTCTAGCAGATACAAAATTATCATAGAATCATAGGGCTGGAATTAACCGTGGAGGTCTTCTAGTCCAACCCTCGGCTCAAGGTAGGAAAACCAGGTATACCATCCTTCTGGTACCTTGGAAAACAAGTTGACCCTCTCTTCTTTGTGGTAGCCCGTCAAATAGCAATGATTAAAAAGATTAGGGGGTGACCTGATAGCAGAGTTCCAATATCTAAGGGGCTGCCACAAAGAAGAGGGGGCCAATCTATTTTCCAAAGCACCAGAAGGCAGGACAAGAAGCAATGGATGGAAACTAATCAAGAAGAGAAGCAACCTAGAACTAAAGAGAAATTTCCTGACAGTGAGAACAATTAACCAGCTTGCCTCCAGAAGTTGTAGGTGCTCCATCACTGGAAGCTTTCAAGGAGAGACTGCACAGCCACTTGTCTGGAATGGTATAGGGTCTCCTGCTTGAGCAGAGAGTTGGACTAGAAGACCTCCAAGGTCCCTCCCAACTCTGTTATTCTGTTATCCTGGTGAAATGGTTGCCCAGTCTATTCCCAGTAACGGAGCACACACAACTCCAGGAGGCCAACTATTCCACTGATCCATCATTCTCACCCTCAGGAAATGTCTCCTTCGTTCCAGGTTGGATCCGTCTTCCACAAATTTCCATCCATTGCTTAGAAAGGTTATCTGAGTGACCCCAGTTTGATTTCACTTCTTCAAACGGGTGAAATGTCACCCCTAGGTAAGCCAAATCTTCTTTTCGTTGGAAAGAGGAAGTATGCTTTTTGTGAGTTTTCTGTGAAATGGTAGGAGGATTGTTGGAGTGTTCTTGGGAATTTGGGGAGAAGTGAGGCTGCCTGTATATATTACACTTGCAACTCTGTGTCTCTAGCCATCCCACCCTAGGAGGGAGAGAAAGCAACAGAAGACCTTCTCCAGATATACCGGTATTTGCTGTTCACCCATCATGGCTAATCTGAAGTTTGCTTTTCTGATCATCCTGATCTTGGCTGTCTACTATCAACCCATAGCAGGTGAGTAACCACCATTTCTCTGTTCGTAAGTTTGTTCTCGAATATTTATTTTTTTGTGGAATTTTTCTGCTTACCTATTGCAGGGATGGCACCGTGGAATCCCAAGGCATCACAGCTGATCTTTGAAATGTATAAAGTACTAAAGGATCCCTGTTTGGGGAAACAGGATATTTACATTGATGCTGGTTGTTGACCGTAATGACAGTTTGATTTGAGGGTGTTTACATCAATGTAGAAAGCCAATTAAAAGCAGAATACACCCTAGCCTTTTTTCTTTCATTCATTTTTCTCAGTAATTTGGCAAGTGGCGGGGGGGGGGAACTTTTCAACTGTTGACTGGCATATTAAAGCAGCAATTCCATGTCCCAGAGGTGCTTTTTCAAAAGGCAACTGGACTTTTTTTGTTTTGCTTGAAGATATTTCACTTCTTATCCAAGAACTAGACTACCTGCAATGAATTAGGCTACTCCTTAGATATGAATTCCCTTTGATTTCTGATGTCTTGGTAAATCCACAGCAGTAATTCTCAATCTCTTCCTTTGATCTTTAGGGAAATGTGTCAGCTGTCCAGAAGACTGTTGCTATGATGTTAGAAAAGGAAAGCCTTTACCTCTAAGAGTGATATCATCTTACAGAAAAACTTCTCAGACTTGCGGAATGGATGCTGTGGTGTGAGTATCCAAAGTTTTTTTCCTCTTTTTATTAAAGTTCAGCTGAGTAGCATTCATGTTGAGGACTAGAATTTTGAATCTAGTCCTCAACATGAATCCTTTAACTGAATCCAATGTCGCAAACATTCGGATGTGAAGGCTGAGCAGAGCAAAGCACTCATTGGGCACTGCATTAAGAGTGTAATGTGAATTTGACAGGTTGGGTTAGGGATTAAAAGTTGAGAGACCATGAATTCCAGTTCTCCTTCAGGCACAGAAATTAGGGCTGGAAATTAGGAAACATCAATTCACCAACCTATTTTGGGTCAGGGTGAGAGATTTCGGTCCATAATTTCCAAAGAAGAGGTCTTCATCCGGTGGTGTATTGATGGAGGAGGAGGAGGAAGAGGAGGAGAAGGTTGTGGCTTCACAAGGATTCTCCTGAGAATCGTGAGGGGAGGGAAAATGGCAGAAACCTGTATCCTATGTACACCCAAGAGGTCACAGGTTGCCTAGGGGCTGATTAAAAGCAGCCGGGCATCAGCAGGGGGAAACTGCCATTGCATTATTATGACACACCTCTGCCTATTTTGTATAGACATTGTGATATCACATCCGTGCCACAAAAGAGACAGAGCTTGGGGGGCAAGTCTGCCTGCTGCTTTCCTCCGTTTTCGATGGAGGCATCAGATCTTGTCCTCTCCCTTCCTTTATTTAGTGGGGGGGGGCAGGGATGAGCTCCCTCTCATAACAGCCCTTCTGCCTTCTGGGCTCATCTGAGTTCCCATCGAAACCCCTCGCTGGGATGTTTGGGGTCAAAATCACTTCCTCTTCTCTCTTTTCCCTCTAGGCTTGAGGTGAAGAGTGGCAAAGAATTGTGCGTGGAAGCTGAAGCACTTTGGGTGAAGAGGCTCATGAAAAGAATTCCCAAGAAACAAAATGATTGATTGGGATGGAATGCCTCGAGCAGGGGGTTGGACTAGAAGACTTCAAGGTCCCTTCCAGCCCTGTGACTCTATGTTCTATGAAATGGGAAACCTTCTCTCCTACGAAGGAAAAGGCCATCTCTTCTCTACTTTACTGCTTTCTATCTGTTGGACTGGATGCAAAGTTAAGTGAGATTGAAGCCAAAGCTCTCCGGGAACCACAGTTTGCTGAACTGCTAAGAAACAGCAGCTTCACACTCGCATGCTCCAAGCCTGCCTAGGGGCCAAACAGACTGAGTAGGAGTTGTGCAGAATTAGCAAAACTTCATCTAGAGTCTGGGATTTTGCTAGAGTAGGATCCCCGAGAATAAGTGAAAATGAAGGAATGAAATTCATACACAAAACACTCCAACCGTAACTATTAAAGAGGCAACTCCTATTAGATCAGGGCTCCTCAAACTTGGCCACTTTAAGATTTGTGGACTTCAGCTCCCAGAATTCCCCAGCCAGATCATAAGCAGAGCTGCGATTTCACGCAGTGTGACTGCTTCGCTTAACGACCAAGTTGAAGTGCCATTGGTGGTTGTTAAATGAGGACTGCCTTCAGTTTCATCACCAGTATTCTGATTCCCAAAGGCAGTGCCCAGTGCTGGCTGTAGGGAGAAGTCTTTTTTTAGGGGTGACACAAGAGGAGCTTGTCAGTTTCTCTTGAGGGAAGACCCCCCCAAGTCCTCCAGCTGCAGTCCAGGAATGCTGAGTCTCCAGTCCACAGAACTGTCCTGTTCCATATTTGTTTTAAACCTCCTCGTATTTATTGCTTGTTAATCTTTGGAAGAATGTAATCTACTTTTTGTTCTTTATTTTAAGGAAGAACAATGAGATATAAGCTATTTGAGTGAAAATAAAACTTTGGCAGCTCTTTATTTTCTCTGTGGTTGTGGTATTCTTTCAAAGGCAGGGAGTCTGTTTGTTTTTCTCCTGCTCACTTAATGGGGGAATCACTTGCAGAATTCACAGGTCAATTAAAAAAAGAAGAGTCCAAATCTTACTTCTGTTCCTCAAAAACAAACTATGTTCGTAGACATTATTTGTCATAATCAACTATAAACATAAAGCTTGCCATGTTGTGTGAAGCCAGCGCTTTCTAGGAAAATCCTGCCCTTTTCTGTGTTCACACTGATCTAAGCCATGATTTGTTCAATAGCGGCTTCTTGAACAAACCATGGTTGGCTGGATCCATACAACAAAAAGCCAAATCTCATCCACTCACAGGATGGAAAATGGAACCCCATCAGTTTATCATTTTATGCAAACAGGATTCAAACAAAATGCTAAGCCATCATATGGCTTGTTTGGATTGGTTTAGTTAGTATGTTACTTGAACCCAACTGCTGTGTTTTATCAGCATGATTCAATGTGCCACGTGAATCTAGATATTATCACTGCAGTGGTGCATTTCAAAAGAGCCACTCAGAGCTGTGCTCAACCATGAACAGCTATACAAATCTTTTAAATAAATCTGCAAATTTGACGAGTCCCTCTTATATTAGATGAGGGAATAGAAGGGGAACTCATCAAATTTGCAGATGAAACTCAGGATCCAAAAAGATCTCAGCAATGGGCCCTATCCAACAAAATGAAATTTAATGTGGAGAAAAGCAAAGTTTTACACTTAGGCAGGAAAAACCAAAGGTACAAGTACAGATTAGGCGAAACCTGGCTAAAAAACTGTAACTGTGAGATGGACCTTGGAGTCCTAGTGGACGATCAGTTAAACCTGAGCCAGCAGTGTGCAGAAATAGCCAAAATAGCTAATACAATCCTTGGTTGTATAAACAGAGGCATGGAATCAAAATCACATGAAATATTAGTACCGCTTTATAAAGCCTTAGTAAGGCCACACCTGGAATACAGTTTGGGTCACCACGTTACAAAAAAGATGTTGAGACTTTGGAAAAAGTGCAAAGAAGAGCAACTAAGGTTGGGATACTACATTATTCTACCTGCCTAAATGGCAGCATTGAAAAGAAATAGAAAATAGAAATTGAACATTTCTCTTTTTTTCCTCACTGGCTCTTATTGCCCCCTGCTGTCTGGTTAGAAGAATTCGCCTTTGGTTGAAAAAAAACGCTCGACCCCAGACTGTTTAAACAAGTACAGGTAGTCCTTGATTTACAACAGTTCGTTTAGTGATGGTTCAAAGTTACAACGGCACTGAAAAAAGTGATTTGTGACTTTTTCCTCCCACACTTACAACTGTTGTAGCATCCCCAGGATAACACGATCAAAATTCAGCAGCTTGGCAACTGACTCGTATTTATGACCATTGCCGTGTCCTGGAGTCGTGCGATCACCATTTGTGGTGAGCCAAGCCAAGGGGGGAAGCCCGATTCACTTAACAGCCATGTTACTCGCTTAACAACTGCAGCGATTCATTTAATAGCAGCTGCAAGAAAGGTTGTAAAATGGGGCAAAATTTGCTTAACCAATGTCTTGCTTAGCAACGGAAATAGTTACTTAGATTAGGGCTGCATAGCTGTTCACAAAATACATCTAGCAGCAATGACTGATTTGTGATTGTATCTCCACGGTCACGTGATCAAAATCCAGACCTTTGACAACTGGCACGTATTTATTACGGTTGCAGGATCCCGGGATCACACGGTCACTATTTGCAAACTTCCCAGTTGGCTTCCAACAAGCAGAGTCAACGGGGGGGGGGGCAGAGAGATCCACGATTCACTTCACAACATATGATTCCGTTAGCGAGTACAGAATAGAATTGAATAGATCTCCTGCTAGAGCAGGGGTTGGACTAAATGTCCTCCAAGGACTCTTCCAACTCTCTCTCTCTCTCTCTCTCTCTCTCTCTCTCTCTCTCTCTCTCTCTCTCTCTCTCTCTCCTTCTCTCTCTCAGAAGAAGTAGAAGGAGAAATCACCTCCCAAAAAACTGCCAAACTGCCAAGAAAACTGCAGAGACCTGTCCCTATAGCCATCAAGGGCAAGACAGCCATTTCCTCCACCTGTTTCACGAGGTTTGTGATGTTGAGATTCATCAGCCATGAGAGCCTGTCCCTTGATCCCATCTTCCTTGAGTCTTTGCAAATGGGGCTCAAGAGAGATTCTCTTCTTGATGCAAGTTCTAGCCCTACATTTCAAGAAACATCACTCAGGTTTCACTTCTGCTAAGGGCTTAACTTGTGGGCTGCATTGTCCATTGTTAAAAAGGAGAAATGAGATGGCTTTAGTGACCCTTTTGTGGATGGAATAAATGCAGAATTCCTTGGCCTTTTACCCAAAAGTTGACATTAGAGAGAAGAACATCACTTCAGGGGAATTCCCACAAAGCACAGATATTGTCTGTGCCCTCTAATCACTCTCATTTTTACGTATAGTACGGGTCTTGTGTTCTCCAGAATCCACAGCCTCCATCTGCGGATGGGTTTTTCATGACTTCTCGAGAACTACATTTCCATTTTTATTTGGGATAGGTTGCTAGAGAGAGTTCTCATCAGAATTTGTTATGCTTGTGGGTGCACATTTCCCCAAAATATAGATTTTGGCCCACAGCTTTGCCTATACTTGCAATAGCATTTAAATTTTCTTTAAACAAGAAAATAATTTTTAAATGTTACTTTCAAGCAACTTTAGGCAGACCTTTCCTCTATAGATGTCATTTTTAATGGCATTACAGGTTCAGAAATGGGCTAAATTTGAAGAATAATTGAGTTTCAGTTCCAAGCCATTAAACGTTGCCAAATTTGATAATATTTACTTTTGTATAAAAAATTAAATAAGATTTTTCCCATGCCTAAGAGTAAATGTCATTGAATTCTATCAATTTTTTAATGAATAGACATAAATTTAGGCTATCTCCATGCTAATACTCTACAATTATTTGGTGGCAATAGGTTCTACTCTTATTTATTAAAGCTACTATGGAATTAGGTGCTTAAATTAGTGAAGACTTCAAGTAACTTTTTGCATGGACCATTGACTCATTAAAACAGCCATGTTTTTATATATACTGCTTCACAGTGCTTTACAGCCCTCTCTAAGCAGTTTATAGTCAGCATGTTTGCCTCCAACAATTTGGGTCCTCATTTTACTCACCTGGGAAGGATGGAGGACTGAGTCAATCTTGAGATGGTCAGGACTGAATTCCAGGATGTGGGCAGAGTTTGCCTGCAATACTGCATTCTAACCACTGTGTCACCACAGTCTTTAACAAAACATTAAAACTGTAAAGCAAGATATTAGCACTAAAATTGATTTAAAAGTTCACTCCTTCCCAGCTCTGAATTTTTTTCTCCCTTGCTTATTGCAGCATTTCCAGGAGAGGGCAATGCATTCCCAGAAAACAACGAGAAGCCATTGCTAAAGTATCCCACCTCTGCCCAACATCGCCTCCCCACCTCAAGTAAAGCCGACTTTATTCTTCAGAAATTCCTAATCTGTACTTTGGCAATTTCTCAACACATTGGTTTCCTTCTTCAAGAAACTTCTGTTTTTCTACTTTAATCTCAGGGTGCTTGAAAATTTCTTTCAAATTTCTCTTGGGTTGATCTACACAGAGGTCTGTGGTTCTAACCACATAGAACAGTAGCAAATCTGACTTTTCTCTTTCAATCGAGGTGGGAGTGGGGAATTTGCACCCAATGCTGAAGTCCCCCAACATCACATTACCCAGCAGTGAAATGTTGATTTTGGACAGTATAATATTTGGGATGAGTTTTTCACTCAGGGAGATAAGGAGATAAATAGGCACGAAGGGTCTCCACTGGGTTACTATGCGTATATGGAGCCTCTGTTCCATCTCAGCACTTGAATTGTTATCAAAAATGGTGATATTTTTGGACAGATTGAATTTCTGGCCTTTTATCTATTTGTGGATGACTTCCTGAAAAATTGCATCCGTTATTTACAACAACTCCAGAACACAATGCTGGCAATGAAATAAAACCAAAGTGCAAACTGCAGAAAGTAAAATAAGAGGAAAAGAGAGGAAAGATAAAGAATAGTACAGGAAATTGGGTCAATAAACTAAAATAGAATAGAATACTGCTGGAAGGGACTTTGGAGGTCTTCTAATCCAGCCCCCTGCTCAAGCAGGAGGACCTATACCATCTCAGACAAGTGAACGTCTAGCCTCTTCTTAAAAATCTCCAGAGATGGAGCGCCCACGATTTCTGGTGGCAAGCTGTTCCACTGGTTAATTGTCCTCGCTGTCAGGAAGTTTCTCCTTAATTCCAGGTTGCTTCCCTCTTTGATTAGTTTCCAACCATTGTTTCTTGTCCTGCCTTCAAATGCTTTGGAGAATAGTTTGACCCCCTCTTTGTGGCAGCCCCTCAAATACTGGAACACTGTTATCATGTCGTCCCTGTTTCTTCTTTTCATTAGACTAGCCAAATCCAAGTCCTGCAATCATTCTTCGTATGTTTTAGTCTCCAGACCTTTGATCATCTTAGTTGCTCTTCTCTGAATTTTTTTCCAAGGTCTCAACATCTTTTTTGTAGTATGGTGACCAAAATTGGCTGGATTGATGGGGTTGGTTATTGTTGGCTTTTTTGCATTTTCTTTTTTTTTAGAGAACAGCTCTGGAGTGGTAAAATCAAATTACAGTAAATGTACCCTGATCTGCAAATTAGTTCAGGAAGTACAAAGTGGAACAGACCAAAATAACACATTAGCTCATGTGGAGGCAGGAAACCTTTAGAGAAATATTTACAGACGGAAACAATGAAAACTGGAAGTAGGTTAACAAATGGATATTTAATCAAAAGTATGCATCCCTTCACTTTTCTTTCATCTGCTTTTCTGTTTTTGTCAATCTGACAAAGTCACTTTATTGAACTTGAGAATATATTTAATTAAAAGCTGGTTGTAAAGTCTATCTATATTTCAATGTGTACTTCTCCAACCAGATTCACTGTGGGTTGAAATGCAGCACAATACGGCATTTTTGCAATCGGGTTCCTCCAAAAAGACGTTTTTCTTTTATTTCATGAATTTATTTGATGATCATTTTTTCCATGACTCCGTGCAGTTCTAGACAGACTTTCCCATGATATATTTACTTTCCACTGTTAAATAAGTTGGACAGTGCAGGAAAATCCAAATTTTAGAAAAAGAGCTAGGGTTTGAGTTCATGCAGTGCAAAATCCTTTTGTGCTGAAACACAATAAAGAATAATGCTTCTTCCGTCTTTTATCTAAATAATAAGAAAACACTGTGGGCAGGGGAAGAGCACATATTTGGCACATTTGTTTTTCTTTGACAGAAAATAATACAGAACATACAAAATAAGGCAAGGGACTTTGGAGGTCTTCTAGTCCAACCCATTTGTCTGAAATGGTGTAGGGTTCCTGCCTGAGCAGGGGGTTGGACTTGATGACCTCCAAGGTCCCTTCCACTTTATTATTATTATTATTATCATTAACCCCCTGCACAAGCAGGAGACCCTACACCATTCCAGACAAATGGCTGTCCAGTCTCTTCTTGAAAACCTCCAATGATGGAGCACCCACAACTTCTGAAGGCAAGCTGTTCCACTGGTTAATTGTTCTCACTGTCAGGAAATTTCTTCTTAGTTCTAGGTTGATTCTCTCCTTGATTAGTTTCCATCCATTGCTTCTCGTCCTGCCTTCAGGTGCCTTGGAGAATGAATTGACCCCTCCCCCCTTCTTCCTTGGGGCAAGATTATCTGTGGTTAGGATCTCTTAAGCCCATGTTTTGCAGGAAAGTTAACATCCCTTTTCTGGAGAAGAAGGAGATTCTTACCACCTTGGATGTTCTGATCTTGTTCAGATGCAGCTACTCTAACCCAGTTTATGCAGAACAGTCTCCAAGATATATTTATATTGTTTCTATCTATAACCTTTTGTTCCAGCCTTCTAAACTGGGTGCCCAAATGGAAGGCACAGCAATTTTTGTGAAAAAGGAAATTGAGAATATTCAGAAAAGGGAACAGCAAACAGGAAAAGATAAAGTGAAAAGAAGAAGAAAAAAGGAACTAGAAGCAGAGAAGGGGAGGGGCAAGACCGACCGTGAAAGCGAGGGCTTGCTCATACAGAGTTTGCTGAATGGTGAGAGCAGCCTCTTCTGATCCAAGGAGACGTTTGAGAATAAATCCTCATTGGCCAAGTTCTCCCCACAACTGGACCCAATGCTGGAGCTGAAGTCCACAGCAGGCAGAAAATCTCCATCGCATGAGACAACATGAGCCTCCATCTGGTCAGAATTGTTCTCTTCTTGCCTTTCCTCTCCATAGGTAAGTTTTCTTGGACTTCAGGAAGATGCCGCTAAAGATCCAACGTGGCTCTAGTAGCTATTACAGGGAAGGAAGATGGCAAATCACATTTCTGGGCTATGTTGTTTCTACTCAGAGAAGGGGGCAGTGACTTGGTGAATGCTCTCTTCATTGAAGGACAGGAACAGGATACGAGGCATAACTTTAAAAGCATGGCAGGCCATAATCTCGAATAGGGTCTCCAACCTTGGGTACTTTAAGACTTCTGGATTTCAACTCCCAGAATTCCTTGAGCAGAGGTCTCCAAGCTTAGTCCAGCAGTCTTAAAGTTCCCAAGGTTGGAGATCCCTGCTCAAGGTGCCCAAGTTGGAGACCCTTACTCAAGGAATTCTGGGAGCTGAAGTCCAGAAATCTTAAAGTTCCCAGAGTTGGAGACCCCTGATCTCTGGACAGAAAATAGAAGACCTGATGCCTACTTGAAGGAGTTCTGGTTCGCCAATTGGCAAAAATAGGACAGGGATCTATAAGGATCATGCAACTGAAAGTCACATCCTAGAAGTAAGATAAGATAAACTTTATTGTCATTTTTTTTTTACTGTGGGCACACTGGCACACATTAAACATGAAATTCTGTTGCCTACTCTCAAAAGCGTACACATACATAACACACATATAAACAGGATATATACCTACACCCCAACATATAAATAGAATAGAATAGAAAATAGAATAGAATAGAATAGAATAGAATAGAATAGAATAGAATAGAATAGAATAGAATAGAATAGAATAGAATAGAATAGTTCACAAGGTTAATACTGTATGGAACAAAACTGTGACTGAATCTGGATAATCTGCTTCAGACACCCTTCCCAGAAGGTAACAAGAAAAACAGATTGTAGCATCCCAGACAATCCTGTGGACCTTGCTCAAGCATAGATTATTATATGCTGCATCCTGGATGGAAGGGAGGGAACTTTTCGGCCATCCTCACCATTCCCTGCACCGCCTTCCTGTCTGAAGCAGGGATGCTCCCAAACCAGACAGTAATGCAATATGACAGGATGCTCTCGATGTCCCTCTGTAGAAAGTGGTAAAGGGAGCAGGAATAGTAGGAATGGGTGGGGGAGACTTCAGACTGGAGGAAGAAATTGCTATGGGCATGCAGTAGAGTCTTCCAGGATGTCACAGGCATCTGGACATCATCTTGGAAATCTCAGCTATTGTGTCATGTTCATCATTTGTGCAACGTCCTCATAAAGCACACGAGCGCCATAGCTGCAGAGCTTCTACTTGAGATGGGAAACCAGAGCAGAGTTGAAAAGTCCCAAATGATATGGGGAAGCAGCACCACCCACAAAGGAAAGGGAAGTTTTGAAAGAGCAAAATGAAGCAAAAAAAAAAAAAAAATGAAATGAAATAACCAAGATCCTAAGACAGAAGTTGAAACTGTGGGGACTTTTGCAGGGTGGGTTGGCAAGACCAGAAAACAGCTGTATTGAGCTAATGTAGAGTGAATTCTGCTGCTGATCATTATTAATATTTCTATATTAATTATAGAAATTTTTATATGTTTGCATATTGGTTTTTAACTTTTTTTATTGTTGTTACCTGTTGTGAGCTAGTGTGGGATAGAAGAAAAAGAAGAAAAAAGTGTTAACCTCCAACTTTTTTCAGAGCAGTGGACTAAAAATAGTAAAATACAACTTCAAATTTTACTTTTACATACAGGCAATTTCTATAATAATATCTAATCAGCAAATCCCAAGGTCAAGCTTTCGTTTTTTTTTCTGCCTTGAACACAAGGTCTAGAACAGGGGTGTCAAACTGCGTCATGCAGAAGTCATACCCACCCCAGCTTTGGCAAGGGGAAAAAAGTTGTGACACGTCACATGATGTGGTGAGTTTGATACCCCTGGTCTAGAAGCAGTCTCCAGATAGAAATAAAACTGGATGTGTTCTTTTCTTTGATTAAAGCAGTTAATCTGGCTTCATCAGTTTTTCCTTCCATTATGGAGATTAATATATTTTTCCATTTTTACCCATAAAACATTCTTGCTGGAATCAGCACATACAACAATAAAGTTCAAATTATTTTCAAGTTCTTTGTCCAGTAACCCTAAAAGGAAAGTCTCTGGTTTCAGTTTGATATTCTGGATTAAAATAGGAAATTGACTTCTTTATTTCTTTGCTTTATCACAAGTCTACCAAAGAGGATAAAAAAAATTCCTTCTTTACAACTGCATTTCCAACATATCCAAGGATGTTCTTATCCATTGTTTCCTCCTCCTCCTCTCCTCCTCCTCCTCCTCCTCCTCTTCTCTGCAAACCCCACTCCCTTCTTGCACTGACGATGCTAATGAAATGTCTGCAAGAAAACAACCAAACTCAGAGAGCACCAAGGACATGTTTTACATTTGGTTGTTCAGTCTGAGGATCTCTCTCTTCTGTCTTCTAAGATCATTCCCACATACCGTTACATCGGTGAAAATGGGTTGAAATTCAGATGTAGTTGCTTCCCTGTCATTGATTGCAATGCTTTCATTTTAAAGCTAGGGGAGACATGATAGCAGTGTTCCAGTATCTGAGGGGTTGCCACAGGGCAAAGGGGTCCAGGTTGTTCACCAAAGCACCAGAGGGCAGGATAAGAAACAATGGTTGGAAACTGATCAAGGAGAGAAGCAACCTGGGATTGAGGAGAAACTTCCTGACAGTGAGGACAATTAACCAGTGGTACAGCTTAGCCCCAGAAATTGTGCGTGCCCCATCACTGGTTAAGAAAAGACTAGACAATCACCTGTCTGAGATGGTATAGCTTCTTCTGCTTGAGCAGGGGGCTGGACTAGAAGACCTCCAAGATCCCTTCCAGCTCTATTCTATTCTAAATTCTGTTTGCTATCCAGTTTCCGCAGGGACTCATCCGTCGACAAGCTCTCTCTCCTTTTCCATGATTCAGACGCCTCTTTTTTTGAATGTATCAGAAGGATCAGACGTGACGTTGAATTGCAACACGGAAGGCAATGTTTCTTCAAAGTGGTTTATAAAATGGAAGAAGATGGGGGGAAAACACTATATTAAAAATTCAACCTGGAGTTTTGTAATAACGAATAACGTTAACAAATCCAGCACCTTAATTCTTAAATCAACTGTTATTGCGGATTCTGGAATCTATCACTGTGAAACTGGCGATTTAGTAGATTCGCAATTGGGGAACACAAGTGTGACAATCTGGGGTAAATATGCCTATTCATTCATTTATTCTTTCATTCTTTCATTCCTTCATTCATGCTAGGGAACCTTGAATTCTTTTGCTGTTGTTCATTCTATGAAAATGTGGCAATTTGGGTGGCTTCGGCGGTGTCTAATTAGTTTTGCAAAAGTGGTATGACTGATTTGCGCCTTGTATGGACTCAGAAGCAATACGTGAGATGTTTGTTAAAGAATTTAGTCCCATTTAATGACCTTTCTTGCCAATGGTATTAAGTGAATCACTGCAGTTAACTTTGAGCAGTCCCTAAAACAAACTGTTGTTAAGTCAAGGAGTCCCTGTATATCTGTAGCTATGCAAATAGATGCTTCACCTGATTTATGTCAGGCTTCCTAGGAACCAGGAAAGACACAAGGAGTTATTTTTGAATACAGGCAGTCAACCATTCCAAGTGAGCATTCAAGGTTACAACAGCCCTGAAAAATGTGACTTATGTCCGTTTTTCACACTTTTCACATGACTTGGCAAATGTCTCACTTAGCGACAGAAATCTGGGGCTCAGTTGTGGTTGTAAGTCAAGGACTACCTGTGGTCCCCTTTTTTGTTCATCATTCACAGACTCTGTGGAGGCTCCCAGTCATCCAGGTCCTGATCGTCCCAAAGGGGCTTTTAACACTAAGCAACTGGACTTTCTTGTTTTTCTTTGAAGACGTTTCGCTTCTCATCCAAGAAGCTTCTTCAGTTCTGACTGGATGGTGGGGTACAGAAGGATTTATACCCCTTGCAGACAGTTGGTCATTTGCCTTCTTTTAGAGCAGGGGTAGTCAACCTTGGCTCTTTTATGACTCGTGGACTTCAACTCCCAGAATTCCTGAGTCATAAAAGAGCCAAGGTTGACTACCCCTGTTTTAGAGGGTCATTGAGGCCACTTGGAGGTTTACCTGAATGCTCGGGATCACCTGAGTAGTGCAAATGTGTGTGGACCCTGAGAACACAGGTAAAACTCCAAGTGGCCTCAACAACTCTCTCAAAGGATGCAAATGACCAGCTGTCTGCAAGGAGTATAAATCCCCCCGTTCTGTACCCTCCAGTCAGAGCTGAAGAAGCTTCTTGGATGAGAAGCAAAACGTCTTCAAAAGAAAAACAGGAAAGTCCAGCTGCCTCCTGAAAAAGCACCTTTGGAATGGTCATCAATTATCTGTTGTGGCAGTGTGTGTGTGTGTTTGTGTGTGTTTGTTTGTGCATGTGCAAGTGTGTGTGTGCGGGGTTAGCATTGTAAAGCATATGACTCTTCTTCTAATATTTTATACAATTCTATTTCCTTTGCCCCAAAACAAAGCAGGTCTGAAATACAGATAGAAATTATGACCTTTTTTTTTTGTTTATTTTTTTTGTAGAAAAGCCCAACCTGGTGGTGAATCAGACTCCACAACAGGTCAGCAAAAAAGCCGGGGGAAATGTCACAATTACGTGCAATTTTAGCAGAGTTCACAATATCAGTTTGGTGGAAGTGAAATGGTACAAAGACAAACTGGAGCTCAGGAACCCAAAACACTCTGAGAAATTTAAGCAGAAAGTGTTTCTTAAACTGGTAAATGTAAATCTGGAGGATTCAGGAAACTATGTATGCACGATCAGGATCAGAAATCGAACGGGATCAGGAAACGGAACGTGGGTTCAAGTCGCTGGTAAGTGGTGGGAATTTTCTGTGTGGTCTTGCCAGGCTGGTCCGTGGTTTAATGTCAGATGCAAACAGCCAGGTCCATACATGCCTACGGTACAAAATTACTGATTTATTCCTCAAGCCTATAAACAGGAACCTTCTCAGACTAACAATGTAAGGTCCTGCCTCAGCTATGTTCTCAGGAAACCAGAACTCTGGAAATGAACGTTATTTCAAAAGGATCTTTTACTGGGAGAAAGTGATTGCAGAGAAGCCAGGCGGAAACTGAAGTTCCCACATGAATCGTTAGGCTAATTTCCCCATTGTCCAAACCCCATCCCAATGCCCCCTGCCCATCAGGAGCCAATCCGCTGGCGTGAAGGTGTTATGAGAACTCTGAGGCGAGAAGCATTTTCTTGGCACTTCTCTGCCTGGAACCTTGGCATGGACTTATCTGTGGATAGTTGAGCAGATCAATGTTGCCATCAATATAAATGGCTCCCTCTTGCCAGAATAACCTTCAGTGGCTAGCAAGACCTTTAAAACAATGGCTAACAAATGTAATTATATTTGTACATATTTAAACAGCAAACATGCAATCTGGTCACATCATCGCTACCTGCAGAAATGTCAAATTTGAAACCAGAAGGAGGAAGTACTGAGAGAGCAATTTACTGAACATGATGAGGAAGAGTTTTTGCTGAATGGCCATGCTCTCTGATCAAGACCAGGAAATGTCAGAAATTATGTAGGAAACCATGAGCTCTGCCAGAAAGACTGGCAGTCTAATTTCACTTCTCTGTTTTCATGATTCAGTTAGCCTACCACGGGTCCACCAGGAGGAGCTGGTAGAATTGAGATTAGCCTCTTAAAGACTTTGGGAGAGGAGAGAAGGAAAAAAATGGTAGAAGTAGTAGGTTAAAGAGTGAATTTCTGCAAACAATCTGGAGCAATCCAGAAATGTAGGGATTATAACTCACAGCTTCACAGTCATATAGGGAATGTTGACCTACGTCCTTGGAAGCTTCATCGCAGCTCTCAGGCAAGACCCAAATGCTATAATAGCTAAGTATTGGAAGGTGACCAAGCTGGGCCATGGATTTCAGTGAGTAGCTTTGAACTAATCACTTCATGTATGTCGTCTTGTGTCCCGGCATGTCCAACTCAAATCTGCAGATGGAGGTGTCCCATGAATGCAGCCTGTGTCAACCCAACCTTCTCCTTTAGGCTTTCTTTGACCCTTGATTGAGTTGAACATCAAGGTTGTTGAAATTATTGGCTTTTTTTCCCCTTTGCAGCTGCAAATCTATTGGTGATTCGGTCACCACCTTCCATCCAGACAACAGAAGGGGAAAACCTCACCATGAACTGTAGAGTCCAGGGGAAGGAAATCAAACACCTCCATAATGTTTCATGGTATAAGATTGCCTTTGATGGACAGAAGACCTTAGTGACACACAAAACTGATGTTCTGAAAGACCGAGTTTCTCTGTTTTTGAGGAACATCAAAAAGGAGGACTCTGGAAACTATATCTGTGAAATTGATGGATATGGCCAGGGGAAAGCAACTAGGGTGACAATCCTTGGTAAATAGAACAATTTTCTCCCCTTTCTATGGGAATAATCCACAGTTTGTGACTTAGCATGTTCGGTGAACCCAGGTCATTGTGGGTTCTTCTAGAAATTGTTGACTGTGCCATAACTTCAGCCAGGAGACGTTTGGGTATCCTAAACCAATTGGTTTCATGAATCTGATTTCATGCGTTTCTCCCAAAATACCTCTGATATATCTGATATTGCTACGTTACAAATTTGCCTCTCCCAGAGAACGTTGACATGGAAACTAAAGCACATAGGGCACTAGAGATCACAATGATATCATGTGTGTTGTGATATTGTGCAAATAATGCAATAGTATTTTTTTGTCCCTTCCCCCTCCCCCCCAGGATGTTGAGCATTCTAAGAGTATCTCTGGAGCAAGGAGTACAGATAATCCTCGACTTACCACAATTCATTTAGTGACTGCTCAAAATTACAATGGTATTGAAAAAAGTGACTTAGGACTGTTTTCACACTTACAACCATTGCGGCACCCCCAAGGTCACGTGATCAAAACTCAAAGGCTTGGCAACTGACTCATATTTATGACGGTTGCCGTGTCCCGGGGTCACGCAATCCCCTTTTGTGACCTTCTGACAAGCCAAGTCAATGGGGAATCCAGATTCACTTAACAACTGTGTGATTAACAACCGCAGTGATTCACTTAACAACTGTGGGAAAAAAGGTCATACAATGGGGGAAAATTCACTTCTGTTGGTTGGCAACATAAATTCTGAGTTCTCTTCCGAGGCTGTCCATTAATACCAGCTCATTTCCTGTCGCTTGTTTGAGCAGGACGCGAGAAGCCATCACAGAACATCAAGGTCAATGGTGACGGCAGACAACCAGGCTCACCCCAAGAAAATACCGGGGGCGGAATCGGAATCCCTGTGGGGGTTGGAATAGCCGTGGGCACCCTCATCTTCTTGCTGCTTCTCGGCGCCGTGGTGTGGAGATCAAAGAGGAAGAATAAAGGTGGGACCTTCTTCCACAGCTGTCCTTTCCGACTTTTCATCCTGAGAAGGAGGAGAACAGAATAATCAGAATAACAGACTTGGGACAATTCTTGAATGTCATTGAGGACTAATGCTTTGCATTCCTGTTTATCTCACTCCCGTAGGGGCTTCAGAAAACCCCTCGGAGGCTGAGCCTGTTGCAAGCAAAGAAGCTAGGAAGGTAAATCCAATGGCTGCTTCATCATGAAAATGCACCGAGGTCTCTATCTTGTCATCAATTGGGTGTTTAAATACTTTTTTAAAAAAAATAATTTCTATTGAATATTTTAATAGCATCATTTTTAATCAAATGTCTTAATAGCCATACAGGTAGTCCTCGACCTGGATCCATTCGCTGAGTGACTGTTGACCGTTTTTCAGCCTTAGGACCGTTGAGGTCATGTGGTCAAAATTGGCACAGCCTAAACTGTGGCGCATTTATAGACCTTCAATGCAGGTCGTCCTCCACTTGCGCCCACAATGGAGCCCAAAATTTATGTTGCTAAGTGAGACATTGGTTAAGTGAGTTTTGCCCCATTTTAAGACCTTCTTTGCCACATTTGTTAAGTGAATCACTGCAGCTGTTAAGTTAGCAACACCATTGTGGCTCCGGATATTATATGAACCATTCTTGCAGTGTCTGTTTCTGACAAATGGCCTGTGAGAGGCGGCTTCTTTGTGGAGTCTCAGAACTCACAATGGTTTTTGTTCCTGTTTAGAAGAGCTGCTGCTTCTAAGACCGCAGTTAAAATCACCCTTCTTCTGTCCCTGTCTTCCTAACAGCACACTTCTTTGACCAAACAAGAGAGCGATGTGACTTACGCTGACATCAGATTCCACAGAAGGGAAGTTCCACCAGATGCTGAGGTTGTGTATGCAGAAGTGAGACTGGGTACAAAACGGCCTGAGAACAGAGACAGAGGGACTCAGTCTGCAGGCCTTCACTGAGAAAAGAGGAGAGAAGAAGCTATTCAGAGAAGAGTTGTCTTCAGAAGCTCCTGAGATATGCCCTGCCATGAAGCAGATGGTTCCTTTCAAAGCCTTGAGAAATCTTCACCTGTTATCCACGAATGGAAGAATTGCAGTCTGCCTCCCCTTTCCTCTTTGGTAGAGATGGACAACCCCATCTTCTAAACTATATCCTTGTAACCTCCCACTTAGATTCCCACAATTATATGGAGCTGCCCTTGAAGAGCATTCAGAAAGTTCAGTTGAGGCAAGATGCAAGATAAAGGGTGCTGGCTACATGGCACAGGTTAAACTCTTACTCCATGACCTGGCCTGGCTGCCAGTGTGTTCCTGGGTTCAATTCAAGGTGTTGCTTGCCACCCTTAAAGCCCTACGTGGCTTGGGACCAGGCTATCTGAAGGGACTGTCTTTCTCCAAGAGTCTCTACCCACCCAATTCGATGGAGCAGATTGGACACATTGCAGATCCCATCAGCCAAAGAGAATCAGGTGGCAGGGACTGTAGGAAGGGCCTTTTCTGCAGTGGCCCTCTCTCTGTGGAATATACCCCCCCTCCCAGAGATTAGACTGACTCTTTGAAAGGCTCTAAAAATCTTGTTATATACCCAGCCTAGGGCTCGGACAATGTTAATGGCCCTGTATTCTGATTTTACTGTTAATTGATTAATTATCTCAGCTGCTGTTTGTATTTATTTTCTGGATGTTTTTATTGTCTTAATGTTTTAATTAATTGTTTTAATTGTTCTATAGTTTCAAAAATATTTTGAAATATTTTAGAAATATAAGCCACTCAGACTCACTTGATTTAGATGGGCGGCTATAGAAAATGAATGAATGGATGGATGGATGGATGGATGGATGGATGGATGGATGGATGAATATGGGGATAATTATTGGGAGGAAACTTACGAGGTAAATTTAGAGAGATAAAGGCTACAAAGAATTTTGAAACATCCTCAAAACATCTATCTTATTTTTGTATGACCATGAACCAGTTACCAGGAGAAAAAAGTAGGTTGATAAAGCAATATTAATAATGTGTGTGGTTGTGTGTTGCGTAAGTCATTAATCTGCACATTTAGCTAGAAATATAGCTGAGTAATATTGAAATCCATCCATTGGAAATACACCCCTAACTTCTCCGTTTGAACTGGAAACCTGCAAAAACTTATCAGAAGTCAGACTCTTGTCCAAGTCAACGCCTGGGATGGGTGAAAAACAAAAACTCCTAATATCTACACTCCCCGCTCAGTTCCAAGGACAGGGCATGATCTCCCAGCAACAAAGGGAGTCAGGCAACAATAATTAGAATACTGAAAGGGCAATCTCAGGCACAGGTCAAAGTACATTTCACAACAAACAGGCATCTCGATCACAAAGCCCCAAAGAATGTATAAAAACTCACCTACTCTCAACTCCATTTTGTCAGCCACCCCAGAAACAGGCTGCGTCACTGAAGTTTCTGGCAATTCAATAAACAGAGACCTCCTTTTGAAAATGCGGCCTGCCTCCATTTTATTTCCAGCATCTTTCTCCCGGCTTGGAACCGGACTGGATTTTTCTTCCAACACTAGCAATCACACATGTCTAGTCATGTTGGCAGTTTCCTGCAACCCTTTCCTTTGCTTTCTCCTAGCTGAGCTTACCAAACTACAATGTTCTTTTTAGCTTGCCTACCAAGGAGACTTTTATTATTGTCTGGACATTCATGAATTTGCCCTATCCTGCTTCAGTGACACCATAGCAGTTCCCTTAGAATTAATATTAATTAATAGCAAAAGGAAGTCTCTCAGAATTCAGACAGTGAGTTCTCTTAAACTTTAAAGGAAGGGAAGAGGAATACTTTGGATTTAAATTTGATATTCAATTTATTGATGTAAAATCATGTGAAGAGAAGGAGGAGGAGGAAGAAGAAGAAGAAGAAGAAGAAGAAGAAGAAGAAGAAGAAGAAGAAGAAGAAGAAGAAGAAGAAGTCTGAGAGTCTTGCTATCTTTCACACATATATCTAGCTATCAAAACCCAGATTTTTTTTTAAGTGTTGCTCCATTGAAAGATTCAAAGAATTAAAGTTTCTTCTCCTTGATGCTTTCTTACCAGGAAGCTCCAAAGGTTTATTGAAAGGAAGAAAGTGAATAATGGCCTGAGAAAAATAAAATGTTCTTCAAAGATATTTGGAACTGTTTCATTAAATTCATATGGTTTTTGAGGAGCACTTCCCAGAAATGACTCACAAAAGAATTAAACATAAAATTTAAGATGTTCACAGAGACGAGGATCTTTGGAAAGCTTCTCTTCCAATGCTATATATTTCAGCGGTGCTCTCTCTTTATGCCTGGTGAAGAAAGACAAGTAATTACTGTTCCAATTTCATTAACTGTGTGTTACCATTGATGCTGGCTGGGTTTTGTCCCTACTTTCATCTGGCCTTAAGTCCCATTCACACAATACCTGCTCAGTCGGAGCTCCAAAATGCGGATGCGAAACATGGCTTCTGAGCAGAAGTTCAGATAGGCATCTTCATCCTCCAAAGTCATATTGAGTTGGTTCTGCTGGTACCACTGCTGCTTCCTCTGGAGTTCTTGAGTTTCCTATGGGGAGGGAGGGAGGGAGGGAGGGAGGGAGAGAGAGAGAGAGAGAGAATCAAAATATCTGCAATGTTTGGCAAATAAAAAATAAAAAAGTAGAGTTGCAATTCAAGTTCCACTTAAAATAAAAGACAGAGCTTTGGTCTCAATGTCACTACCACCATTTTGACTTTTTTTGACCGTCTCCTGCAGACATCCCTGTTTGGAATCAGAGTGTAGCATTGAGGAGACAAAGAAATGGAAACAGACTGATGGAACCTGAGCGGCAGCATGAAGCCTTAGGAGGCCCCTTTGTCTTGGCCATACTCCCGTAGCCCATCCTTCCCCTTCCACTGAGAAAAAACAGTGAAGTCTTAATGGTTCCAGTGGGCCAAGGGTGCTTTACAGAGACATCAACAAGAGCCCCTGGAGAGCAGCTGGGTCCATAGAAGTAGAAAGTCCTATCTAGGCAAGTCAGCTCTTGGTTTGGGCCATGGGTCTTCAAATATGGCCCTTTTATGACTTGTGGACTTCAACTCCCAGAATTCCTCAGCCAGCTACGCCAAGTTTGAAGACCCCTGGTTTGGGCCATGGAGAGCCAGAGGTCCAATGACTGCCTAGATACCTTCTCAAATCGTGCTTGAATGAGGTTGGCCTTGTCAACGAGACGATGCTTGAAATCATTCAGGCAATCTTCTTTCAGGCGCAAAGCGAGCCACTTGGACATCTTCTCAATGCCTCCCACCTGAATCAGGAAGGGCGCCAGGTAGTCCAGCTCCTGCTCCACTTGGCGCTGGCGTTCCTCTTGCTGTTGACGCTCCTGGAGAGGAAGGAGACAGACCAATATGCTTGATGGGGAGCTGACAGCCCCACTGGATAGACCAGACCAGGAAGGAAGCATATCATGGCGACGTCTTGCTACATCCAGAACTTGGGAGGTATTTATTGTTCTTGGACACATAAATGTTGCCTGCCCTTGTGCCATAGTTCTCCTGACCTTCTCAAGAACCTTGGGATGACAATTAAGATGCTAAGAATTCCCATAATTCAATCCCTGATTCCTTGCTAGTTTTGATCGTTTCCAAGGATGAGGAAATGGCCCATAAATGCTGTGTAGGTCGATCCCAAAGAACCTCCAGCTTACTATGGTTTCACGATGTTCTTTACTCTTCTCGTTCCTTTCCGTGTCATAAATGGAGACGCTCAACTTGCTAGCAGCCTCTTCCTCTCCTCGAATCCGCAGAAGTTCCAGGACCTTTGATGGCATGGAGATATCAGAGAGAGAATCATAGAAGGTTGACCACAGAAGGCACCCCAAGGACCATCTCATTCAACCGCTGCAGGTGCAGCAAAACCAATTTGTCAAGCTGGCCCGACTAGGGACTCAGGAAAGAAAGACCCTCGACTCCATGATTGACACGAGCAGTTACAGCAAAAGCAAAGCTGGATTTGAATATTCCCACGCAAAGCCGATGGCTTTCCCCTCTTCCTCAGCCCCCTCCCCCTGAACAGTCCATCCATGTCCAATCCCATTCCTTTCCAATGTTTTGGGTGAGGGTTATGTTTTGGGAACAGCTCCAAGGTTCAACTTGGAAAGTTGCTAACTTGGCAAATGTAAGACTTGTGGACTTCAACTCCCAGAATTCTCCAGCCAGCTTCGATCTTTAAAGCTTGTGGGCTTAAAATTGTCAAGTTTGTAGACCCCTGTGTTAAAATATTACACATTAGAGGTGAGAGGGGGAGTGGGATAGGGAAGGCATATGATCTGAAAGAATGAATGATCAAAAGACGTTCAGGATTATAGACGCCTTCTTGGGGAAACAGGAACTAACATCAAAGGGTAATTAAGAGAGAAGCTCTAAATGAATAGAATAGTGCTGGAAGGGACCTTGGAGGTCTTCTAGTCCAGCCCCCTGTTCAAGCAGGAGAACCTATACTATTTCAGACAAGTGACTGTCTAGTGCAGGGGTAGGCAACCTTGGCTCTTTTATGACTCGTGGACTTCAACTCCCAGAATTCCTGAGCCAGCCAGGAAAGGGAGGGGAAAGGGAGGGGAAAGGGAGAGGTTTCCAAGCTGAGCCATGCCGGCTCAGGAATTCTGGGAGCTGAAGTCCACCGGTCATAAAAGAGCCAAGGTTGCCCACCCCTGGCCTAGTGGGTCTCTTCTTAAAAAACTCCAGTGATGGAGTGTCCACGATGAAGCAATGAGCGATTACTTCTCTGTGTATGTGTGCAAGCACAGGGTAGCCAGGAAAATGGGTCAGGGTGCATTCAACCAGAGGGCAGGACTTCATAGACCCCCCCACCCCCCACCGCCAATAAAAAAAATCTCCCCCTCCCCCCCCCCAGTACCTCTATCTCAGATTCCCACACTTGATGCCGGGAACGCTTCTCATCTTCCATTAGCTGCATCAGCATTTCATAAAGATGGAACAATTTCTTTTCTTTCTCCACAGGCCCCGCCTGAGAACAAAGGAGCCCAAAAGCAGATTTATGAACCCTGAACTGAACTGAGCAAAGGAGATTCAGAACCGAGTCAGAACATTGGCCGATGGGGGAGAACAACCCACTCAGTGCTCCTGAGATCGTTGGATGATTTTCTCCTTTCTGTGTTTGTTTTAAAAAATATTTCCAGAAATGACCCCCACGTTTATAGTCCATTTGATCATGAGATGTCTACAGGTAGTCTTTGACTAACAACCACAGTTGAGTTGTTACGTGAGTTTTGCTCCATTTGCTCTCATGTGATCCTGAGACACGGCAACCGTCATAAATACGGCTCAGTGGTCAAGCATCCGAATTTTCAAACAGTATCCATGGGGATACTTTGAGGGTCGTAAGTGTGAAAAATGGTCATAAGTCACATTTTCACTGATGTTGTAACTTTGAAAGATCAGTAAACCAACTGTTATAAGTCAAGGACTACTCATAGTTTTAGTCAGTCTCCAACAGTGGCGTGAGGGAGCTCTTAATTGAGCCATCAGGAATCCCACCAGCCCACATTATTTGCCAAAGAAAATTCAGCTCCCTGATTCTAAGTGATGGATATTCAACCAGAAAGTCTATTTATGTCTTGCAACCGTTCATTTAAGTCCCATTTAAGGCCATGGGTTGGATCCACCGTGACCTGCAGGTACCGTATCCTTCATTTACCTGATAACTGATGCACATATCCCGGCTCATGATAACCTTATTTCCCTTGCTGTCCACATCGGAACGCTTATTAAACTCCCTCTTGGAAGGGGTGATGTAATTCTCCTTGCAATGATAGGTCAAAAGGATCTTATCCTCTGAGATCAAAAAAATGCGTTCAGCCACATCTTCATCAGCCGGTTTGCTTGGGTTCCTGCGGAATCTCTCGGTGATTTTCTAGAAAGTATACAAGCGGGAGAGGACAGGGTAGTATCAAACTCCTGACCGCCAATATTTTGCAATGAGTTGGTTGGGATGGGCCATAGAGAGACAGATAGCTATGCT